GTACCTGTGAATGACTCCTCAGATAAAGGAAGGACACCTTCTAATAACAAAGTCTGAGATGCACCCGTGTCTCTAAGAATCTTAATTGGCTTTGAATTGGTACCATCACTTGACAGTGACACAGATCCTTCGGACATGAAAGGCTTATAATCCTCCATAATATCACTATGAGTAGATTTCTCAGTATGAGTATATGAATCCCAAACAATGGGCTTTCTTAAAATGGGAACTGTAGCACAACCATTTGAATGAGCAGAACCAGACATTTCTCTTCTATTCTTAATTCTATAGCATTCAGAAATAAGATGACCAGGCTTTTTACAATAATTACAGGTGACATTTGATTTTGGACCTGAAGAATTTGATTGATCTGATTTTGAGCTAGAACTCTGTGATGAATTAGACTGGTCTTTTGCTTTGTTTGATGTATTTGATGATGAGGACTGATTTGATTTTGTATCATATGAAGGTTTGTTACCCTGATAACCTCTATAGTTAGGATTGCCCTTGATAAAACTACCCTTATGAGTAAGAGCATAATCATCAGACAGGGTGGCAGCTTGACTTAAAGTTTCTACCTTGTGTTCATCTAAGTAAGTTCTAATGTGATACTGAACACAGTTTTTAAATTGTTCTATTAGCATAAGCTCTCTGAGCTTTTTAAATTCTTCAGATACATCCTTAGAGACAAGCCACCTGTCAAAAAGCTGCTCTTGCTCTCGAGCAAACTCAACATGGGTTTGGTCACTCTGTTTGTGGGCATTTCTAAATTTCTGTCTGTAAGCTTCTGGCACTAGTTCATACGCTTTAAGAATTGCATTTTTAACTAGGTCATAATCAGAGCATACTTCTCCTGAGAGAGAGGCAAATATTTCACTTGCTTTTCCAATGAATACACTCTGGAGCATAACTGGCCATGCAGATTTAGGCCAGTCTAGGCTCTGAGCGACCTTTTCAAAATGTGTAAAGTATTTATCAACATTTTTCTCTTGAAATTTAGGTACAAATTTGAGAAATTTTGAAGCGTCAAACCTATTTTCAAAATGTTGATGCATAGTAGCATGTTCATCAGTTATTGATTTGGCTTCTATTTCAAGACGTTTTAATTCAATTTCTTGTTGCCTTTTTTCTCTTTCATTTTGCATTTCTAATTCTTTTTCTCTCAATTCTCTAATTTCTCTCTCTTTTTGAATTTCTAACTCTTTCTCTCTTATTTCAAGCTCTTTGAGCTTAATAGGATCAACAGGGTCAACATGTTGGGCTGGCTGCTCAGGCAGAAGTGATTCTGCGACCAAATATTGAAGTACAAAGTTTTTAATTGTATCCTTTTTGTATGAGCTTTTGACTGACAGGCCAACATGTTTTGCAATTGCCAGAAGTTCAGTTTTCTTTAAATCGTCAAATTCCTCCAAAGAGGGCGCTTCTAAAAATGTCTCAACCTCAAAACTCATTTTCAATTAATTGCTGTCTTCACAGTTAAAATTTACAAGTTTGGGATTTTGAATTTTGGATTTTGAAATATTTGAATTTTAGCTTGTTGTAGTTGTTTCCCGGACGAGCCCCCAATTTCTGTTACGTTCGAAAATAACAGAAAGTAAAAACAGCAATTAAAATATGATAACAATATATTTATATTTTGAAAACTAAATAATACAACAATAATATAAAGGAGGTTTAATACTTAAGTGATGTCCAATCAATGATACGGCTTATTCTTGATGTCGATAAATGTCGTTGACGATCCTTGAGAATGTTCCAGATCACGAAATGTTTCAATAATCGTTAATAGTTCTCCAATGTTTGTAATAATCCAATAATGTTTGTTGTAATCCTATAATGTTTGTATCCAATAATGTTTGATGATAATCCACAAATGTTTGATGATAATCCAGAAATGTTTATGATAATCCACGAATGTATATGATAATCCGTATATAGTGTGTGTTGTAATATATGTCCATATAAAGTCCTCAGGTTGTATGTTTGCACTGTTATAAATGTTCCCACAGTAGGTTGTTGTAATTTTCTGCTAAGAAGATGTCCTTTTGATAAACTTTGAAATTCTGCTTTATTTAGTTCCTTTGAGATGTCCAGTTATGATGACTTAATTATCTGCTAATGAGAGTCACTGTGCTGTTCTTTTTATAATGTGAAAGAATGATCCAGAAACGAATCTTCTGGAACTACATCTTGATTGGACATCTTTAGTGACATGATTAAATTTTAATGAATGGTTATAATTTCTAGAACTATCTGGATGGTCAAGGGTTAATGAGTCATTCAGTTCAGTTTTGTTTACAAGATACAGTGTATAATGTCATTGTGACCTTGACCTAAGATCTCTAATGAAGAATAGCTCAACATATACAGCAAGCATAGATTACAAATTAAAAAACTATAGGTGAATATAGTAGCATATAATATACATGTAGCTCACTACTGTAACAATATATCCATAGATTCTTGTTTTGATTTGCAAATTACCACCCCCCCTCTATGGAATCTCAAAACGCAAGTCCAAACATCATTCTTGTTTGGACTCCCCATGTGTGACCTAAGATTATACCCCGGTGCCCATCTGTTCAATGCAGATATTGTCTTTGTGTTATGCCTACAATTCTGCCATCCTTCTAACCAATAGCATACTGGCATAGGGGTCAATCAACTTGGTTGATTGAATTTGTAGAGCCTTTTACCACATAGTTCAATGCAAGAATCCTCGCTCAACTGCAGCAGGTACTATATTCTAATAGTTAGTGCATTTCCTCTAAGTTTACTGTGCCACACCTTTCATAATTTTGGTGGTCATGAAATAAGGGATCATGCATTGAAATGCATTGAGATGGAGCTCCTAATTTCCCTTTCTTTGGGCTTGGATGAAGTATAGCAAGATTTGGACCAGGTCCATGTATCAACACCAGAATGAAGTTAGCCTTGTCTTCCCTGTTCAGCTCTATGAGGGATTTTAATCCTTATTCAGATCTAATGTTGAGGTTAATGTCATTCTGAATCTTTTTTTGAATTTTCATAGAGGGTTCTATTGAATACTTCAATTTTAGACCTAGTATATGAAGTATAATCAATGATTAGACCTGTCATTGGTTCAAATCTGCAGAAAAACTAGTCAGGATATATCATATATTAAACCTCCGAGCTATGAAACAGTAGTAGGTACCAATAAACTCTAAGCCTGGAAATAATAAGGGTATTCTAATAGTGTACCTTAATACTGTCTGTTTAGACCTTTATTTGTAATGATTTTCAATGATTAAGCCTCTTAGATGGTTTAAATAAACAGAGAGTCAGCTCGGAATATGTCATACATCAAACTAATCTATAAAATCATAGCTTGTTCAAGTTGATTATTTTGGTCAATCTTGCATATTTTGCTTTAATATTTCAGAATTATTTACTTCATTTAATGTGAATTTTGTTGTGAACATTTAATGATAATCTGCTTATAAAGTAAAAAACTACAGCATTTTACAACACATGCCCCATGTGGCCACCACTCCAGCCAACGAAGCTGTTGATGACTCTCCTACACATACCAACATGGATTGCAAAGCTTCTGATGAAGCTATCCACTTAAAATTGAAGAACATCTGAGAATTTGTCTGACACTAGTTTTACTTCTCTAGATAGATTTTAGTCACGCCATGGACAATTGAACAACTTCCTTCGCCAGATTTGATTGTGCATGTAGAGGAGAAGTGGCCACATTGGACATATGTTGTAAAGTGCTGTAGTTTTTGACTCCACAGGCAGATTATCATGAAACTTTCACAACAAAATTCATATTGAATGAACTGAATAATTCTGAAGTTTTGAGGCAGAATATGCAGGATTGACAAAGTTAATTAACTTTTCTTCGGTCCTGTTTTTTGGACACCCTGTACCAGTAGAATGATACAAGGCTAATGGTATACTTGAATTTAATCGATTGCAGATCTATGATTTAAGAATGAATTTTCAATGATAACACCTAAGATTGTTCAAACCACCAAAAAGCCAAGCCAGGATGTATCATACATTATTTGTCTAAGCTAGAAAACTAATATTGGTACAAATATGTTCATATATAAGAAATTATAGGGGTCTTCCAAGGGTATACCTATAACTTATCAATTTTAGACATCATATTTCATGAAATTTTAATATTTGAACATGCTAGAAAGCTTAAATCTTCCAAAAACTTAGCTAAAATAAGTTTTTTATTTTAGATTTATTCTAAAATGCCAAATATATGAACACAGAGGGATAAATGTTAAAGCAATAGGGGTCAGTTATAGTCACACATAAAATCAGTCCCAGCTAAAATGTCATTTTTTCTTAAATTCACTAATTTTTTTCAAGGCAATTATCAAAGGAATTACTTTGATTCTTGCAGGATTAGTAGACCAGGTATTAAGCCTTTTACATGGATTTTTTTAGCATCCATCATTGTCTAATAAAAAAGTTATGACACGAAAAGTAAAAAATGGGTCATAAATTTGCCCCCTGGGGTACATACTTTTTGCTTTTATTCAAATTTCTTAAGGGTAATCCGTATCATTCTTACTTTAAATGTTTATTTTATACAATGTCCATGTATTTCACTTACAAAAACCATAAAATCAAAGTTATTTTAGGTTGACGAATTTTTTCCCCCTGATAGGGGTGAATTTTGGGGGTAGGGGGACTAACATGGTATTTTAAGGGTTAAATAATCATATTTCAGCTTGCCAACATGGTTTTTTGGATTCAGCATAAAAAGTTACATAAGAAACACTTGTCAGAACACTTTTAACACTAAACGCCTACCACATTTCCTCTAGATGAAAATGCACCTTGTCTAATATGTATTTACAAATATAAATAGTGCGACGAGCAACATAATATTATTTTGAGCAACATTAAATGTGACGTGTCGGTAACCATGTACACAGTGATCAGGACTCAACTAGTGTTTATATCACATCATGTATTTCATATGCTGTACATGTAGATCAAACAAACTATGTGCTTTAGATTAATTAGTTATACTATATTTTGAAAGAATTATAATAATATGACTTGTAAAAATTCAATCATTCATCGCCATATACTTCACGATGCTGCACGTTAAATTTGAGCGCCATTGTTTTCCCATGTCATAGAAACCATGACGTTACTAGCGCTCAAATAGTTCAAATGCAATACGCTAAATCTCCCAACTATAAATGCCCGAAGATGCAAATATTTCTTCGTACATGAAATTTTAAATACATTGGTATTATTATTACATCATAATTATTCGTATGGATGGGTGTCTTTGAGTTTGAAAAACTACATTAATAATTGAGCAATAGTATCGTGCTGGCTATGCTGACGGACCGGGTCCCACCTTAAGCCACCCTGTATAAATGTATTCAATGTTGAAATGTTTGATCAACAAAATTTATGTTCCAAACTTTTTCAATTTCAGCTATTTGTATACGATGACTTGTGAATATTTGGTTATATCCACATACACTAAGTTTCACTCTTTTATGCTGAAATCCTTTTACTCGGCGTACTTTATATCCCAATGCTTTATTACAAAGTCCCACATAAATATCTTCGAGGAAGAAGAAGGGTATATCGGGTGAGACTTTCACAATGTCTTTGACGACCTTCATAGTTGTAACATAGCCTGTGCCTGAGCAGAAGCTGGGGTACCACATATGGGGGTACTCTTCAGGAGAGGCATAATACTTTGATTCCTTATGTCTGATGGGTTTAGATTTCTTAAGGCATGTTCCTATTATTTCATTTTCAATGTTGAATAAATCAATGTATCGTAAAAGTCTTGGAGTATTCACCCACATATCAGAATCAGTTTTCATAATATATTTAGCATTTGAGCAAAATTCTGCAGCCCATTTAAGACCGGACATTGTCTTAAGAGTCAAATTTCTGAACTCATCCATGAAGTCTTTGATGAGGATATCCCCATATTTTTTAGCTTCTGCAAGAACTCTTACATTCCACTCCGGATCTTTAGTGTGCTTTCCTAGCAGGAAAACATACCTCAGTTCTCTTGTGTTATTTTTAGAAATGCTTGCCCAAGTTTTGCGCAAGATGTTTCTAGTCTTTGTTCCATTGTGAACTGTAAAAATGATTACCAGTAGCTTAACAAGAGTTGTGGAATTATTGGAATTATTGGAATTATTCGTTGAGCACAAATTATCATTTTTGTAGATGTATGAAGATTGCGGGAAACATGCGTCACACTTATCTAGTCGCAGTTCTGAAATGTTAACTGATTTGTTCATAGAGAAATTACCATTTTTCAAAACTTGTTGATAATCCAGCAATATGGAACTTGTGTTCATGGTCATCTGTTGGTTTGTTTGTTCAGCTTTATTTTCATTGTTATTTCCTAATAATATATTTTTAATAACAGCAGGTCTTCTTTTGATTGTTCCTAATGAACTTGAAGTGTTATTTCCAGTAACATTTCCTTCATGTTTGCTTATTTGATTTGCATTGATTAATCTGCTTCTTTTCATATCTACCATAGGTAGATGATCCCATTTTTGACCTTTTGAGGCTTGTTGTACTGTTGGAATCGTGTTATTATTTCTCTGGGGTTCATTTCTTTCACTTGTATTAGTGTCAGATGCACTCCCTTGATGTTCCTTTATTCCATTTTCGTAAATAATTGTTCCTCTTCTAGTACGTCCCACCGATAGTTGATCTAGTTGGCCTCTTGAGACTTTTTGTACTGTCTGAATCTTTTGGTATAAGCTTAGTCCTAGTAACGCAAACGTAATTGATTGTATACATAAGACTAACATAAATATCTTATGAATCCATAACATGATTGATGACACTCCTTGTGTTCTCCCAAAATATCTGAATTGCTAAATCTATTCATCAGAAATATCCTGTGTTCTTTTTCTGTCGTCACTAGAGATGATCAAAAAACTCTACAGATGCTTTGTTAAGGGTTGATGTCCTATTGCAGGACCACTGTTTTCAAAACTTTGAATCAGTTATAAAGGCATTCCTTGATTTGAGAAATTTAGCCAAATCCCTTGGAGTTTTAATAAGGGATGAAGGAGTTAAGCAGGGGACCCTTTAAGAGCAAACTCTTTACAAAAACATCCAATATATAGATTCGAAAATCCCTTTATAAGTAACTACACACTTTATCACTAGGAAGCAATAATTCTAAGCAAATATTTCATTCTATGGAAGGCATTACTTGTTCATCTTTCAATGATTTCTGCAGTATGTATTGCCCACAGCCTGTAGGGATAGGGAAATACATATACATGCTGGAAAAATTAAAGGAAGTGCAACAGGTATGTCCATATGTTGCATATCAATCTATAATTTAGGTAATTACAGTGTCCATTGTCCCTTACGTGAATTTGATATGTATGTTTGGCAATTACAAACAATAAAATGAAGAATGCAAATGAGTTTTATTTCCAAGAAGCACCTTTTTTGTCATGCCATAATTTAAAACGGGTTCATGTGATTAATTATCGGATGAAAATGGCCAATAAAAATTCTGGTTTCCTCTTCATGTGAATGGTGTCATTTATAAATTAACCAACATTCCTTATACTCTAGACTATTTGTCAAACTATTTTATTAATGAAGTCTGACAAATACATGAATGACAAATAAGTGAGATATGAAGTAAAATGAGGTTTTTTAAGATAAGAAATTATAAAACATGAAATGTTAACTTTGATCTTCAATAGCACATCTTGTTCTTTACAGTTAAGCTGTGAACCTTATTCATTATTTAATGCAATTGGTTTGTTATCATATTACTACAGTTATCAAAATTATGAAGAAGAAACATTTATACTAGAATTGATTTGATTAGTATGCAAGATTCTGACCTTTAATAAGGTCAAGGTCATTTTGAAAAAAATTGTTTTGGATATTAATGTAATACAGTAGTATAGATATTTTCTTATGATACAAGTTACATTTTGTCTTGTTATTGATGTATGAATAAATGTTGGAATATTTTTGTTTTACTCAAAATGACCCCTTGTTGATGGAAACAATTTTTTTTCATGGACATTTAGATTGAAAATAGAAAATAATAACGCAAATGCGAGTAGGTAGTTACAAGTTTCACCACCAGGTGGCTCACTTGGGTCAGATAGCATGGCGGGTATAGTAGAAAGTTCCCTTTAACTTAAATTACATAGGTTTTAGTGGTTCAATTTTCATATATCCCTTATGTATCAAATAGTTATGATTTATATGTCCAATACAAGAAAAGATTTCACTTTTTGTGATTTTGTAATATGGGGTCTATGGGGAATCAACCCGAACTAGAAGTTACATTTTCAAAAAATATTAAATTTTCTAAGTTGATAAACAATTTTCGAAACAATATTTTTAGATGTATTTTTACATCTAGATTTCAAATATGACATCACAAAGTGCAGATCTTAACTGTTTTTCGAAAAAACCGTTTCTGTAACTTCAGTTTTGTAAATTAACAACGTCAAGAAAAATAGAAACAATAAAAAAAGATTCTTTTAACAGCTTTAATAAATCAGCGATTACAGATCATATTCTCCAAGAAAACCACGAAATTGATTGGAACAATTATAAAATAGTTAGCAAAGAAAGGAACAGAAACAATAGGTTCATAAGAGAAGCCATTCACATTAGAAAACATAATAAAAACTTCAATAGAGACATGGGCAACTTCAATCTAGATCACTTGTGGGATGAAGTTATATTGCCATAGCAATTAATTAATTATTTTTTGACGTAAAGGTTTAATGACGTAATAGTAGATTAACCTGTATTTTTTCAACTGTTTTCAATTTAAATTTAGTGATCATGGATGCAGTTTGCATTCGAAACGTCTAAAACAAAAAATTGTAATGAGGTCTGTGACAATGAACACTAATAAATGGATTTATATTACCAGACTATGAACTATTTAATGTTATTATTTTACATGGACTAGAAAATTGTTTAAAAAGTTGAAAAAAGTGTCACATTTTGATAACATTGGGTAAGATCACAGAGTAGCTGAAAGCTTTTAAAATTGGATTTTGGAAATCAGGTTGTATCAAAGAGGCCAATTCATCATCACAAAGTTATTTTAAGAAAGTGTCTAAGTAGAACATCATATTCATAAAACTTATGAAAGCAATCCAGAAACAACTGAAATAATGTCAGACACAAATCTGAATTTCACAAAAATTGAATTTTCTGAATGCTTGAATAAAATAGCATACAAAATAGAAAACATGATTAATCTAAAAGCCAGTCTTAGGTGCAATACAAGTGCAATTATTTTTGTTCAATCGAATGTTTATCTACACAGGAAGATCCAAGAAATTACTTTCAAAATTAAGAAAGATTCCACAGTCAGATAATTGCATTTTGTGGCCACCCTATATATTCAATGTTTCAATGTTTTATTGTCACATTTTGTGTTCCAAATTTTTTCAATTGCACCCCTGGGCATATGGTGACTTGTAATTATTTGTTTATATCCACAAACATTGAATTTGACTCTGTATGCGTGAAATCCTTTCACTGAGCGTACTTTATATCCTAATGCTTTGTTGCAAAGTCCCACATAGATGTCTTCGAGGAAGAAGAAGGGTATATTGGGTGAAACTTTCACAATGTCTTTGACGACCTTCATAGTTGTGACATAGCCAGTGCCTGAGCAAAAGCCAGGGTATGACAAATGAGGGAACTGTTTAGGAGAGACATAATACTTTGATTTGTTATGTCTGATGGGTTTAGCTTTCTTAGGGCATGTTCCTATTATTTCATTTTTAATTTTGAATGAATCGATGAATTGTAAAAGTCTTGGAGTATTCACCCACATATCAGTATCAGTTTTCATAACATATTTAGCATTTGAGCAAAATTCTGCAGCCCATTTAAGACCAGACATTGTCTTTAGAGTCAAATGTTTGTACTCATCCATGAAGTCTTTGATGAGGATATCCCCATATTTTTTAGCTTCTGCGAGAGCTCTAACATTCCACTTTGGGTCTCTAGTATGCTTTCCCAACAGGAAAACATACCTCATTTCTTTTGTATTAAGGTTAGAAATACTTGTCCAAGTTTTGCGCAATGAGTTCCTGGTTCTCATATCATGGTGAACTGTAAAAATGATTACCAGAAGCTTAACCTGAGTTGTTGAATTTTTCGTTGAGCACAAGTTATCATTTTTGTAGATGTATGAAGATTGCGGGAAACATGCGTCACACTTATCTGGTCGCAGTTCTGAAATGTTAACTGATTGGTTCGCAGAAAAATTACCATTTTTTAAAACTTGTCGATAATCCAGGAATATGGAACTTGTTATATGTGACTTTGTCTGTTTGTCTTTATTTTCCTTGTTATTTCCTAATGATATGGAATTGTTTTTAGTAACATCAGATCCTCTTTTGGCTGTTCTTAAAGTAATTGAATCACTGTTGGTGTTATTTGCTTTTGTGTTATTTCCATCATTATCAATAACATTTCCTTTTATTACATTTCCAGAAATAAATTTTCCTCTTCTAGTATACCCAACTGATAGTTGATCCATTAGTTCACCATCTGAAACTTGTACTTCCTGATTCTCAGGATATAGTCCTAGTAATGTGAACATAATAGATGCTGAACATAAGACAAACATAAATATCCTATATATCCTTAACATATTGAACTATTGACTGATGAGAATGTTTATGTTCTCCCAAAATATCTTAATTGCTTAATCTTTTTATCAGAAATATCCTGTCTTTTTACATTCTTTTTTTATTGGTTTTGGTCCAACAAGTAGAATGTACATTTTGCATTCCTTTGAGGGTTGATCAAAAAGTTATCATAATGATATTTTATTCTTTTGATAGAAATAATAGTGGATGCTGTCCTATCATTTAAATATTTTCATTTGTATACAACATCAAACGTATCATCACTTTAGTTAAAGATAGTAGATATTTTAGCTTTTTAGGATAATTGTGCGAGAAATAGGACAATAAGGATTGTGCTAGACCATTTTCTTGACGAAAAAAGTTGTTACCCTTTGATCGAACTCCCGTGCAGTGATATATCACTGCGGCGGGCAAGTGTCTCACCGTAAGCATGGTAACATCGTAATAAACAACTGACGTGATTGGTTCTAGTCCCATGCTCAGGTCGCGTGATTGTAAAATTTAGACAATTTCATTGGTTGAATTGCGCGTATTAACTAATAAACAACACGTGCGGTAAACTTTTATCAACACAACTTTTACTCAGAATTCCCTCCGCGGGGATTTGCTCCTATATTTCATTGATTTTGGAATATTTTGACAAAATAATTATTGGTGAACATAAAAGAACATATATTTTATAAGTTGTGTGAAAAACAAGTACATCTGTGACAAAAAGGGGGACTATCTTCCCCAAATTTTGGGGATTCCATAATCTGCCCGCCGCAGTGTCTATACCGAGACACTGCATAGGAGTTCGCCCTTTGATATTTGCCTCAATTTATATTTTGAGTACAATTCATATATCTACAGGTATTTCTTTGATTCATTCTCATATGTTTTTGAATGAACATGTTTATGACAAAATAGATAATAAGGTTGATGTTAAGAATGCATTTAATGTTGATTATGGTGTTAAAGACCCTAATGTTGCTGATTGATTAAAAGTTTTTGTTAATAGGTATTTTGAACTAAACTGAAGCAATCTTACTTCTGTATCTATTCTAAAAAAATTGATGCGGAATGAATGGGGAGCTTCATGGGATTAATCCTACATAATTATATAACATTATATAAATAATATATATTATAAGAGGCCCGATCAGAAAGTAAGTAACCAACTGCTCTTATTTCTTCATACCTTATTCAATTACATTGAAATTTTCACAGATGATGTAGAAAATATTAAACTATTAAACAGGACCAAGGACAATGGGTTAGCATCAAGTCCATTGTTATTGCTGTTGCTATGGTGACAATTGTTTTGGGTAGGTGGGACACCCTGTTTTAAGTTGCGTTTGAAGATAATTTATAGAGTTTTTCTACATGTTGTAATACCTCCAATATATTCAGATTATTAGAAAAAGATTCAAGGAGGTGCAAATGAATATCATATCACTTTTTGCCTCCTTCCAAAATTTTAATAGTGCAAAGTTGAGTATAACACAATGATCAACCCTCGTATTCAAGGAAAGAGTTTTTTAAACCTCTGAAAAAATCTTACATTGCTCTTTTTGTAAAATACAAAATAAAGATAAAATATTTTTATTGTTCTGAAATATATTCACTGGACATAAAGTTTATATTCTGAGTTGTCCAGAAATTCGAGAAAATCAGATGCTTTAAGTAAATTCTAGAGATCATGATTATGGACACATATGACCATGGAACATTTTAAGCAGAGGAAGCTGGGTTGTCATGAAGATACAGGCTACTGAGCTCAGTGAATGGAGTTGACATCTTCCTCCCTCCTCTTCAATTTATGGTCCTGTGAATAAAACAAAAAGTGAATGTTAACTTGCTGATTACCATTCTTACTGAAATTAATAACTTTCTGGAAGTTTATAATGACTTAAAAGTTTTGACCATTTATTCGTTTACTTTATTTTTAATTTTTTTTTCTTTCTTAGAATTGTTTATTTTTTACATACAAGATTACCACCATGTTATTATATTCTAGGGTTATAGCACATCAATAGCACAGAGTAAAGTTGAAATTTTAACTTTACAGAAAAAAGATCAAGTTTCTTTTAGCTCCCTTTTGATAAGGTCACATTATTGTTCTTTCATTCATTTAGATATGTATACCAAGTTGAAGTTATTTTGAATATAAAGTTCTATGGAAGCTATTTGATATTGGACAGGCCCGTAGCCAGAATTTTCCAAGGGGGTTCACTTTTCCAAAAAATTCTAGGGGGGTTCACTTTGGCAAATTTGGCCAAAAATCACTCAAACAAATAGTCAGAATGGTGAAAAACTGCATGATTTTGAAAGAAATTTTGGCCAGAGTGTTCGCCCAACCCCCCCCTGGCTACAGGCCTGTTGGATATTAATTAAGGAAAGATATTATATCTGAAGGTCTACCAGTGAAGATTTCATATCCCCCACAATGATGATAGGCATTTGTATATACAGTAGAACCCACATATCCAAACACCTCTCTAATCCAAACATCTCTTGATATGAACATTTTTTCTCATTTTTGTTCAGATAAGCTTAAATCAAATAAAATACAGTAAACTGCATAACAATTGTGAAACATAACTAGAAAATAAAAATCATCTTAAATCTAGATAAATAATTAATAATGTATTCAAGAAATATAAAAGGCAAATTATGGCACTGTTCAAAGTGTCGCCATCATTAGAGTAGACATGGAATGAGCTCCATCTATTGACCTGTACCAATATTCAATTGTTGGATTTACACTAGAGCCCTAAGACGTCTTGGCCAAAACGTTTTAACGTTAAAACATTTCACAAATGTAATGTAAATCCAGATTTTCTCAAGAGCTCTCGGCTAAGAGCGCTTAGCTAAAACGTTTTAGTACCCTAGTCATAGCCAAGACGTCTTAGCGTTAAAATGTTTTACAAGCGAGTGTAAATCCATCGGTTTTAGCTAAGAGTGCTTAGCCTGGTTTTATGCGTTGCGCTTAACGAAAAATTCCTGATTACATGTGTAGCATGGTCGTTTCTCTTGTCTCATCCATTTGTTACCAATATCATCCAAAAAATATCGAGAAGAGCTAATTCGCCTAGAGTTCTATCATAATCCTAATATATGCACAAAATCTTCCTGCCCCCTTTCATGCTTTTAACAATGCTGTGTTTAGGACATATTTTTTTTGAAACCGATGCATTCTTAAGCAGAAAGTATAGAAGCGGGAAAGGAATAGCTATGTGTCGAACTGCTTTTTTCATTTTACATGTATGCCTACATATCTCTAAGACGTTTTAGAAAAACAGGTGTAAACTCAATCATATTTCGTAAGACGTCTTGAAAATGGTGGTGTAAACTCAACATGATTTTACTAAAACATTTTAGCTAAGACGTCTTGAAATATTGCATGTAGTGTAAATAGGGTTAATATCATCTTATACAATATATTGATATTGTGTTTTTTTATTATTATCTTTTTGTTTGAAAGAATACATTTATGATTTATTTATTTAGGAGATGTATTTGCAACAAACAAGCAGGCCTTGTTAAATTCAGTACTGTATCAGTACAGTGTATGTATGTCAACATGACACTGAAAAGTTTATTCAAGATAATTAATTGATGAAGTCACAATGAATAGAACAATTGAAATGAAATATGTGGCTGCTGACTAATATGAGTTTAGTGAGTTTTGAGTGAGTAATGAGTTTTTATACAACTTTAGATTTTATTCTGCCCTTTGTCAAAGTCCTCAATCCATTCAATGATCAGTAAAATCATTGATCATCAGGGTTCAGCTGCCTTAGTTCCAATGGCAACCGTTTTTTTTGCCCTTTTCATTGGCATTGCCTGTATGTTTTTTTTATTTGTGGCAGTATTGTTTTTGGCTCACACAGTGAGCCTATGGGATCAACCAGGCGTCCGTCCGTCCGTCCGTCCGTCCGTCAACATTGGCCGCACGAATTAAAACTACTATTCGGATTGAGTCATATCTACAGTCATTTTATGCATATCAATAATGCCTATTTGACCTATCATCGCCATTTCCCAAGTTCGCCCGGTTTCCGAGAAATTGCTGATTTTGACGTCAAAAAGTCCAATTTTCTGTAAATACTAGACACTTTGTTGAAGTAGAACTTTCAAATAACTTGAAGTAGTTGCTGTATATGCAACTTATGTCCTCTGAAGATTTCAAAGCTCTTGGAATTACAGTTTTTGGTCCTTACTCTATAAAATTTGACAAAAAGTAGGACTTATTTCAGGAAACTTTCTTATGTATAAAGTCAATGGCAGGTCAATGAAGGTTCATTTCTTACAATGAATTACATCATAACTAGATTTAAGCATTCCCTACATATTGCTCAATATATGTCAGCATCAAATTTTTACCGTTTTTAGATATTTGACGTCAAAAAAACAGTTAAAATAAGTTATTTTTTAACTTGCTTCAATTTGACCAAATTTTTTTTTGAAAATCATCTACAAGTTACCAGGAGTTCAAATCTGACATTCGTTTTAGGATTTGACCTTTACTTGACCTTCAGTGACCTTTGAAAGGTCAAAAAGGTTGATTTTTCAAATTGATTTTTGGATGTAAATTTTGGTCAGCTTAATCACAAAAGACCTTACTGAGCTCTAAATAAGTAAAATTTTCAAGGTCAAGGTCATCAAACTAGGTCACACAACTGTGCTGTCCTGTCTAAGTTTCTCAAAGTTCGAGACTACAAATCCAAATCAATATTTTTGTTTGAAAGTCAGGATATACATTCCTCTGAAGGTTCCAAACTGTGTGAGCACAGGACCGTGGGTCCTATTTTTATTAACCTTAGTCTGAACCATGGTCATCAAATATTGCCCAATACATCATATAATCTTGGTCTTTTAATTCATTGAATCACATGACAATGTAGAAATATGAGTATAAATAATCTTCATTATGTATCAGATAAGGGTAATATTATAATTGAACCACTAAAACTGATGAATATTCAAGTTTAAGGGAACTTTCTGAAATACCCTGCTATGGTATCTTCCCTGAATCAGCCACCTGGTGGTGAAAATGGTACTACCTACTCGCATCTGGGTAATTATTCAAAATAATACAAAATGTAAATTTTTCATTTGTTTATTTATTTGGTTGCAGTCAGTTGTCTATGTGGACAAGAAGATCTGTGGATGTGAAATGGATGGGAGAATTGTGCTCAGGTAAGGGACCATCTCATTATTTGTCCCATTGAGCAAAGTTCAAATGGGATATAGTGAATCCCTCTGTCCATCTGTCAGTCCATCTCTCCTAAAATTTAAATACTGTGTGTTATTCTGTATATTGATCATCCCTAAGTTTCTAGAAAGCCTTCCATTATACTTTTGTTGTTTTCTTGAAAAAAGAAATAACAGCATGATGTAATTCAGTGAAAATTTATGGTGATTTTGGTTCAGTCAAATGAAAGCATCAGTTCAACATAGATTAATTCAATTCAATCTATTTAATGTCCCTTCACCTTTTATTCTGGTTAATATGTTGATATGAAAGACATGTCGGAAGGGTGAAATATTGTAATGCCAAAACAGGTAAAATTATGTTTTACATGTTGAGTAGAAAATATAGGAGATCACTGAATTACATAAAGATTTTCAATTCTCTGTTCCAGTCTGAACAACACACTTTGGTTAGACCCTCTAGTCCACCGTGAATACCTCCCAACATTGAAAATGACAACAAATGCTTATGAGTTGAGACGTGAAATCTTACAGAACAATCTTGCCATTGAGAACCCTGACCACATTAACCTACTGTACAAACAGTGTGAGGGCAGGATTGAGCTACCTGACACGACACCACCAAAGAAAGAAGATAGGTAAAAATATGCTGTAGGGGTATTGCTTTATTGGATACTGTCTGTGTAAGAGTTATAGAGGGGGACAATTATGCTTCTTTCTGGGATATTGTCCTCCCTACCAGTTTTTATGTCCCCACCACATAGTGTGGGGCCATATTGTCGGCCTAGGCGCGTCCGTCTGTCCGTCTGTCCGTCTGTCTGTCCGTCTGTCTGTCCGTACGTCCGGCAGTTTTCTCCAAAACCGCTACAGATATCACCTTCAAATTTTCAGGGATAACCTATGAGTGCATACAGATGTGGATGAAAAAAAATTAACTCGATACCTACTTCCTGTCGGCCATTTTGAAGTCAAATGCTAAAATCCTTGTCTGCAAACTTTAAGAAAAACTGCTTCACAGTTGCTTTTAAAACTTTAACATCTTGTTCAGCTCACTTCATTCTAGATCTGATTAGGTTTTGGACCTGCTAGCTCAGTCATGTCAGCCATTTTGAATGTCTTAAGAAAAGTTAGCGCGCGATAATACTTTGTATCATATTGAATGGTGTTTTTGAGTTTTCATACTTTAACTATTTAGTAGCTTTATAAATAATTTCAGATGTACTTTGCTGTAAAAGCCTACTTTATTGTTAACAGTAGTTATATGTGATAATTTTGTAAAAAGAAATCAGCAAAAACTCATAAGGACTTTTTTATTGTCGGCCATTTTGGATTTTTCGGTCCTAAAATCTTGTCTGTGAAGTCTTGTCTGTGCGTTTTCAGGTGAACCGTTTGGTGGATCAATTTCAAATTTTCAGGGATGATTCTTAGTATAAAAATCTAGATCTCATTAGTTTTTTGGCATTCTGGGTAAATGTCAAGGCAGCCATTTTGGATTTTCCGTCCTAAAATCTTGTCTGTAAAGTCTTGTCTACTCGTTTTCAGGTGAACCGTTTTGTAGATCAATTTCAAATTTTCAGGAATGATTCTTAGTATGAAAATCTAGAACTGATTAGTTTTTTTGCATTCTGGGTAAATGTCAAGGCAGCCATTTTGGATTTTCTGCTTAAAATCTTGCCTGTAAAGTCTTGTCTACGCGTTTTTAGGAGAATGGTTTGATAGATCAATTTCAAATTTTCAGGGATGATTCTTTGTATGAAAATCTACATCTGATTACTTTTTTTGCATTCTGCGTAAATGTTAAGGCAGCCATTTTGGATTTTCTGTCCTAAAATCTTGTCTGTAAAGTCTTGTCTACCCGTTTTCAGGTGAACCGTTTGGTAGATCAATTTCATATTTTCAGGGATGATTCTTAGTATGAAAATCTACAAACAGATTAGTTTTTTGACATTCTGGGTAAATGTCAAGGCAGCCATTTTGGATTTTCCATCCTGAAATCTTGTCTGTAAAGTCTTGTTTACATGTTTTCTGGTTAACTGAGTGACAGATCAATTTCAAATTTTCAGGGGTGGTTCTTAGTATGAAAATCTAGAACTGACTAAATTTTGGGCATTCTGGGTTAATTTTAAGGTGGCCACTTTGGATTTTCCGTCCTCAAATTGTGTTGGTAAAGTCTTGTCTACTCATTTTCAGGATAACCATTTCACGGGATCACCACTTGGTGGGGACATTTTGTACACATTTGTGTTCTTGTGATAAAATGTAAAGGAAAATTATCATTTTACAATAAAATTGATGACCTTTTGCTATAGTGAATCGATTCTTATATTATAAAACATGTAATACTCAATTTTACAATATTTATCAGAACGTTATTATTGAAATCTTATTTCATATTAAAACAGAAAATTATTTTTGCCCCTTCTTTTTGTCTGTTCCTAGATTACACAATTTCAGTATTTTTGTTTACATTTGGTGAACAATCATATCATTCTTAAAGACTGTGATACTAAAGTATGTTTTGTCCCCAGGGCAAAGATCCCAGAAACTGAAGTCCTACCAGAAGGAGAACAGGACCATATTGTCCAGATTTCTTATGTGGCCTCACCAGGATGTTTCTTTGTACACAAGAGGGAGAACATCCAGAGGTGAGAAATAAGTCTGTTTATTACTTTTAAAAAGGCAGAATCAGATCTTATAGAGGATGACAAAATTGTAGGCAATATGTACAATTGACCTATCAATGTATTTATTACAATCTCAATGTCTCCCAAAATATTTGTGATATGTTATCAATTGGTGTGAAAATGGGAAAAAGTATTCTCCCAAATAGTAAAAATGGAAATCTTATTCATAGAAAAATGAATGCATATTGTAAAAATCTTTATTTTTCCTCAACTAAAGTTAGAAACTAAACTAAAGAAATCAAAGTATTGAGAAGAGAAAATTTTGCCATACTTCTAGCCACTTTTATAGCAATCAAATGGGGAGGGGGTTAATTATTTCAAACTGTGCAATTTACTGCAAGTTTAACTGGATTAAGTTTGTATTAAAATATACTAAATAACTGAACCTGTTAAACCTATTATGCTATCTTATTATAGTAGTTAAAAATTAGATTCCAATAATTGGACATTTCATCAAGTGCAAAAACTTCAATCAATGTTTGTCAAATCTTGTTAATTTTGATAAGTGAACCACACAGGTGTACTTTTGTGAAATGGGTCATTAATGGTTCATTTATAAGATGTGCTTTGACAAGTGGCGATATTTCTTTATTTCTCAATGTATATAGGTGTTGAACAATATCCTTTTTGCTGTTTAATAAGTTTATTCTTCTTTTTTTATTGATGGTTTAACCATGCTGTTTTGTTGCTACACGTCATGATTTTACATAAAATCAACAAATTTTGTTTGACATTCAAATGAATTATTGCATTTTTCCCAGTTTTTTTTATGTCACTACCACCACCACCACAAGTGCTGACATATTGTTATAGTCTCCAACTTTTCTGATGGCAAATGTTGACATTTTGCATGTTTGCAACCAATTCTGTAATGTTTAGTCGATGTGTTGATGTATTGTCCCATATATTATTGTACCATATTTATGTATTGCACCATATTTATACTAGTTAACTAACCAAGATGTACTTTTAAACATAATAAATCTATTTTGGATCTCAAAGGCTCTTTCAACAGAAATTAAGATAAATTACATACTGTTACATTTTAAGGGCTCATTGGGTTTAGCTACTTGACTCGAGTATGGTACATGTTTGCACTATTACATTGATTATGGTATATGTTTGTAACATTACAATATGTATGGTACATGTTTACACTGTTACATTGTGTATGGTACATGTTTGTAACATTACAATATATATGGTACATGTTTACACTATTACATTGTGTATGGTACATGTTTGTAACATTACAATATGTATGGTACATGTTTACACTATTACATTGTGTATGGTACATGTTTGTAACATTACAATATGTATGGTACATGTTTACACTATTACATTGTGTATGGTACATGTTTGTAACATGACAATATGTATTGTACATGTTTCTACTGTTACATCGTGTTCATATACTGGTTAACATTGCTACTGTAAAATGTCATATCATATTGTGCATTAAGATTTCTCGCAACAGGAAGTTTAGTTCCAGCTGCTGTGTAGCGAATTGAATGTTGCACACTGGATGTTTTATCCTGAACAATGTCTGATATTTGATCAAATATATTATCGAGCATGTTGTATTGTTTCCCATGTCCTTCATGGATCATATCTTTACATATAGAGTTAAGTTTCTGTTCCAGTTGACGTTGTTGACGCTTTGGTCGTGTGTTGAAGGTCCTGTTACGTTTGTTCGCAAACCATGCTTTGACTTGCGCGATTGTGATTCCTCCTTCATCTGCCATCTTTTGCTTTTGTTCTTCTGTGGGGTATGGCTGGTCGGTGTGCTTCTCGTACCATTTGGACATTATTTCTATGGCTCTTGAGTTTAATTGCCGTGATTTTTTCTGTTCTTTTCCTGAGAGGGCAAAGCTTGATTTCAGAAGTTCTAGACTCTGGCTGACTCGTGTCACAAGATGATGAGTTTGTTCATTGAAATGTTTGTTCACTTCTGATTCCGTCTCACCAAAATTGGTCTTTCCAACTTTAAGACCACTTAGTGCATCGCTTCGTTGAGTTTCAATCGTAACTGATTGTGTCTGGTAAAAAGTTTCTAATTCACTGACTTTTGAGTTTTTCAATGACGACAAGTTTGAAAATTCATCCAATAGTTCACCTTCGTCAAGTCCCTTATTTTCTTTGGCCTTATTTGGAAGAACAGTAAATGGCGATTCCATTTTTGAGATATCATCTGCAAGAGTTTTCTTAAGGTCCAAGAACATTGGATGTTGAGTAAGCTGCGACAGTAAATGTTTCTCTTTTGGAAGAACAGTGGTATCTCCTTTCAAAATGGCAGCCATTTTGTTAAATGATGACGTCTACTTATATTCCTCTTTACAGCTATTTCCAGAGTTTTTTACTATCAGATTTATTAAATTTTTAATATCCTAAAGTATAATCTCATGTAAATCTTCTTGTATAACCGATTCAGTTAATTCCAAGTTCAAAGTAAATTATAATCTAAAATAAATCCTTAATGTTAACACCAATGTTAAAATCACTTTTACTCCATAGTTTAAAACACTTCTGTGATCTGTGTTAGAAACATTAGTCTTACTTCTTGGAGAAAAAGTTGCGGAATAATTGTAATCAAGTGTGTCACATGTTTTATCTATGCCACCAGGATGTTGCGGGCTAACTTACATTTTCGATTGCAAAGTTATAATTAAGCCAAAAGTTTGTCTTTTTCCAAAATTAGCCTTTTTGATAGCAACTATATGTTTGTATCTAGATCTGGTAATTTGATATTTTTTTTGAAGAGGAATAATTTAAATGATGATTGTAAATGGATTAAGGAGAAAACATTGGGAAATGTATCTGTTTTGTTAACGAAGCATTGTACAATTGTTGTCCTGTATAGATATAGAAAATTGGGAGAGGAAAATAATACAAAAATCTATCTATCTTTTTAATTAAGAAAAATATGTTAGTTTTGATTAATGCACTTTTTTCTGACTAAAAATGAAAATAAATTGATTTTTATTAATCGAAGAGTTAAAAAGTCTTTTAGCTGTTTCACATTCACACAACCTCTAGACACGTCATTCATGCAGTCGCAAAAATACAAAGATTAAATTTTTTTGAATATCAAGGTTTCTGAATAGGTAAACCTCAAATTCAGTATTGCTCTCCCATCTTTAAAAACAGATATTTTAAATCATCTTTTATTGTGACTTTGTCAGCAAATAAATTCAAGATCATGGATTTGATTGATGTTTTCACATGAAATGAGGATGACTATTCTTTTGGGGGAAACTATTTTTATTGCAGCCAACTCAGGACACTCACTGTACTGTGTAAGCTCAAACTGAATAATTGAGATACAGTACATGATGGTAAAATATAATGGCCTATCCTCCTATTCATAATGTCAGTTTATAAATAATGATATAATTTTTCTTGATCTGTATACTTGAAATTAAACATTATTTTTATGTGGCTTTGGTTTTAAATGCTTTGAGTTAGGATACAATATTATAACGCATCAATGAATGTCTTTGTGATGTAAGATATTCGCTCGTAAACTTATAAAACAAACTTTGTTGTCAAGTTATGGGATGTATTCAGTATACCTACATGTTACATTGATTTTGGAAACTATGAAACTTGATGATCCTTGTTTGTTGTTGAAAATTTATGTAAATGTTTGTTTGTTGTGATAGTTTGAAGTAATTGTCTATGAAGGATATTTGAGTAGATAAGTTTTTAATTGTTTGATTCTAAAGTTGAGGAAGTTGGTTTGAATATCATATTTTTGAGTGTTCACACACGTGGCCATTCTTTTTTCATTCAGTTTATATGTAAAACAGTTGATTTTATGATATTTCTGTATGAATTAGTGTATTTTCTACATGCATGGTTAACTTTATTCCTTGCTAATTCCATTTTTTAAACTTGGCCCTTATTTGGAAATTCAGTTTTTAAAACAACAAAGGAAGTTAGCTTCAGATGTTTGGATGTCATGACAACCATGTTTTGCTGAAATTCAAAATGCTTTTATGAGATAAACATTTAGAGTTTCAATCAAGAAAATGTCAAAAATAGTTAAAAAATCATAGATGATATATTCAGACAGAACAGCTCTTTGGAATAATTATCAGTTTGATGAATGAGGTACAGACAGACTGTTCTTTAACACCACATTAGCCTATAAGACCTTTTGTATTATTACACATCCCACCTCTCAATTATATGCCTTAGATTCCTTTAGCAATCTCTGTATGGAGTCCTAACACCCCTCTGGTTTTACTGATGACATTAACTTGGACGCGTCCACTATTGAATAAAGTAGTTTGTACACGTGCCAACGTCCTCAATTTCCCCATACATTAGTGCAATCAACACACGTTTTTGTTTGAAACAAAAAATTTATATGGAGAACAACAAGTCGTCAGTTGTAAAGGATATTAACCTTAATTCAACAATGAACTACAATGTCAATGAACAACTGGAAGATGGACAAATTCCTGACTTTTCAAGTCAACTTCAAAGGGATACTTCAAATTTGCTGCAAGGGAACATTTTCTCTGGCGAGGAAAATCCAACTCCGGGTAGCATGCCATCCCACACCATCACCAGCGGCATAGACATTGACAACAACATCAACAGTGACTTCATGAATCGTGGGCTCATTCCACCAGGAAATGAGGGGCATGATATGAACTCACAAGGGAAGGACTTGACTTGCCAGTCAAATTTCAACCCTACTTTGGATACTCGTGATTCTGGGCTCACCTCCCTACCCGGGACTGAGGTGCAGGACACATCCAACTTTCAACATCACCACCCTACAACAGGGAGAGACTTCATACAGTCTAATAGTCTGAATTCAATAGGATTCAGAGCAACAAACACTTTACCATCTAAGAGGTTTTCAAAATCTCAACAACAACAACACTCCGAACTGCGGACCTATCAAAATCAACAACCAGGGCTAGCCTCAAGTATATCGCCAGATATGGTCCAAGATATTATCAAAGGACTGACTCCAACTCTTGAATTGCTCGTAGCAAACAAACAACTTGACGTTGAACTTCTAGGTGAAACAACCAACAGAAGCAGGTCCGCTAAAAGAAGGGAGGTACAAAGAGCGAAAAAGCGAACTGTTTCGCCGTCTAGTCTACAGTATGTTTCCCCGGACCGGGCATCTAGCCCCAAACGGGCAAGAAGTGATCATCCCTACAGCGAAGTGGACTCGCCCGTGACCTCTCCTGCGCACATGCGCCATGACAGCAATAACCCGGAAGACTCGGATTCTTCCAATTCCGACAACGATCATGACTTAATTTGTTGGAAGAACTGTGTTAAACTAATTAAAAATGCCTTTCCGAGTCATTTTAAAACAACTACAGACTATAACACAGAAACACAAACGGAAAATAGACCGCTAGGACTTCAAACTTTGGGTAAGAAATCTACTTCTTCAGACACAACAAAAGGCTTACCGATCGGGCCTTCAGTGCTACAGAATTTCGCCAACATTAACCAGGAATTAGCCAACAAGAAAAACATGAATGACACTACCTTCCTGTTAAGACCAAAACGATCGTTCACGTCCCTCAAAGAAGATGAACACTTCTATAAAAAATCCATTTTGAATGGGACAACTAAGGAACTTGTTCCACATTCCATGAAACTATCAGATTTGGCTTCAACTTCTTACCAGCTTCCAGCCAAACACCACAAACTGTTGGAAGAATCAGCGAGAGCTCCTCTTCGTCATCTGTCTCACACTGAATGGATTCTAGGGACAACAGGGAAAATCATTGCGGAGAATTTCCCTGAAAATGAGGATCTCGTCAATCTTATTACAACAGCTTCAACTATGGTAAATAAAGCTACAAGGGACACCATTTCAAATGTCACAAACGTCATACTGACTCAAAGGGACAGGGTAAGCTCCAAGTTCAGGAAGTCAGACGCTGAAGCCCTTAGGAATCTCCCCATCGACACAAAATTTTTATTTCCTGAAGAGGATTTAAAAAATATCTGTGAAGGGTCGGATAAATCTAAAACCTCAAAAGCGCTACAAGATTTAGCTTCAAACTGGAAAAATCGAAAACAGAATTATGATAAATCCAGTAATAACAACTCCAACAGAAGTAGTAATCAACATTCCAACTTTAACAGGAACAACTTCAACAACAACAACAACAACAACAGAAACAACAACAGAAACAACAACAGAGGAAACTTCTCTGACCGTTCTACTTCTACAAAATCCAACAACAATAACAACAAATCAGGCTTTAAGAAGCGTAAATGACACTTCAATAACATCAATGTCCCAGCCCCGCCTCCCCCCGTTCTCACCTATGTCCCAGCTGGGACCAGTGGGAGGCAGGATTCAACTACACTTAAAAAACTGGGAACTCATCACAAAGGACCAATGGATTTTAAATGTGATAAAACATGGCTACATGCCACAACTAGTGAACAATCCACCTTTGACAAAAAACTTCAACAACTTCGAATCGGCATCAAAAACAAAAGCTCTACTGCTTCAAAACATAGTAGATCTCCTAATTCAAAAACAAGCTGTGGAGGAAACAGACTACAACACACCGGGCCACTACAGCATCATATTCTTACGCCAAAAGCCAAACGGAGATTACAGACCCATAATAGACCTGTCTCTCCTCAACAAACACATAATATGCCCAAAGTTCAAAATGGAAACTTCAGCCAAAATATCAAACTCTCTACAAAAGGGCGAATGGGCCACATCCATCGATTATCGGGATGCTTACTACCATATACCGATAGCCAAACCATTCAGGAAGTTTCTTCGCTTCGTGATCAACAACAAAGTGTACCAATTCAAAACACTTCCATTCGGAATGTCCACCAGCCCTTATGTTTTCACAAGAGTGACATTAGCAATCGGTGCCTTCCTACACTTCCAAGGGATATTAACACACCAATATCTCGACGATTGGCTAATACGAGCCCCATCTGCACAACAGTGCCAAATATGGACACAAACAGTACTATCAGTGACGGAAAAACTCGGTTTTGTGATCAACAGAGAAAAATCCGAACTGATCCCAACACAGATTTTCAAGTACATAGGCACCCAATACAACCTAATACTAGGCCTAACATATCCTCCGCAAGACAGGATCCAGAAAATCTTAGAAATCGCACAATTATTCACCAATACCCTTTCTCAACCAACAAGGCAGTGGATGAAACTACAAGGCCTACTAGCCTCAGCAGAGAAAAATATACCCTGGGGCAGACTATACATGAGACCAATTCAACAGTGCCTAGCCAGCCAGATGTCTCCTACAAAATCACTAGAGACACCAATCTACATCAACCAAGAAGTAATAAACACACTGAAATGGTGGATGGACGAGCAGAATCTACTCATGGGTCAACCTCTGGGAATGTTTGTTCCAGATCACACAATCTTCACGGATGCATCGGAGACTATGTGGGGTGCACACATGGACTCTGTGGAAATCAATGGATTCTGGTCCCCATCGGAAATGAGAAACCACATCAACTGGCTAGAACTAGCGGCAGTATTGAAAGTTCTACACAAACTGAACCATCTACTGGTACCTCAAGCAAACATTCTAGTTTGCCTGGACAACACAACAGCCCTAAGCTACATAAACAAACAAGGCGGGACAAAATCGAAAAGTCTTCTGACCCTAAGCCAGGAAATCCTAATCTGGTGCAAAAACCACCAAATAAACATAAGAGCTCAACATATAGCAGGATCCCTAAACCGACGGGCAGACGCACTATCTCGGGACAGGATAGTGAACACAGAATGGTCTCTACTCCCACAAATAGTGAAACGACTGTGGCAAATATGGGAGACTCCTCAGTTAGATTTGATGGCGACATGTCACAACAACAAACTACCACTATATGTATCCCCAGTACCAGACCAAAACAGCTTGGGAACAGACGCAATGTCAATCCCGTGGGACAATCTCAACTTCTACATATTCCCACCAACAAGCATGATCGACAAAGTTCTAACAAAAATGAGAACACACAATTGCGAAGCCATAATGATAGCTCCAAAATGGCCAAATCAACCTTGGTTCACGCAAATTCTGGAACTTCTAACGGACTACCCAAGAACGCTTCCAGTGTCTCAAAAACTACTAAAAATGCCAAAGACAAGCATGTTTCACCAGACTCCGGAAATATTTGCCCTTCACGCCTGCAAATTGTCAACGACACCCTCAAAAAACAAGGCTTTTCTACAGAAGTGTCTCTTCGAATCTCAGAATCACCAAGGAGGAAATCCACAAATAAACTCTATGATTCCAGGTGGAACACCTTCACTGTTTGGTGTTATGAACGGAATTCAGATCCATGCCAAGCAGATATTCCTCTAGTGGCAGAGTTTCTACTATATCTTCACCAGACTAAGAAACTTTCAATTCCTACCATTGAAGGATACAGAACTGCCATTAATACAGTACTGAAAAAATCATCTGATATCGACCTGACTGATAATTCCCTCATAGGCGATCTTATCAGATCTTTTAAACTGGAAAACCTGACACCAAGGAACATGGTACCTAAATGGAATCTTGTATTTGTTCTTAATGCTTTATCCAAAGCACCCTTCGAACCTATGGCCACAGCGGAACTTAAATTCACATCATGGAAAACACTCTTTCTTTTACTCATGGCTTCAGGGAAGAGAAGAAGCGATATACATGCACTCGACTTCAGACGTTTAAAATGGTCAGAATCCAGGGACCAAGTAACTATGTATCCCTTCATAGGATTTCTACCAAAGTCACTATCAGCTGCAGAAGGAGAATCTCGCTTTCAACCAATCCTCATTAAAGCTCTCACCACACTGGTGAATAGAGACTCTCCAGACAGGACACTTTGCCCCCTCAGAGCTCTACGTTACTACCTTCAAGCCACAGTCTCAACAAGGGGCAACCGAAATAGACTGTTTATACCATACAAAGCCGGATATACTGGAGATATACACGTAAACACTATATCTTCTTGGGTGAAAAATCTGATCTTGTATACTTACAAAAATTCACAAGAAACAGATTACCAAATCAACTCTATTAAAACCCACGAAACCAGGGCCTTATCTGCAAGCCTTGCTGTTCAAGCAAATCTGTCAGTTACTGCAGTTCTCAAAGCCTGCTCATGGGCAAATCACAACACATTCACCAGCTTCTACCTACGAGATACTTCAGTGATCGAGGGAGAACTGCGGAAATTAGGCCCTATGATGGTTGCAGGCTCACTATACAACATATAGCATCTTCAACAGCCTTGTGGTGAGTCATCATCATTAAACATTCTCATGATTTTATAATGTAAATTATTTAGAATGTTCTACTTGTTGGTTTGTGGGTCCCTCTGGTTTAACTGAATTCACCCACCTCCTTTTCGGCTACATTCAGGCATATAATTGAGAGGTGGGATGTGTAATAATACTGGGAAAATCCTTTTTTAATTGATTTTCCTGTTTATAAACATACCCACCTCTCAATTACCAAAGTCCCACCCGACCTCCCCACTATTCATTAGGGGGAATAGGGAAATTGAGGACGTTGGCACGTGTACAAACTACTTTATTCAATAGTGGACGCGTCCAAGTTAATGTCATCAGTAAAACCAGAGGGGTGTTAGGACTCCATACAGAGATTGCTAAAGGAATCTAAGGCATATAATTGAGAGGTGGGTATGTTTATAAACAGGAAAATCAATTAAAAAAAGGATTTTCCCAATCTAAGAAACTCTGAGTGATCATTGGCGTAGCATCCGGTATGCCTGGTAAACACAGGCGTACCAGATGATTGCAGATATACTCAAAATACAACCAAATTTCAAATTTTCTGGGGAACTTTCCCCAGATCCCCTGGACGTTCATTTTTCGCTTTGTTAAATTTGTGTTCCGGTGGTGTTGTACTACTCATAAAAATAGCGCTACGCCCATGTTGATTGTCTATTATGATTAATATGATGATGTTGAAAGCCCATGGTTACAAGTATATATAATGGTATCATAGTGTGTTGACTGCTCTAATTTCAATTTATTTCAGTTTACCTGGAAAGCTTAAAATCTTTGCATCCCCCTCCATCTAAAACCTAAGAACATCTGATTTTTATGAGTTTCTTCAATTCCAAGGTTCCGTATCATTTATTCCTCAGTTCTATTATGTTTACTGCTGTCATAAAAAAATTTACCGTCTACCATAATGTAACATTATTGTATCCAAAGTTCCAACAATTTATTCATGAATTATTAACTTTATGAAGTTTTTGCATAGTGACTCCTTTTTTAGCTCACATGGTGAGCTTTTGCAATCGCTCACTTGTCCGTCTGTCTGTCTGTCCCTCCGTCTGTCCGTCCGTTTGTCTGTCCGTCAACAATAGTGGCACGTTTTAAAGCCTCTGTCGATAGGATTCCTGTTTTAAGTTATTTCTGTTCAACATCAATACAGAAAACTCCCCTATGACTCCTGGTTCAAAAGCTCGCCTATTTTCAAAATGGTTTTATTAATTGTCTAATTAGGTCAATATGGATCTTTTAAAGTTTTCATACAAAGCTGAATTAAGCTATATCAAAGAATTTATACTGTGATATGTGATTCAAGTTTTTCTTGCGGTTTTCAAAATGGTTGTCTTTTATAGTCCCCCCCCCACCTCACCCTCTGTCTACTTCACATTCTGTGGATATGAGGGGATCACTGTTTAGGGGGATGGGGTAATACACTTAAATACAGCCTACAAGGGCTTGATACAAGACTATTGGAAATGGCAATTTTGTCTTATATCAGTTATTCTATTGTGTGGTATTCCTGGCATTGGTTCCCTTTTACAGGTTTAGGAAAAAGATAAGTTGGGATTGACAATGATCTGATGTTCAACCTACTATTTTCAAAATCTACAAGTAGCCATAGCAAACTATAGTAACAATAGAGAGAATTTGCATAAAGAGACTTAAGTGAACAAAAGATCATGCTACACATAGACTAACAGGCCCGTAGCCAGGATTTCCCAAGGGGGAGTTCAGTTTTCAAAAATTTCCAGGGGAGGTTCACATTTGACAATTTTGGCCCAAATATGGCCAAAATCACCTGAAAACTGCATGATTTTGAAAGAATTTTTGGCCAGGGGGGGGGGTTCGCCCATACCTTGCGAACCTCCCTGGCTACGGGCATGCTACAGTATGCCCACCTTAACACGTTGTGCTTCATTAATTACAGCCTGAATGATCTTACTGACGACATTAACACACGCATAGAGGAGGCAAGGAATCTTAACATACCCATCAGCACTGGTATGCTATGTATCGCAAAGTTTGATGAGGATGAGGAAAATGATGCAGTAGAAGCTGATCAAGCACAGTAAGTTAAAGATCACATGTTAGCTATTAAAGGTGTAGTGTAGTTAAACACCAGCAAAAGATATGGTTGCAATGATTATAGGGAAAATTCAAAATGATTTCCTTGACCTGAAGTGAATCTCAGATTTGCCAGGTTTTGTGATGGAATGTGTTTTCTTTTTCTTTTTGATAAATCAATTTTTCAATAAATTAATCAACAAACTATGAATTTGACTCAGTTATTGTTTTTTTCGATGAATAAGTTTTGATTTGCTTTACTGTGCTAAAAATAGAATTTGAAGTTCAATATTTTCTTTCAAATAGGTCATGATGACCTTTATAATCAATTACTTTTTTACAAGTTAACAAATCAAATCTTGAATATATAGGTCTGCTTATATCAAGGTCAGCTTATGTGATCAGTAATACTTTTCTCTTCCATGCAGGTCATGTTTGATTGACAGTTCTATTTTTGCACCTTCCATATTTGGGAGTGAAATTGATGGCCTTTGTTAGAACTCCAAGGTCAAGCTGATCTGGTCACTCTTTAAGACAAATTAAAAATAAAATTTGGACTGAAAAAGATTGATTCTACCTTAATTTTTCTCAGCTAATACATATTTTTAGGAAAGATTACCTTTCAAATCACTCTTGGCTACCTTATATTAGTTTATTTGAGAGGTTTTGTCACAATCATTTTTATTTGGAATGAGGTTTTTGCAGCATTTTATACAACCATTTTGTCAAGGAATTTCTCTGGAAAGAATATGTGCAATCTTCACAAGGGTTTCATTTGAATTTTTGTAAAATGAGAACAGTCATTAATATTTGATAAATTATAAGACCCCGCCAAACAATGGTAATTTCTTAAGAGTGTTATTCAATACGATGTTACAATCTGTTTAAAATAAATGTATGTCAAAACTCCATGTTTTAATTTTAGATGTGAGTGGTATAGAGGAGTCACATTAGCATGTAGGAACAGCATAGAGTTTGAAGTGTTCTTCCTTGACTATGGAGAAAGAAGCTGGGTGAAGAAGAATGACATTTTGCCCATACTCGATGCCCATAGAGAACTCCCATTCCAAGCCATTGAGTGCTGCATTGCAGATGTCCAACCAAGAGGTAGGTACATTCAAGGTTGAAAACATGACTTTCATATATAACATACAAGCATATAGTCAAGAATGCCCAAAGGTTTTTTTCTCAACAGGTTGCTCAATCCTTACATGTACCTCTTCTTGATAAAATATCTCCATTATAGGTGGCATTCATTTTCAGATTTTTAATTTGTTGCAGGACTCAGTTAATTTAAAGCTGGGTATATCACTGCAAGCTATTGTAGGAGGCACTGATGATAGTGAATGAATAGTTTAAGTTGAAGTTGAAGTGTGAAATAAACAAGGAATTGTTAAAGTAATTGCTCTCTAATACTGACCTCTTAATGAAATAGAAACTAGAAAACCAAAGATGAGTGTACATGTACTAGCCATTCGTTTAACAACTATTACTTTCATTTCAAATTGTAGATTCAAGTTGGTCTGAAGAGAGTGGTGACTATTTACACAGTCTTGGTCGACGTGTGAATACAGATGATGAAGAAGAAGCAATAAACCTGGTTGCTAGACTCACACAGACATCTACTCCTGAATTTGCTGGTTGCCTTGGTCACAGTCAGAAGAACCATATAGAGTTGATTGATACAACATCAACTAGTGACATCTATTTGGGTCAACAGTTGGTCATTGCAGGACACGCCATTGGCTCCAAACCTGAGGCTATACAGGTATACTGAATTTGATAGTGTTGTATTGTATTTTTGTTAACAACCATATTTTGTGAGTGTTATCTCCTGTACGCTCTAGATGACAGACACAGAGCATTGTGAGAGAAAGTGCAGGCCACTGCAAATGGGAGGCTAGTCCCGGGTGGGCAGTAATGTTTGGAAGGTGCAACTTAGGTGGTCCAAAACCAGGCCAAATTGTAGAAAATGGCAAAATGAATTTAAGGGAGTCAATCAGAAAATATCCACTTATCCAAACATTCAAATTTCTCTATTTTTACTCATATTCTCCCTCACAATATGATTTTCTTCATTTTATATGTAAAAAGAAATTGTGATCATTATTATTATTTGTAGGCATTATTCCCTGGTGCTACTGAACTGACAGTGTATGATGACTACAGAAAGATACCAAGTCTCTGCAAAGCTATCTGTGAGGCGGAGGTTAGTAATACATGTACATGTACTGTAGTTGAGAATTTATATGTACTCTGAACATGCTACAGTATTTTAATTAAAGTCTAGTTCTTTGTGAAATGTCACAGATCTGTTTAAAAGTAAATTGAAAATTGGAAAATTTGGAATCCTGTAAGGCTTGGATGAAACAATAAAATAAATAGACAACTACTCTTTTTAGTACTTCTTTTTTGAATCAGCTAACTTAAGATTCCTCGAGCACTACAATGTTTATTTTCTTCTGAGCTTTGGCGATCAATGTTTATCTTATTAATTTTGGCCCAAAAAGATCTTACAAAGTGTTTTTTGGTAAACCAATAAAATCAAAACATTTTTTAAGGTAAGTTTAGTACAAACAGATTTAAACTTTTCCCACTGATGCCTGAAATGTCTTGTATATGAACTTAGATAAAATGTTTTGACATGTGTTCCCATTTAACTTTTCAGGATGATAACATTTGCTTGGAGTTTGCCCGAGAGTTATTTGAGTTGGTGAGAAGCAGCCATGTGGATGAAGTATGTGACTCAGGAGGCTTAAAGTCATTGTGTAGTCTGGCTGGAGTACCGAAGTCTGTAGAGACACTGTGCTGCGTGGTTCTTAGTCTCACGTTTTTAGCCATGAATAGTCAAAGGTTAATTTTATGAATTATTTTTCACTGACAATATTAGTACGTTTTAGTTCTTTTTTTATGTCACCACCAGAAGTGTTATTGTTATAGTCTCCAACTTTCTTGTGGATAGTGTTCAGCTTTGGTGGTTAGTGTCTTGCTTGGTGTCTGTAACAAATGACAGGTGGTGACACATATATATGGTAGTTGTAATTTGATACATCCAATCTTCTACATCAAAATATATTGGGTGTCCCAAAAAATGAATCACTTTTGGCAAATATTTTCTCGACAATTGATGAATTAGATTTTCTCATTGCGTTGCTCAGGTACGGGATCTTTTGACATACTATCTTGAATTTAATAGTACTCACATAATATTTACCCTATATTTTTATTTGTTAATGATACTCCTGGGCTACTTTGTATGAATTTTCATTGAATTTGGTTTATCAATTTCTGAGAAAAAACTTGTCAAAAAGCGATTCATTTTTTGGGACACCCGATAAATAATATCGTATTGCAGGTTTTAAGTATCAAGGCGAAAGTCACAATTGTTGGAGGAAAACAAGAATAAACAATGCTAGTTAATGTATAAAAGATAAAATGACCTCTATGTATAATAAAAGTATATCATTAACAACATTTTTTCAGAAACTGTGACCAAATTCGCTCAGATGGTGGATTAAAGACACTCTGCAACTTACTGTGTAAATGTGAGGATCCAAGACTACAGAGTGACGTGGCTATTACCTTAGAGAAGCTGGCTCTCCACAGTGAACAGTACGTTAAGCAGATCATTCCAAAATGCAGTTCAGTTGAAATATCTGTAGTATTTGACTTACATATTATCTTTATTTATTGGACAAATAGTTTCCTAGTACAGCAAAATATGTATATATGAACACCTTTCTAATCTGAACATCTCTCGATGTGAACAGTTTTTTGGTCTGATTTCAAATCTGCAATAAATTTCAATGTTAAAAACCTCTAAATGTGAACATCTGCCAATCTGAAAACTTTTGAATAAATGGCATTTGAATGAGATGTGGTACTATTGGTTACTTTGCTCAGGAAAATGTATCGGAATATATTAAAGCATTTTTCCATTTGTGAATAATTCAACCTCAGAGTTTTATTCCATTCCATCTGAATTTTCCCTTTAATTCTCTCTTAGAAATCGCAAAGAAATCAAAGAGTTCCAAGGAGTGAAGACTCTGTGTCGTATCATTGGTGAATCCACAGATACTAAAGTGAGTATTTAGTACACTCAGAACATTCAAAACACTCAACACTAAAACTGTTACAAATACTGGAAAATGTGTACATCTACTTGTAAGTCCTCCTCCAGTTTAATACAATTGCCATGATCTGATTCAGTTTTATCATACACCACATTATGTGATAGTCTTTGATGAATAGGGCTGGCACAGAACAGAATTACAATTGTTATAAGTCTTTTAACTGAAACATTCTCTTGCAAGGCCTATCAATGAAGTAAAATGCTGATTTGGTGGCATACAAGCACCAATATATAATGTAATACAATTAGTACCAGTTAACTGTAGATTTTGTGTGACATATATAAAATGTAAGAATTGTTTGCAGGTTAGAAAAACATGTTCTACAACCCTAGCACAGTTATGTAAGGGATCACCAGGGTAAGTATTAAGTTCAATGCAGTGTACTAGGTTTTATCACACTTGAAAAGTGCTGTATTGTAGTTGTTTTGTGCTGATTGGCATATGGATAGGCCAATGGGCCTGGGGAAACATCCCAAGAAATCTCATCAGGATATCAAGAAAACTTTTCATATTTAAATTTGATGCAAAAGCAGAGCAGTGCCAAGATCTGAATAGATTTTAAGACATGATGACCATGATGGGTCACTTACAAGGCAGCTATTTTGAATTTTATGTTTGATGTACTTCACATAAGGAATATTGTTAATTTCCCTATTATGACTGGTTGAGCTTTTCGATGTTTCTTTATCTGGTTATGTTTTGTTTTTCCCCTCTTTTGCAATTGTGTTTTCTAATTAAACATTTCCTTGTTTAAAGGTTTCAGTAAAACATGTTTTCATAATTATAGGAACTGCAAACTGGTTGAGCTTTTCGATGTTTCTTTATCCGGTTATGTTTTGTTTTTCCCCTCTTTTGCAATTGTGTTTTCTAATTAAACATTTCTTTGTTTAAAGGTTTCAGTAAGACTTGTTTTCATAATTGTAGGAACTGCAAACTTGTGAAGAGTCTAGGAGGATTAAAGACATTATCAAGTCTCGTTGGATGTACTGCTGATCACGATGCCCTAGTTGCCATAACAACAGTCTTAGGAGTGCTTGCGGCAAGTTCTTCGTAAGTTAAACTTTTGTTGGAGCTTTGGATTTAGATTACATTTTCTTCTCTTTGGTGACATTTGAATTCTGTGCATATTTCCTATTAGAAGAACTTACAGAGTTATTTTATTCAATTTGCAAGGAGTTTTTGCAAGGGTTGGACTAAATCCCCATTGATACAATGTAAAAATATTTTAAAAAGTTTATTCATTATTGAAGGATAACTATTTTAAGGGTATATCTGCCTCTCTGGTCAATTAAATGCCTCATACTACTGAGAATTATGGCTGCATTCTATTACAGGAACAAGGAGACCATCAGGAGAGAAGGAGGTTTAAAGTCTATGTGCGACAACCTGGAAAACACACCCAGCATTAAGGTAGCTAATGAGAAAAATAACACAATAGACAAATATGAGGAACAGTTGAGGATTCGCAGCAGACTTGCTTTTTATTATGTCACAACCAGAAGTGTGTGACATATTGTTATAGTCTCATTGTTTTTTGTGGTTGGTGTTCGCCCGGGGTGTTTGGCACTGTTTGGTGTCTGTAACAGCGTCTGTAACAGCGGTCAGCATCTGTAACTAATGGCAGGTGGCGACATTTTGCATGTTAATGCCTTGTTAGAATTATTAAAGAAAATGAATCAATTATGTGTGTCTTTCTCTTTTTTAAGTATTATATTGCAAATTCAAACATGACTGTATTCACGCCTTCTATAAACTGTGAACAAAGTCAAAATTTCACCCACGTTTTATTTGCGAACAAAACCCCTGTTAATACGAGTAATGTGTCATGTCATAACGGCAGGCCATAGTAATGACGGACTATTAAATGAATACATGTATTTGAAAAAATGTTGGTGCCTTCATGTTCGAATCATGATAGACCTCAGAGCAGGTGTAATTGACGAATCTTAGGGCTTGGCACAAAAACTTTGAACCCTGAACGACCGACTGAAAACGTTTGTGCCTAGCCCTGCAGGGTGTATTCGTCAATATAACACCTGCTCTTCAGTCTATATCTTTCTTAGATAATGTACTGATATCTTTAAAATGGCATGGAAATAATGATAGAAAGAGGTAGACACATAATCTTTTCAATATTTTAATTTCTGAATACATTATTTAGGTGCAGGCTGCGACATTAAAAACATTGAAACATGTTGTGACCAAGAATAAATGGAACAGAGACCTTGCAATACAGCTGGGAGTGTCCAAGGTCATTAATAGGTGGGTTCAACTTTACTTTATGCAGTATATGAATATATATATAATGTTTAAGAATAAATGGAACAGGGAAGAGAGCTCTTGCGATACAGCTTGGAGTATCCAAGGTCATTAATAGGTGGGTTCAACTTTACTTTATGCAGTATATGAATATATATATATAATGTTTAAGAATAAATGGAACAGGGAAGAGAGCTCTTGCGATACAGCTTGGAGTATCCAAGGTCATTAATAGGTGGGTTCAACTTTACTTTATACAGTTGAATAAGTTTATATGTCTGTATATTTTTGTAGCCTTTATTTTTTGTTACCATCGTCAGTGTCATCATTAAGCATCTGTAACAAACCATACACTTTTCTAACCAGTTTGTAACCATGGTGACATCTTGTTAATTCCTTGTATTTATTGCAGGATCATAGAGTCACAGGACAATGAGAAACTTGTCACTTTATGTGCAGATCTTCAAAAAAAGATGGCGCCAGCTGTATCTCCCACCAAAGGTCACTCTAAACATAGTGAGCACAACATCAGGTAGGTAATGTAGTCGCAATGCAATATGGAGATGACCCTGCCATCTTTCTTTCAACATGATGTTTATTTGTCAGGCAATAAATATGTTCAGTGCCATAGTGTGAAACTTTGTTCAGATTGGATAGGAGATAAAAACATGAACGAGAAGCAAGGGATTTAATTTTAAGTGCATTGTTACAATTTCAGATCTGCATTGACTTTAAAATTAATGATATACAGGGTGTTTATAAAGTCTCTTTACAATTATAAAACAAAGTACGAAGTCTGTGTAAAGTGTAAAGAGACTTCATCGAAACCCTGTAGATTATTGTTGGGGAGTGCTGGATTGTTAGCTCACATGGTGAGCTTTTGCAATCGCTCACTTGTTATCAGTCTGTTGTAAGAGGACCCTTAATACCATTGTGTCGAAGGAATTATATTATTTACAATTAATAGTGAGATTGACAATATGTTCAATGTACTGTGTTCTTATGTCACCACCAAAAATGGTGACATATTGTTATGGTCTTCGTTTTTTTTTGATGGCGGTTGGTGAACGGCATCTGTAACAAATTCTTACAACTTGCAATAACTTGAAAAATACTGTTTAGACCGACTTTAATTTTTTTCGAAATCATCTACAAATTTTCAGAAGTTCAAATCTGACTTTATATATAAGATTTGAGATTTGACCTTCAATGACCTTCTCAAGGTCAAAAAAAGGTCAAAATAAGTATTTTTTAACTTGCTTCAAATTTACCAATTTTTTTCAAAATCATCTACAAGTTCACAAGAGTTCAAATCTGACTATAGATTTGACCTTAAATGACATTCTCAAGGTCAAAAAAGATTTGACCTTCAATGACCTTCTCAAGGTCAAGAAGGTCTTTTTCATCTTGCTTCAAATTGACCAATTTTTTTTCAATTAAAAATCATCTACAAATTCAAGATGACTTTAGATTTGGAATTTCACCTTCTATGACCTTCTCAGGGTCAAAAAGGTCTTTTTTCAACTTTCTTCAAAATCATTTACAGAGTTATCAGAAATTCAAATCTGACTTAAGTTTGAACTAATAATATTGAGAGCAACAAGGTGGTGACATTTTTTCATATTAATGCCTTGTTTTTTGTATACAATGATTAAGAAATACAACACATACACTGCCATGTCTTGTATAAACGTAAATAAATGTTAATATTTGAACTGTTGATAAATGGCAGATGCTACATTTTCAATTTCATGTGTGATTCTTGAATTATACATATGTCATCTGTCATTAATGAAATGTAATTTAATATCAAGGCAGCAGTGCATATTTCTTTTATCTAGTCTAAATATACTCTAAAAGTGTTGGGAGGAAAGATATATGATATGTCAGTCATATTTCACTAACATTGAGTCACGCTTGCTTGCCGTGGCAAGGTTCTTTTCCATCAATTTCTTCCATTTGGAGTATTTCTTGCTAGAGACCTTCTCTATTGTACAACCAAGAGTGATCCTTAATGGACAGTTTGGGTCTTGTCTGTATTGCGGATAAGGCAGCGGCAGAGTTGATTGGAGAACGTTTATTTGAGCTCCTTTGTATCTCAGATCTCGCAACCACCGGATGAAATGGTACACACCCATCTTATCTAAAGCATTATGGTAGTCATAAAGCCTGAATATGACTTCCTCCAGCTCCAATTCTTTCATGTTATATCTACATATCAACTGGAGAAACAAAGACGCAATGTCTTTGGTACTTACAAGATCAACAGCCTCTGGACAAGATTCCAAAAACTTTATTAAGGTGTATAGCATGGCTGTGAATAGAACATCCATTGATTTTAGTTCTTCTCCTTTATGAATAATAAAACCTGGTGGGTAGTCAAAATTGTGAAGGTTATATCGCCACTCTGAACTGAAGTGAACATATCTGCAATAGAGTAGATGCAAGTAGAAATAATCCTAGAAATAACAATGTCTTAGTAAATATTCAAAATTTAGGTAATATCTTCTTTGAAATCTACAGTACATATAAAACTACATTTATAGATGTTGTTATAGAAATTGTTTATCGATTTTGAAAATCGGACTTCTACAAGTAGGTTGGGTAGATTCCCCAGAATATTTTCTTTTGCTTGACATATTGTCAATTGTATAATTATCAAAAGATAATCAGAAGATTATATTAAAATTGATCCACTAAATCTAATGAAAATTCAAGTTTAGTGGAATGTTTTCCTTTATTATTAGGCCATGAGCTGTGATGTTATCTGACCCGAATTAGCCACCTGGTGGTGAAACTGGTATTTATTACCTTCTGGCACCATGGTAACTGTACTCATTAATAGCATCTGCATTCGTGCTCGAGAGTCTGAATATGTGTCTAGCCACCTTTTGGAAGCAACTGCCTAGAGATGTTTTCCCATCACATATTCGCTCATGTTGGCCAATGATGGTCTTCATTGTATGGGAGTTGTAAGTTAGATATCTGCCATATTTCCTACATGCTTGCAAACAATACTTCAGTATGACTAAAATCTTGCGATGGTGTTTGTCAAGTTCTTTGAACCCTGATCCAGTTGTGTATTTCGTGGTTATCCATGCCTCAGTTTTTTCTGAAGGTAGGATAAAGTATTGCTCATTTCCTTTACTTTCTTGGGTATAGTCTTCAAGACAGAATGTTATGTCAACATGTGTAGTACATAGAATGCCCCCAACCGCGAAGGTTACACATGGTCCCCTTTTGCTTTCATCTAGTATGACTTCATTGTACATCAATGTTATCTGTTCTTTATGATTTTCTTTATTTACTTTTCTAAGCTCACTACCTATAAAGTAGCATTCACCTTTGTAAATAAGCCCACCCTCCTTGTCTAGCTGCTTCAGTGTCTTCTTGACAGCAAGGTGAATTATTTCTAGTATGTACCAAGGATAAATTTCATTGGGGGTAACATTTACAAAACTATATTTATTAAAGTCAAACTCAGGAGGTTTGTAGTATTCGCTGGAGGGTTCTTCGGCATCATTGTGTGCAATGGCATCATCTTTACTATCAGGAGGCTTATAGTGTTCATTTGAGGATTCCATAGCATCAATGTGTGCAATGGCAACATCTTCACTGTCAGGAGGCTTATAGTGTTCATTTGAGGATTCCATAGCATCAATGTGTGCAATGGCATCATCTTCACTATCAGGAGGCTTAAAGTGTTCATTTGAGGATTCCATAGCATTAATGTGTGCAATTGCATCATGTTCACTATCAGGAGGCTTATAGTGTTCATTTGAGGATTCCATAGCATCAATGTGTGCAATGGCAACATCTTCACTGTCAGGAGGCTTATAGTGTTCATTTGAGGATTCCATAGCATCAATGTGTGCAATGGCATCATCCTCACTATCAGAAAGCTCATAGTATTCGTTGGAGTCTTCCACAGCATCAACATGTGCATTGGCATCACCTTCACTATCAGAAAGCTCATAGTATTCGTTGGAGTCTTCCACAGCATCAACATGTGCAATGGCATCGTCTTCACTATCAGGAGGCTTATAATATTCATTGGAGTGTTTCATAGCATCAATATGTGAAATGGTATCTTCTTCACTATCATCCATTTCATTTTGACAGTCTTCTAATAATTTCATCAAAGATTCACTGATCACTGTCTTATTACCTTTAGGGTTAAGTCTACTAGGTTCATGTATAATAGTAAAGTCCTCTTTTGAGATTTTCAAAGGAGCTAAAAAGTCAAACTCGGCTGGCTCGAGAAGTTTAGTTTTTTGGTAAAAACTTCCATTTGGAAGTTTATTATGTGTTCTAAATACAGGAAATAGTTCACCGACCTTTGCTCTTATGCTGTCCACCATGTTCTCTATGTGTTCTTGATGTTGTTGAATATCTATAGAGTCATAGTCAAGAGATATCAGTTTGTGGAGTTCAGTTAAGTAAAATGTCAATCTGACTTCGAGACATTCTTCGCATCTACAGGCACTTATGTTAGCACTATGTTCCTTTGTACTTGGCTTCGAAAGAACACTTGGCATTTTTAAATAAAATTTTCCAAGTTCAAGATCATCCTTTTCATCCTAATCATGGATATTTAATGTTCTCATGTTTGTATCCCAGGAACTCATTGAGTAAGGTCACAAAGACCACAATATATGAATACAAATAATCCACTGTATTACACTATAAAGTATGTATGTATTTATGCCTTTCTTTTCCTCTTTTCCTTTCTTTACAGTTTGCTATATAATATTTTATAAGTACATCCAGAAAGTTTTCTTGTTTAGTAGTTAGTATCATTGTGTCTAAGTTACATATTTGTATTAGAAAAATGAACAGATTCATATTGCTGCCTACTATACTGCCTGTGAAGCTTCCAATTCTCCGAAGTATAGGTCAACTTGTATTCCTAGGTTATATTGTTTTCTAGCTTGTTTGTGTATCATTTACCACGTTAGTAGTTAATAGTGTCATGTTGACCTTCGGAGCAATCCTGATCTTACAAAAATATTGTGACTTTATCATTTCTGTAGTTCACAAACTTCAAACAGAGTTAGATGTCATTTAACCCCCCCCCCCCACCCACACACACACTTAACCTGACTGAACTATTTCTATAATTAACATTGACTTGGATAGAAGCCAACTTTTTTCTTAAAATGGAAAGTAACCATCAGTATGCCAAAAATCAGTTTTTTTGAAAAGATTTAATTCAAATATCAACTGATCGGTGCCGATTTGATTGCTATTTTCCAGCCAACTCATTCAGAAATGAGAGAAATACCTTGAGAGATGTATATGATTCAATGGAGTATACAGTAGCAATTTGCTATTCTCCTCTTATCTTACGGATGGAGAGACAGTCATTATGAAACCAGGGGTTTCATTAGCAGCAGGCAACAGGTGATTTTCACCAGTTGTTTTCACAAAATGCCTGTTGTTTTTCATGACTTTTTAACTTTTGTATGTTAAATTTATGATTTCCTTTAATTTTGCCTGTTGTTTTCATTTATTTAGCCTGTTGTGAGAAATTCTAGTGAGACTCCTGGAAACACTCTGTACATTGAAGAAATCTGCTTTATTCTACTCAAACTTTCTGCTTGAGTGTTGTATTTATATTATATAACATGTCTTTCACTTATGTTTTATCTTCCAGGTCATCCAGTCAGGTTATCACTGCCAAACCACTTGAAAAGTCTGACCTTATGTGTCACATTGATTTTACAAAAGTTGATGTCGGAGCAGCGTGAGTAGATCATCAATTTCTAATTAATGAAAAATATCAATAAGGTTTAGTTTATATAACATTTATTTACATTCATTATACAGTAGAAACTGCTAAGTGGAACACCTCACAAGTGGAACAGGAATTTGCAACCCATCGACTCCATGCTAATGAGCCTCTGTATGTCATTTGTTCATATCTGATCATGGACCACTGAAAAATCATTGTTTTTTCGTACATGGATGAAAAGGCCTTTGTGCCAAGTTACTAAATACCAGTCAACTGATCCTTATTGTGCAATCAGGTAAATCATTATGTTATTTACTGGGGATTAAATTCTTGTCACAAGATAACTTTAAGTCTTCATTAGTATCCTTGTTGGTTCAGTAAATGAAACATATGGAAAAAGAAGTGGCATAAACAGTTGTTGTCTGTCATTTTATGAAAGATTATTCATAAAAGATTATATTCCATGCCCTTTCACATGACCACTGTTTCTCTACACACAGAGACTGGCTTGTGTCTCCATGTCGTACACCTCTTTGAATAATCTGGGGCTCTGGCGGAGAGCAGCAACCTCATTGGTGACTGTTTGTTAACTGTTATAATGTCTAAAACTTGGTCCAGAGCAGATTTTGACCCTTTGTGCAAAAGGAATGATTATTCAGTGGTCTGTGGTCGTATATGAATAATTGACATACCATTGAAAAGGAGACATGTGGCTTCCTGGTAACCTAAATCAAATTGCTTTCAGAGCTCCACTCCTTTACATTTGCAGCTTATTGTTATAGCAATGCAAAATACATTAACATGACTCGAATGAAAGGTGTACAGAATACAAAGACTTTATGTGTGATATTTTATTGAATTGAAGGAGAGAGCAGAGAAATCATTTACGTAGGAATATCCCAATTTACACTGTCTACTTAATACATTTTATATCATCGTTAATGTCATCATATCCTACCCTTTTAGCTAATCACACTTTGTTTCATGTTGCAACACAAATGAATTGATAATTTAGTTGAAGTAGGCAAGACAGTCAACCAGGGCATAGAACACAATCTTGGCAAAGAAATTTTTCCTGGGTGAAAATATTTTGTATATTCAGTTCATGTATAAAACAGCCTTGTTTTTTGAGGTTGATTCAAAGACATAATACTCAGCACAACAGAAAACAAAGAATAAAAAATTGGCACTGCCAGGTTCTGAATAATTGAAAACTAATTATGAAAGCTTAAAACTTCAACCTTATATGATGCATTCTTTTAGAAGAACACTAGTATTTTTTAATTCCTGGACACCCTGTAATGATAAAACAGAACAATGGTTAACAAGTCTCATACACAATTTATTTAAGATTTCAATTTAAAATGTTTTTGACTAAAGATTCCACAATAGATGGCTCATATTTGTGCTATTCATTTATTGCTGTCCTATTACAACAAAAGCATTTAGACTTACTTACAAAGGTGACAAACATTTTCCGAAAGATATGTCTAAATTCGTTAATTCTCCAGGCATATATTATAGGGTTCAGTCCCGCTTGAATCATTATTAGAATTGTTGGCCAATAAGGAAAACCAAAATTATCATTTTTATGGGACATTATTACAAGATTTATAAAGACTGGTAACCATGTAATATAAAAAACTCCTAGTATAAGTGAACTTGTTTTGACAATTTTAAAAATGCAGCCTTTCCTTGGACATGAATAATGGCATTTAACATTTTGTGGCTTTTGGACATTCTTCTTTGTCTCCTCTCTATCTTTATATATTTTTGGAAGTCTTGTTTTTGGTGTGTCATTGTTTCTATTTGGTGGTTCATTGTCATTAGAAGATAATTGTTGCATTTCCACTGTTGTTGTTGTTTCAGCCAATGTTGTAATGTTCTCAAGGTTTTGCGAAATACTGGCTAATCTTTTCTGATCAGTTTTTATCTTGAAGCATTGTTTATATGCAACCCTAAAAATTCTGACGTAGCAAAATGTTGTAACCAGCAAAGTAGCACTTGCAAACGATTGTAGCATAATAAGATATTCCTTCGGGATTAAGAAATATGAATTACAATTAAAATCGTCAAACTCTGCTCGTAAGTTCCAACCCATGAGAGGTAAGAATGCAACTATTGCACAAATGAATAATTCAAGTAAAATGGCTGCCAAACATCGTTTAGGTGTAATCTTGTATCCCCAATATGGGTGAAGTATGTTAATGTAGCGCTCTATTGCGATAAAAAGCAAGCAAGTTCCAGAGGCCGAGACAGTAAATCCGAACATAGACTTTCCAAGCAAACACAAAGTTGCATCATTCACTAGATCAGTATCGATAAACTGTGATGCTGACATCAGTGGAAAAGTCACGATCGCTGTTAGAATGTCGGCAACTGCTAAAAATGACGTGAAAACAGGGTTGACTGCACCCAAATGTCTGAGTTTCTTACTCTTGTAGAAAGTGACCAAAACTAAAATGTTCCCATGTAGAATAAAAGGAACTAGAATTAATCCTATCCAAAAAACAACTTTTATCTCTGGCATCCTGCTACTCTGCTTCTCAAGACAAAAACTCAACAGTTAATGTACAGTAGTTGTCTATAATTGTCAGTTTTTATGGGGGTAGTATAAAAAATCAGAATAAGTTCATCATCTCTAAACAATCCTAATCCTGTTCTTATTATCCCAATTAATGTAGATCTTGAGGGATACAGAAAAGCCTTCCATCCATCTATCCAACTAAATGTACAGTCGTCAGATTTGGTTCAGATTTTATGTGTTGATTACTTATAGACATAGACTACTGCTTAAGAAGGAATTTCAAAATGGTTTCTGAATTTAAGTGATTCACCAAAGTTTGTTTTGTATGATGAGATTTGTTCCTCCTGTGAGTTGCTGTTTTTCTAGTCTTATGACAAATATTCTTCTTATATTATCAGCATTGTACTCAAATGAATTTTTCTTTCGTTTCTCTCCACATCATCACCTTAGGTTCCACGAGATGTAGTACTTTTATATGGTCCCTTTCGTAGAGTCACTCCCTTTAGTAATGCTATGAGAGTGAATCTGAAACATTAAGCTAATATAGAGAGATAGTTCTACTACTCTGCACCGATTAAGGTAGTCATCCAATTAAACAACATTCTAGAAGGACTAGCTGTCCATTTGTATGTCCAGGCGATAACTCAAATATAGTGTTGACAGATACATGTAGGGTACAAATTATAAATACGTAATTTGGGTGGATTTAATGAGTAATGATTTATGAGTGGAGGGATTTGGTTCAAATTTTATTTACTGATGCCTATAGGCTCAAATCTGTCGCAAAATTCACGTTTAGACCATTTGCTAGCTTCATAAATAATTTCAGGTGTCCAGCATCGTAAAAAGCCATGTAACTGTAAAAAGTAGTTGTATTAAATAATTTTGTTGCAAAATAGGCAAAAAAATATCCTTTTTTTAACTTCTGCCATTTTAGCCATCATTCACTTTTGAGCAACACAATGTGAGCCCAGTACCCATGGTACTATTTATTTAAGCTGGGCAAACTGGTAGTTGTCAGGTCTTAATGTCATCATATGGTACTCTGGGTGAACTTCAAGGATGTATATTTCATAGAGCATTCCTACTTATACAAGGTGATCCAGAAGTATGGCAACATCTTTGATCTTACTTATGGATCACCCTGTAATTTCAAGTTTTTAACAAGACTTAACAAATTTACCTTTTTACTTCAGTTCAGTTTTGAACAAATTAGTAATAATTTTATTTCATACGTTCTTGATATATATATATCTTTTATTGACTCTTTAGATGTCATGACCTGACATATTAGTCATTACAAAATGAAATTTTACAAAAACTACACTACACTACACTACACTAATATATACAATTTATACAAAAAACTTGTTATTTACATATGTTATAATATACTTTAGGTGTGATGCATCCAAAATGTTAATCCCCAGGCAAGTTTAAGTTTTTGAATGATTTCGTAATAAAACTTCCAACTTGCTTTTGCACATATTTATCTTTTGAAGAAATTAACATAATGAATGTATTTTCAGGATCATGTTGATCAACATTAATTTTGCTAGTGATGTTGTCAAACAATATTCTTCTATTTTCTCTATGTATTGCAAAATACTACCCTGATCTCTGGGTTTGTTTAAATGTTTTGGTATATTTAGTTCGATAAATGTCACTGTAACTTAAGGAATGTAGTTGTTTGTCTGTTTAGTAAGTTATAAATCCAGGGATTTTGGCGAACGAGGATACAAAATGTCAAAAATTACTACCTATTCCCTCAAATTAAAGGTTTCCACATGAAATAAGTAATCATGCTGGACGTAAATGATATGGCATGTAAAAAACTATTCCATTTTGTGGAACGATCAATTACACAGGCTACCCTACCTTAAAGGCCTACCTTAAATAACTTGATGATATCATGATTAATTGCTACATCCTGTCTAATTAACTAATTATGCTATTTTATTTCACGAAGCATTACTGACTAAGAATGAGGTCTGACCTTGAAGAAGACATAAACAAGAGTTTATAACTTGAAGTTTGTCACGTTCAATAGGATGTAATTCTGGTCAAGATGATATCTCTTTGAGTATCTTTACTTTTACTTTTGATTTGTTTCCATGGTAATTTCTCTCAGAGTGAGGCCCTTTACTTGTTGATTTGTTCCCATGGTAATTCCTTGCCATTCAATTCTAATTTGCATTTTGAAACGTTTTGCTTCTCAGCAACATGAATCATGTACATGTACTTGATTCTTACAATAACCTTGACAAATTTTCACTTATGAAATTAATTATTATGTTGTTTATCGTTATATTAAGGGGACTAGACATTTCGATGTCTGAAGTTTTAATTAGACCTTTTTATTCAGCCTTACTAGAGTCAGTAATTTTGAATGAAAACATTCATCATTTTGTGGAATATCATTTTGATTAAAAGATACTCGTTCTATGAAAGATGTACAATAGAAGAATTATTCTGATATTTCTCACATTTTTGTCACCAAAAAGAAATTTTAGGAGATTTGCATATTAAACCTCAAATCACTTACTTTTCCTTATTTCCATATTTGAATACTGTGAAAAGTTTTCTATAATAATAATTTTGATTTAAAAAAGTGTGGGCAAATTCTCAATTGATGCAATGTTAAAATTCTTTAAAAGCTTGATTTGTTCGTCCAACAACCAAAATTTTCATAATTAATCACAATATGTACATTAACGGCGTCTTCCTATAGTATGTCATTTGCTTTTTAGACAGATTCAACCAACACTTCTTGGATCATGAAATTAAGTGACTGTTGCAAGTTTTTAACACTAAGTCTATGGCAATCTGGCCCACAAAAACAAAGAAAAACAAGGGCTGGCATCTATTTCTTCAGCTTTATTTAGCAACTCCTTTATTGTCTGGAAGGGCCAATCCATTATTTAAGGATGATGAAACTACTTAGGATCTTGTCAATATTTATGGCACTTTAGCCTGTTGCATGATTAATATAATAGATATTGCCCTTCAGTTTGAAGGTGGAGCATATTAGAGCTAGCTTAAAGGTAGAATAAGAGATACAAATTTGAATACTAGATAACAGCAACGCCAATGTGTAGCAAGTCCCATCAAACAGGCATGGCTGCCATTTTTACAAAATTCCCTACTACATGTACTTTTTATTCAGTTATAGCTAAAATCGTAATATAACACACATAAAAATTGCACCATTTTTAAAATGGTCGCTCACGAGTCAAATTGTCATAAGAAAGCTAGCCATACACCAATGGGACATCAAGGGAGTTATTGAGTAAAAGGGAAAAGTTCGGACATTCCCATGGGACATCAGGGGACATTGTCCCACGTTGTCCCTTTTTGTCCCTTTGTGTCCCTTTATGTCCCATGAAAAGAATGAACATGTTGATTCTTTTCGAGGGACATCACAGGACAAATGAGAGGCATTTTATCACGTGATGATTGGTGTACACCCATTGGTGTACTGCTAGCTTAAGTATTCACATATAACATTTCAACAAATTGCACACAAAATAATTTTTTTCAAAATTGCTGCCTGTCATAAGACAGTATGAAATGCTTATGAGTATTCACATATCAAATATGAACAAAACTAATCAATTATTTTTTGAGTTGTAGCAAAAAAACATAAAATATCACACGTAAAATGGTGGCTATTTTAAAAATGGTTCCTTCTAGCCAAATGGCACCTTCAACGCTTTGGTGCTACTGTTATATAGTTCTCTTTAATTGCTTTATCTGATACCACCCATAAGAAAAGGTATGTGTTAAAAGAAATTTAAATATTTGGAAAGATTGTCCACTATATCTGATTCTCCCTTTTACAATTTAGTACAACATCATTTGTCAATTTCTTTCTATATTTATATTCTGATCAGAGATTGGGTGTCTACGAATGTAATTATGTATTGGTTAGAATCAAAAGTCCTCTGAGATTTATAATCATGTGATGACAGAAAGAGAAAGTAGGAAGCTGTAGATTTTCAGTCTCATGCATTATTAAGTTCAGCTTTTAGTTGTAATTATAATCACTGTTTTCATGGTTATTGCCATGGTGATTAATTGATACATTGATGCATTTCTCTTTTATCCACTGTCATATTAGTCATTATTCCAATGTTTGGTAGGGATATAGTGAAGCCCTCCATCCATTATAAGTCTGTCAGTCAGTCATGCAGTCTGTCCATCCATCCGGAAAATAATTTCAAGATGGCTGGAGTTTTCATTTCTTTTCATTTCTAACCAAAGTAATGATTATTACTGTTTGAAACTTTGTTACCTTAGGAATTCAATATAATTTAGAGATCTCTTCAGAGTAAGGTTGCAGTAGGTATATAAAATCAAATGAATTACACTGTCATCATGGTTAAATTTGTGAAAATTCTGATATATGTTGTTTTTTGTTGTTTTTTATTTTAAAATATATTGCACATTACATATACATTACATAAGCACTTAGTGGCTTTGCTAGCGACATTATCAGCCACTTGAAATATATATGATATATGTTCAATGTCTGTCTTTTAATATCTGCAAATGAAGGGTTATATGCGGCCACTTGCTTTAATGCTTTAATACTAGTAAGAGATCTTCCCATTGAGACCATTTCATTTTGCTCCGGAGCTTGTTACTGACTCTGACTTTCAACATGATGCAACAATGTGAAATCCCCATACTTTCAGATTTTCTTTGTCCTGCCCTAATGCTTTGACATGACTTTCTTCTTCTACTGTTTGTCTTACTTTCTCCTGCACAATAAAGCACATTATCATATCATAGAGGAGCATATTGATAAGTGTAATCAAAACTTTAGGAACAGAGTCTTTTTGGTTTTCTTGTGCTGGGATATCAATATTTGATAATTTTACTGTAAGCTCTTGATCTCCTATTTCATTGGCACATTTTCTTACTTTCTGGTCTAATTCTATTGTCTGCACATGCCCTCAGAAATTGACCCACAGAAGAAATAGACATCTTTATTATTGTAATGGTATCTGGCAACATACTTCTACGGAATGTTTTATTGAGACCTCGGACTCACCTGGAACTGTCTTTCTTTTGAATCCTCGTGTCTGAGCCTGTGTGTTAAGTTTTATGTAGCACTGTCTATGCCATTTGGCAATGTTTGTTTTAATTGTTTCATACACACCAGATCCATTATTCAACCTTGATAAGTCAGCATCTACATGTATAGGCATGCTTTTTAATTCTGAACATTTTTCCAGATGCTAGTTTTGACATTGGCCTCTTGTTTCAAATCGGCTGCCATTTGTGTTGATTTTACAGTGTGAAGTTACAACAGAAATTTTTAATTATGTTATTATTTTAAGCAGCTACTTTGTCTTTTAAATGGGTCTGCGCAAAACAGTGTCACTTATTTTTTTATTTCAAAGTATATATATTGATGCTTTTCAGAGTTACCCCAAGTGTGCATTGGTCACAGAACAGAGGAAAGGTTGTTCTCAACATACAACTCAAGGGGGTTGTCCATAAACACATAGAGTTCAAGGAAGACAGATTCATATTCAGGTATTTGGTGAACTTGGACTTGGCGGACAAAATATAGTTGTCTATTGCAAATAAAAATTTGTGTAAAGAAAACTCAAATCTTATTAAACTTAATATGTAAAAGTTATTCTGTGATTCTTCTGTGATGAATTTATGATGCCATCCAAATTTGTTGTGAAATATATCTCAAGATCTGATGGTAAGGTCATCATTTTAACTGAAATGACCAGTTTCCATAATAATGTCAATAAACAGTGTGTTATGGATTGTTCTCTTGGAAGAAGTTGTAAGGCCTCTGTTATAGAAAGTTGCACTCTTTTAATTAGAGGTGTTTACGTGACATCAATGCCTTGTTTTTCATTGTAATTTTTGTAATAGGTTAGTTTTAATGAAGCAAAATATATTGGAGTTATGTTATATTTTAGAGCGTATGTGAACAACAATCTCTACCAGCTGAACCTAGAGCTCTATGGTGGTCTGAAGCCTGCAGAATGTAAGGTTTCAGTGCGGGCGATGGAAATCCTGGTAGCCATCTATAAATCAACTTTGGGCAGGTGGCCACGACTTTTGAAGACTTCAGAGAGGGTAATATCTGTTGGTATATTTATATCTATCTATATTTATAGCAGCCATGGCCGTTTGATAGGATTTGTTACGCCTTGGCGTTGCTATTATCTAGTTCTTGTTTTGGCTCCCCAGATAGGAACTTTTACAATCCTTTAGATCTCATTAAATCACAAATATTTTAAGAAAAAAATTCCTGCCCACAATCCAAGATCACAAACTCACAAATATAGTTTTTGTAAGTCTGTAAATATGGTTAAATCACAGTTTTGTTGTTATAGCAACCCTGGTTGAGTGTGGACTTCTCTCGGTTTGTGGACTCATCCTCAGAGGACGAAGAAGACTGGAACAGTTCAGAGGATGAATTATCAACATACCTTGTGTGTAAAAGTGAGTGTAATCGGAATAAGTTGTTACATGATATCCTCTTGCATCCTGATTTGGTGGCTCAAAGGTTGAATAGACTAATCGAATCATGTCATCTATTAGTTATGATGTCATTCTTAGTTTGAGTGCAGAAATATACCTGTATTTACTTGAAGATCATTTTGTTTACAAACGTAACTGACTGCTCTGTATAAATCAAGCAGATATAGTACTTTAGTTGTTTTGGTTTTCTAGAAGGGATTGGGATTTATTGGAAAGATTTATTGTTATCCTAGACCAGACCCCACTGCTGAATATTAATTCAAAACTGAATTAGTATACATGTAGATCAGTAATATAAATCAGGTCCATAGCCAGGATTTGCCAAGGGGGGTTCACTTTTTGAAAAATTCCAGGGGGGTTCACTTGTGACAAAATTGGTCAAAAAATGGCCAAAATCAGTTAAAAAGTGCTCAGAATGGTGAAAAACTGCATGATTTTGTAAGATTTTTTGGCAAGGGGGGATTGAACCCATCAAACCCCTCTGGCTACGGGCCTAAAAATCACATGAATCTGATATTAAATATTAGAAATAGACAAAATGACACCATCTTGCCGCACTTTTTAAAGTATAACAGTTGTCAGACCTTGTTCATTTATCATATACCATTTGCAAAAAGCCATGACTATAAAGATATGTCATCACTTCTTCTCAAGAGTAACAAGACTACAATGATGGGATTGCCCCAATATTTTCCCTTTATTCATCATCACATTACACTCGCCTTGTGATAGAGGTGTTATTCCATTGTGGGTTTCATAGCCAAATCCATTTCCTTTGGAAGATAGTCCTTTTCAAGCACATTTGATAAAGAGGGAATCTGATAAATTGGGATGCTGTCGTTCAGATTCACAGATTTTACCATAGGCCCAGGAACATGTATTTTTAATGCCAAATTGAAGTTTGGCTGGCTGATGTAAGGAAAATTTCCACAAACGTTGATTTGGGATTGGTCATACATTACAAGTTCCTGGGCCTATGGGCTATACTGTGCAACTTTTAACACTTTGTTTACATTACAGGGCGATATACACCATCCCCATTTGGCTTAACAAAAGAACCGTCCAAGTACCCCACCGGGCAACCAGCAGGCTTAGACGACACCAGCGAATCTGAGAGTGAAGAGGATCGTTTTGATGATCATGATGATTATGACAGATTCAATATATTTGATGTAAGATCCTGAAACTGTGCAAGTATGGTGATATAGAAGTAAAGAAATCAGAGTGTGTATCTCATTAATCATTTCAATTACTCCATGAAGCATTCTTGAAATTACGCAAGTATAATGATGTTTAGACTGTCTCAAGAAAGATATCTGAGTGCGGTAAAGAGAATGGAGAACTTTGCTAATATGACGATGATTGACTCTATGCAAGTTTTACCAATAGAAAGGAAGACAAAGTGAAAACTGATGATTGACTCAAATCTTCTCCAAGGAACAAGTATCATATACCAATGTTCGTATGAATCCAATATCTCATCATGAATACTCAAGTGTATCTTCTCAGGAGCAGAATTATAAATCAACTGATATGTGAAATTAAGACACTATGCAAGAACTCTCTAGATAATATCCGTATATCTTTCATTTTCAGTATTATCATATACTGTAGTTATCCATTTTAAGGATATGATAGTCATATGATAGTCATTATCATGGCAGGGATAGGATCGGAGGAATGGGTGAAATTAGTCCTCAGGTATCTTAGTTGTCGTAGAAATATTCAACAAAATGTAAACAGAAAAACAAGAAAATCTGATGTATTGTAGAGATCAGAAACATGTTGCATAAATAATAACACACAAAATGGTATTTTGTTTTATAGTGCTTGTTTATTAAGCAGTTTTTGTATTACATTGCTAAGTGGTGCTATTTTGATTTGCTGATAAAATGTTATTTTACCATTATAATCATTGACAGTCTATACATCTCATGTTAGATTATTGGAAAGAACTTTATAGACATACTTGCAGAATTGTGTTTTTATAAATTTATTTGATTATGTCATGTTAGTTTATTACAATTGAATAAATGACCATTCTGTTAACGTTCATTGTCTGTATATTTTTGCCAAATTAAGAGATTTGTTGCAATTGATATTCAATTTCAATTTTTCATATATTTTACAGTGTTGTGTACGAAATACTGTGTTTTCATTGTAACTTAATTTTTCACGTTATTTATTTTCCAAATTTTTACCATAATCTTAAATAGTATATAAACATCACTTGAACTCAAGATGGCTTAATATATAATGTTTTTTATATTAAGCAGTTCATGCTTTATGCATATTATTATTTTTTGCTATCCAATATAAAAAATAAAAAGTTAGTTGTACAACAAATACTCTATTTGTAAAGAGATTGTTTTATAAAAACATACAAGTGTGTGAATGATACTTTATTTACATTGAGTGGTGAATGTTAGTGTTATGTCACCACCAAAAAGTGGTGACATATTGTTATCGTCTCCATTTTTTTGACGGCGGTTGGCCGTTGGCGGTTGGCCGTTGGCGTCTGTAACAAATTCTTACAACTTCCAATAACTTAACAAATACTGACTTCAATTCTTTTCAAAATCACCTTCGTGTTTTCAGAAGTTCAAATCTGACATTATATTTGAGCTTTGATCTTCAATGACCTTTTCAAGGTAAAAAAAAGGTCAAAAAGGTCTTTTTTCAACTTGCTTCAAATTGACCAATTTTAAAAAAAAAATCATCTACACATTATCAGAAGTTCAAATCTGACTTTAGATTTGAGATTTGACCTTCAATGACCTTCTCAAAGTCAAAAAAAGGTCAAAAGGGTATTTTTTCAACTTTGCTCTAAATTAACCAATTTTTTTTCAAAATCATAGACAAATTCTCAACAGTTCAAATCTGACTATAGATTTGACCTTCAATGACATTCTCAAGGTCAAAAAGGTATTTTTTCATCTTGCTTCAAATTGACCAATTTTTTTTCAAATCTGACTTCAGATTTGAGATTTCACCTTCAATGACATTCTCAGGGTCAAAAAAGGTCTGTTTTCAACTTGCTTCAAATTGACCAATTTATTTTTTCAAAATCATCTACAAGTTCTCAGAAATTCAAATCTGACTTAAGATTGATCTAATAATATTGTGAACAACTAGGTGGTGACATTTTGTCATGTTAATGCCTTGTTTTATTGAATATGATGAATATACATCAATTATTATGTTCTACTACTATAGACTACTTATTTGGCAGTTTATTTGTATGTTAAATCTAAGCAATAGATATGTAAAATGTATATGCATTTCATGAATAGATAGGACATAAAATAGAAAAGTATGTAAAGTATTTTTAAAAAAATGATTATTTTTCATAGTTTTTTGGTCCAAGAATTGGTCCACTGTCGACTTACCCTCTCCTCTACCCTAACGAAAGAATTATTCATTCATCTGAAATATGTCACAATAGGCCTATTAAAAATTCTCATCTACTGCTAGAAATCTACATATACAGAAAAATAATGCAATATTATGTTTAACTCAGTAGTGCTTTTAATTTGAGTATGAAATGCCTTTCATTCGAGAATAATAAAGTACTCCTTGAATGATCTCAAAATTAACAGAAGTTCCTGTTTTACTCATACATGGCCCCTGGGGGTCATCAGGTAGAGAACACAGAAAAAAAAATTCTGCACAAAACTTTTAACCAACAAAAATCTTTCCACAAAATATTAAGAAATTATGTCCACTAGTATTTGAATTTTTTCTGATGGACAGACTGGTGAATTAAGGACTAACTGATGGAAAGAGGGCTTCACTATATCCTTTTCGAACTTGAGTTGGATTAATAAAGTCATTTTATAACCATAACTATGGTATCCTTTTACCGAAAGTACTTGTAGGCTAACTAATTTGAATTAATCTGACTAAAATTGGTTGAGTCCCTTATGCTTTTGAGGAATGGCATAATGGCTGTACCCCCAGTGCCAGTATCCGATAAACTAGCATGGTCCCTGTTCCTTGCCTCCTGAGCTGCACACACTATATACCTTGCCACAAGATTGATATGGTAGCTGCGGAATTCAGCCAGTACTTTGACACAGTTATCATAAGCAGAGGTCAGAGCTTCGGAGTTTGAAGAGTGAACAAAATGTTTGATAGATGGCGCTTGTCTTAGGCATTGTACAAATGCTCTGTGGGGTGGCAACATGTAATTGAGCATGTCATCAAGGAATGATTGTTTGTCTTTATCATGAGCTATCCCGAGGGCTGCATCGTAGCAATGAAGGACGGCACTCTGGGCTGCACTACCCCCAATGTACGCCTGGGGGATCGGAGAGACTCCTTCGTATATTAAACCATCCGGGAGGGTCTTACTTCCATTCCCCCAGCCTGAGAGGAATGGTCGGATTTTATTATAAAAAACAGGTGGTTCTAACTTCTCATGCATTCTTGCAACAGAACGTTTCATTTCATTTAAAGTATCAACCATATTGTCCAAACATGTTATAAGTTTCTCTTCGTTATTTTCCACAACCATTTTGAAGGCATCCAACATATCGGGCAATCCTCTAGCGAATGCTAACTCAACTAGACATGTTGTGAGCAGGAACCAAGAGATTTGTTGACTAGCCGTCACTTTACAAATACAATATAGGTTTTCAATATCCAAATTTCCTTGGGGATTGATTTTACGCCAATTCGCAAGCATGACACTAGGGTGACACACTAAGGGAGGAAGCCCAAGGTGTTTGGATACACCACATAGAGGTACACTTATACATTTTGGTAAAACCTTCGCTGGATCATTATCACCATCTTGCCAAACATAAGCCGCTGCCGTGAATGCTAACTGAACATGAGCAAGTCTATACTCTCTATGGCCCTGTAGTCGAGTATAGTCCAATAATGGTAATTGTTCAACATGCTTACGAACAGTTTTCATCTCAGTAAGGCATTCTAAATTATCCGCAATATCACCCCATGGTTTAAAATACTCTGGTAAAGATTCTAAGGCATCTGGTAAAAGAAAACCAACTTCCTCAGAAATATGAAAGTCTGATGGTTTTGGTATTATGTTGTACATGTCAGTAAATTCTCCCATGATGGTGCTGTAAGCCTGGGTTGTTATGAAGTACGTACCTCTCTGTTTGTGACCTGCTTGTGATCTGAAAGTATACATAAAACCATAGGCTTTAAATTGCTGGAAAATAATGGTAAAAAGGACCATCAGACAAGATTTCAAGGATATAAAGAAATACAAAGTACATAGAAATCTTTTCAGTTATTTGTAAGATGATTAATTGAACAAATTATTGCTAATGATTGCAAATGATTGTTCCAGAGAATTTATACAGTACATGTACACACTACCCACATCCTACATTTGCAACTCACTGTACCGTTTCCCTTTTAAATATGGTCATGTGGTAGGGTAGTGTCATGTACAATGAATCTTCATCAGTGCAGCATTCCCTTGTGGATAGATTGGGAAAACTGTTAAATTAATCAGACTCCAGTAAAATTCTTCATGACCTTGACATACATGTAATAATTTTTAATTCATGTTTATCACATCTCAAACTAGAATGATGGACTGTAATCGGTCAGATCATGTCACATGACCATTTGATAATTCGGTCTAACTCATTGAAAGTCCCGGATGTCCCATTGATATTGCCCGGATGAACTGTGTGATAATGTCTAGATGCCCAGATGAGCTAGATGTGATATTTTATAGATTATGCGTTCATTCTCGTTATCTAGGCATCAGTCTTAACAGTCTTTCCAATGAATTTGTGGAATATGATATGATCTGATGTCTCAGGGCATGATAATCAGTAGGCTTTTTGAACTTTGATTGAAGCTAGAATTTGCTGTATTGTCTTGTTGAATAGAATAAAAAGCCTGGAGAAAAAGCCCCACTACTGTTCAGAATTAAAAGATGTTTTATATGTTTTCGTTAGATAAACGCATTATTAAATGATGAAGAGTGTGATATATCAAATATCATCACTCAGAAAAAATATCACATTCGGATCTGTCTTGTGTGATATTTTATCCCTCAAGGTGTAGATCCGATATATCACACACTCTATCATATTATAATGCTATAATATCTATAGGACCAGATATTGGCTTAAGCCATTCAAACCTCTGAAAAACAATAGGATGTAGTGTACAGTGTAACCAGTTTTCCAATGTGAACACTTAACAGGTTAATTTTCAAAATTTGCCATAAAACAGTGTTCCCAGTTGACATGTGTTCCATATACAGAGAGTGTCCATTTACATGTAAGTCAATGGAAAAATATTTGGTTGTTGAAAGGGGTTCTACACAGGGCTATACAGAAAGGTGTTCCATCAAATGGGTTTTATATGCAGACTGCTGAACAGATGCCGAACACTGTTACATGCTTCGGAATATTATATCATTAATTCATCTTCAATAACTAAATGCATGTTCTGCAATGTTTGACCGATGCTTGAAACCTTGTTAGATATATGGAACCCTGTCTACAAGGAACATTTTTGGCCAGTTCAGAGAACGTTCCTTGTTCGCAGGTCTGAGCCTGGGGATGTGTTTAACGGTTTAGGTCATTCTCATCATTTTCAGAAAAATTGAAACAAACATATTTTGAGCTTAGGCTGGGTCAGACAAAAGTGCAAGCAATGTGTTTCTATTTCTACTAGAGTCACTTTGTGGATTATCGTGAGTCAAGACATTGAAGTCAAAGCTGTCCCTCTCCCCAACAGGTTTACATGATACCACTGTTCTTCCGGGCGGGTACATGACAGTAAATGCGAGCTGATGACAAAAGTTCCCAGAACAGTTATACGGAATTCTTCATTATGATTTATTCTGACAAGTCCATAATTTTGACAAATTCTTTTTTTGTAAAAAGTAAACTATAAAACTAAAATTCCTCACCATACAAACTCTGTGTTGCCCCTGGTACGTAAAATGTGTCTTATCACATGATTTCACAGTGTTATCAAATACGCTGCTACACACGATTCAGTGGTAAATGTCAAAATAAAGGTCGAAAGTACGAAGTGTTAAATAATTTCCATTGATTTCTCAAATGAGAACATCTAATAATTTTTTCGCTATAGCGACTTTCAATTTACACAATGACATAATTATTGGCAACAGCAAGGATGGAGATCTTTACCCAGGCAACATACACATAACTTGTAAAAAAGATTGATGATGCATAGTATCAAAAAATTGTTATGTTTTGTTCATCATAATTCCTATAATTTCATCAAATCCTTCCAAGGCAGTAAAGGACAAGGTGCAATTATTGGCAAATATCCCTATGGCTGTATGGTCAAAATGAATCATTCGTAGGTGTAACATGAAGAATAAAATGTATATAATACTTTAGAAAATATTAAAGTGCTCGGACACACATAAGCTGAGATAGGGATCATTTCGTTCAGTAAGGTTGTATTGACTTACATGGGGCTGTGCACCATTGACTTAACATGAGGATATCAGCAGATCCCAATAGAGGCCATTGGTTTCCATTGATTATCACAGAAATACCAAAAATACACTATGACCTGAATCGATTGCAAACTTAATAATTTCACAATACGACACAAATGGTTTATCTCATCAAATGTGCAAATATGAAGTTTGCAATCGATTCAGGTCATACTTAAAATTAAAAGATTGTACATTTTTTCATCATTTTTTTCCTTACAAAATGGCTATAGAAAAATGCTTCAAAAACAACTTAAACACTTATCAAATATCATACAAGTTTGTAAAACCAAAGATTATACTATTATATTTCATTATGTAGTAACATATTTGGATAAGATGCAGGGATGCGTAGGATGTAAATGGATTTTGACAGACACAAAAATACTTCCTGGTTTGGAATCTATGCCTCTACACTTCACGATTGAATTATGACCCTAATAAGTGGCCTATACATCAATACCAGGGGCGTAGGAAGGTGTAAATTCAACACTACGCCAAAAATATGAAAAAATTGTGTCAAATCTTAACGAATCAAAACGCCTCTTTTATGCTCGTAAAAGGTAATTTTTATGGTAATACCTTTCTAATTGTGCTTAAAATGTTCGAATGTTTTTCATGATATAAAATCACCATGGAAAGCCGATCTTTTAAATCTCAACAATACAGATTAAAGAAACTAGTATGATCAATAGAAACATGTCCGTGATCAATGATACAACATAACTCTAATGTCTTCAACTTTTTTTATAAGATAAATAAAGCCCATGCAAAAGTCAACGTGACATTTTGTGGTAAATTGTTTTTTCCTTTCAAAATAATTATTGGTGCCTAAATGCTTTATTTCCTAAAATAATAATCTATTATATTTCAAATAAAATAGAAATTAGGGTAATTGCTTTCCTAGAACTGAAGTTGAAATGTACTTTCATTTTTACTGGCTTAAACTTCCAACTATCATAACCCTCTACCCCAAATCAACTTGATTTTTACGCCAAAAAGTGCCATTTATCGTGGCCGAAGCTAGAAAAAAGTAACAGAGGAACAAAAACCTTGCAAAGAGTACTATTGAAAAAATCGAACATATTACTTGGTTTCCAAAAACATTTCTTTAGTGTGCTCGAGATCACAAACAATTTATTAACAATGAGGAAATATGACTAAAGAACATAAGGAAATTATTAAGCTATTTCATTCTAGCTTTTCAACACTACGCATTGGCGTTTTGGCGTATATTGTTCCTACGCCACTGAATACAGTGCTGAATATAGGTCAACAAGATACTAGTGTGCATATAAATGTAATAATTGAAGCAGAATACTCATTTTGAAAAATCAGATAAATTATTTTTTTCCCATGGGGAGATCCCAATGGAGGGTGTATAAGGTCCTTTAGCTTGTTGCCATAGACTACACTGTCAGTTCCAGAAGATAACAAGGGGGCTCAAATATTGAGTTAGGAAAAAAATCCTCTGCATTTGCGCTGAAAAATTTTAGGCCCTATAAACCAAAAATTGGGACCAATTTTGACAACGCTCGGCCTTTTTTTGATAATTTGGGATAAAAAAAAGTCCAAATTATGCCCAAAAGGCACGTTTTTTTGAGGCCCTAAAATTTTTTTCTGGGCACACAAAAAGGGGAGGCCCGGGCTCCCTCCCCCAAGTGGACTGGAAGTAGAGACATACATGTATTCATTGATTCCTGGATCATGCTTCAATCTGTTATACAGTACACCCCCTCAGACATGGACTTATGGACATGGTCCCTGGTAAATACTGGTCTGTGTAACCAAACACATTTTAAATGGCATCAATCATAAAACATAACATCGATATACTGCATTTAGTACTATTTATTTCTATTGCATGTACCATCATAAATAAAATTGAATATAATTTATATCCACTAGAAAAAGAAATTGGATAATAATGAGCAAAGATTTAAGGGAAAATCTTACAGAGTGCATAAAATCATATTCTCATTTGTAATACTGTTAAAGCATATTTCTATTTGGTCATAATGACATAAATGAATAAAGACTTGTTTTAAAACCAAATAAATTCCTTACATCACATTTTGATGATAACGCATGTTACAAATGTACATCTCAGTAGCATCCAAAGTTTTCATTTGAGCATGTATTCATTTTTGTTTTTGTTCTTTTAATTTCAATCATTTGTTGTCTTTTTGCAGTGATGGCGCATATTCAATTTGGCAACCTTTATATAGAATTCACGAAAAAGCATGCAAACATAGCAAGTAAAAAAGAAGTAAAAATGTACATAAGTATCAAAACTGCAACAAAGCACAAATATTCATTCTAGAACTCACAGTTGATCTGGAATGTGGTAGTAGAATTACTGTCTTATACTTTTATTCCTAACATATTAGCAATTCACAAATTAAAGGTACAACAATTAGTTCAGAGGGGCCATTCAACGTTCATGGACCAGTGTCAAAATATATTTAAGTTTAGATATTTCATCAAGACTATCACATATTTTTATTATCTCCAAAGGAATCCCTGGATGAACATTATTTCAGCTGATATTCCTCTTGAAACATAGTGGATCTTAAAAATCTATAAGTGGGACTCCCTTTATAAAAGCTTTGAACTGAATTTACACTTCTTAATGCTGAAATTGATAGTTTATCCATACATTTTAAGAAAAAGATGTTGAGCCAAATATTGACCCGATAGCTCAGAAAAAGTAAAAAATTTTGAATTTTCTCTTTACAGTCCTTGTTGCCCCTTTAAGAATGAATACATTTTAAAGATACACAGTTGTATATGCATAATACTATTTTAAGTTTTTTCATCAGATTTCCTTGGCTGAGTATTAAATAATATCCATGATTGCTCTTAAGATTTTCATGTGCGCTACACTGTATTCTCTGTTGTGGTGAGATTGTTGCTATTAAGATATCCAAGGTTGTCCAAGTTCATTACTTATTGATCACCCCCCATACGTTTGTTTATCCAGTTATTTGAATATACCAAAAGTTGTTATACAGGTATATTACTCCAACATGCTTGTATTGAGCCTAATCTAATCTTTTTGCTGAAAATAAAATATATTTGTTTAAATATTTATATCAATATAGTGGACCACTGATGATTTAGATTTCAATGAAGAATTCTTTTGCTGTATAATGCAAATCCAGCCAATTTTGTATCTCAACATATAATCATACTGAAATTGTGATGAGTGAAAAATTTGCTCCAAGTAGCTGAAGAGCAAAATTAAATATTAATCAGTATTGATGCAATGTATTGAGTCAAAGAATTTTAGGACAGGCCTAACCAATGATAATTTCAACCAATTTTTGAGGTGTACAATATTGTCTGTTGACCTGGAATACAAACCTCATAAAAATTGACCATTTAGCAGTTTAAGATGCGGAATGTGTTTTTTAATATCTTGTTGGAAGTTCTCTAGTTCACACACTGGATTGTTCATCACATCAAGACATACAAGGCCACTGCAACTGGATAGTGATGCGAGGCCTTCAATTGTTGATATAGCTGAGTATGGGTTAAAGCTTATAAGTGTTTTATTTTGTATGGTTTATAGGGGATATGAAATTTTAAAGTATTAATGTTTTCCTTATTTTATTTCTGAAATTTTTTTAGATATGTGATCAAAAATAGAACAATAAAGTCATGCAAAATTCCAACATTAAAAGAATTTGATTAAGGCAATTTACAAATCTAAAAAGGCATTAACATACAAAACTAAAAAGTTGAATTCCATCACAATATGTCACCACATGAAGTGGTGACAAGAAACGTTGATGATAAACAAGGCATTAACATGCAAAATGTCACCACATGCCATTTGTTACAGAAGCCAACCGCTGAACACCAACAGTCCAACAATGTCTACAAAAAAAGTTGGAGACAATAACAAAATGTCACCACTTACGGTGACATAAAAAGGAGGATACCATTCAGGATGACAATGATGATCGTCACCACACTGCCGTCATGACGATTATATCCCACCAGTAGGGTAATAAAATAGATTCTCTCAATAAAAGGATACAGTTATTTGACAGATCCAATTTTTCTAAAATTGGCATTCTTTCTAGTCCCTCACAATCTTGTATCAGATTGCCTCGTAAATCAATCTCAGCAACACACTGTAGGAGATAAAAATTCTTCAAGGATGTTATCTTATTTGACTTTGCACTTAAGTATGTTATAAATGCCATATGACTGAGGTGTGCTATTGAGGTTAACTGTTTATTGTCCAATTCTATGGTTCTGCATTCTGGACCTAGTTGTTCCAATGTGTTCTCTACTATATACTTGCTTCCTGGAAAATCAAAAATCTGCAGTTATTATTTTCATTCTATTATGTTTTTGTTTGATTAAAATAGCTATTAATATATATATAAGAAATCTGAGACAGTTAAATAAAACATTCATACATTTTCAAAGAATTTTTTTTATTTCTTATTTATTTATTTATTTGCTATACACTTATAAAACATTGTGGCACAATGGTTAAATTCGAGTGTGACAGTAAATGTATTTAACAAATTCCTGAACCTGGACATTTCACAGTATTTGGGAGCAAGCACACAGGCAGCTAGGGGGTACATTTTGGGCCTGGTAAATTTGTATTTTTAAGGTCAGACACTGGCGGATCCAGAAATGGGGTGGGGTCACGAGGTCCCCCCTTGAGTGAACCCAGAAAATAAAAATTTGGGCCATTTTGGGCATTAGCATTACTTGGCCTTTTTTGGGCCAAATCATAAAAAAATGGGCCTCAAGCAAGCACAAAATTTTTTACTGATTTGAAGTTTGGGCCCCCCTTGTTAGCTTCTGGAACCGCCAGTGTTAGGTATATAAGAGGATAGGGAACATTTGTAGCTCCAGTTCATTTTGGGATGAGGTATATTTCAAGATATGGGAAATTTAAGAGTGGGTACTTTGTAAGGTGAGTTACATTTTGGGTTGGAGATATTGAAAGATGTGGTAAATTTTGAGTGGTATACATTTATAATTGCGATACATTGTAGGATGGAGTACATTTCGGGTGGGAGATTGAAAGATGAGGTGATATTTTGGGGGTGGCAACCATTTGAAAAAACTTACGTAAATCTAAGTAGTAGTTGGTTCTGCATGGGTCTACCTGAATGAGTTTGTCAATGTATTCCATTGTTTCTTGTTCATGCTTAAGTGGATCAATTGCACGCATCAGTGAGACAGTTGTCAATAACACCCCTGGAATTAATGAACTTCCACTAAATCAATGCACATTATAAACTCATTTTGACCTCTAAAGGTTCAATAAGTTATCCACATTTACTGAAGGTATTAATCTAACTCAGTCTGAGAACAGAATAGAGAGGTTAAATACACACATTTGGGAGATCTTGAACGTAAACGTGTAACTTTATGAACCCCAGGATTCGTTGTCCACCTCTCAACCTTATTAAAATACATACTCATACACTACTTCAAAAAGGTGCCAACTTATTACTTAACCTCTCTAAAATCTCACCAATTTGTTCTCCTGGACCTGCTGATGAGACGGAACATCCAAATTATTGAAAAATGTTAAACTACCAATAAAGTGAAATACTGATGGAAATGAAGTGAAATGGTTCAGATTACTTTAATGGTTAATTAGCATCTAACAGAAACTACTTGTTATCAATTACAATCCTGTCAGTACCCTGTAAGTAATAAACCTTGATCTGATCAACTTACATTTGTTGTCTGGTTCAAGCTCATGGAGTTGTTGAATGGAGTCTAGTTCTCTGACTAATACGTCACTTGTGGCTGCACTCAACTCATTACTGAAATAACAGAGATAATATGGGAGTCAACAAAGCATTTTTAAAGACAAAGCATAACTGTCAACTGGTGGTATTAGAGAATGAAAACTTAAATGGTTAGAACAGGTATATACAAATATTTTTCCAATTCAACAGCCCATTATCTTGTGATTTCCCTTAATGTCATAGATATTTTTGACATACCTGGTTCTGGTTTGGTGGCAGCCATTTTGAATTTGCCACAACAGCCCAATTTAACATTGCCAGGAAAAATACATAAAATCTGTTCATGAACATGTTCTAATGGATTCATTCACTCTAAACTGATAAATTTGAATGATATGCAATTCTGTGCATGGACTTATCTATTTCCCTTGTTTCTAACTCATTTTATCATTTTCCTCACTACTCAGGCCCATAGTCAGGGGGGGGTTGTCAAACGTGAACCCCCCTGGAAATTTTTGAAAACTGAACCCCCCTTGGCAAATCCTGGCTATGGGCCTGCTACTTTACACTTCATTGACTGCTACACAAGTTTATGGTTGTTAAACTGCTCTACTTTTGTCATTAAGAGTAGAGCTCTGATATATTACCAAAATAAAGTTCCAGGTTTAGTAATCTTCCGACTAAATACTTCATCACAGAAAGGCATCAGCACAAAGTTCCTGTTGTTATGGTGATCACCATGCTGTATTGTGACATCAATTGTTGTGTCCTGATAATAACTGGTTAACTTGTCCTTTATGTCACATACCTAAAATTATGAAAATCTGATACCTTGATGGAAGTCAAGTATATTTAAGTCCCGTTTATGTGATAAAACTAGGATTCTGTTTATGTGATAAAACTAGGACCCTGTTTGTGATAAAACTAGGATTCTGTTTATGTGATAAAACTAAGATTCTGTTGATGTGATAAAACTAGGATTCCGTTTGTGATAAAACTAGGATTCTGTTTATGTGATAAAACTAGGATTCTGTTTATGTGATAAAACTAAGATTCTGTTGATGTGATAAAACTAAGATTCTGTTGATGTGATAAAACTTGGGTTAATTAATATCTATTTTACTCATCTTTCTAAAAATTGCATACTATTTAACTCCCCATAAATCGATTCTTCAAATAATCTACAATTTGTTTAAATTTCTTACCCATACTGTGCTGACTTTAGATTTGAAGGGGTTTTCCCATGAGCAAGTCACAATCTCAGAATTTATCTTCAAACTCAGCCGATACCCTCGTCCTACCTACAAACATAGTCTATTGACAATGGGAGTTTTAAATTTTTGTGGACGCTTGCTTACATCATACACAGTACAAAAATAACATGAATCAGAATAACTTAGTCAATTACATTATTCTTTTGGTCAAAGCTTAAACAGCATGAATGATTGTTATTTCACATGTTCTATGGTGCATAACTTTACCTCTACTGGGCGAGTCAAACCAGCGACTAGACGTCCTGTTTTCCTGGTCGTACAGATAGTATATACTTCCAAAGGCATCTCACCTGACATAGAAATACAGTATACAGTAAATAAATTCTCAAAATCATTCTTGAAAAAAAATTGTAGTAATATTAAAGGATTTTATGACGATTCAATCCTTTACATAAATGCATAATAGAAATTGTATTCACTGATTATTTTCAATAATCTAAAAGTGAGTGACTTTTCTATGTACAGTATAATGTTAACCTTGACTGACCCCTGCTGCAAATCTTGATTATACAGAGTTCAACCTATTTTTGTTCAATTACAGGGTTAAAGAATGTAAGAGAAGGTTAAAGAGTGTAAAGTGTTGGTCAAAGGTGTCTTTTCAAAAAGCCTTCCAATATTTCCCATTTAACCCTGGTTACTGAAATGAAACATCTGAAGTATTATGGAAGTACTTGAAGTTTGAACTTAAATGTCAAATGTCCTAATTCAGGAGTCTAAAAATCTGTGCACTTGTTGCATTATCCCTACACTTATATTGCACCCTCCCTGTGCTCATGATGACCCTACCTGTATTTATGTTGCACCCTCCCTGTACTTATGTTGCACCCTCGCTGTAATTATGTTGCACCCTCCCTGTACTTATGTTGCACCCTCCCTGTGCTCATGATGACCCTACCTGTATTTATGTTGCATTTTCCCTGTACTTATGTTGCACCCTTCCTGTACTTATGTTGCACCCTCCCTGTACTATCTTGCACCCTCCCTGTACTTATCTTGCACCCTCCCTGTGCTCATGATGACCCTACCTGTATTTATGTTGCACCCTCCCTGTACTTATGTTGCACCCTCGCTGTAATTATGTTGCACCCTCCCTGTACTTATGTTGCACCCTTCCTGTACTTATGTTGCACCCTCCCTGTACTATTTTGCACCCTCCCTGTACTTATGTTGCACCCTCCCTGTGCTCATGATGACCCTACCTGTATTTATGTTGCACCCTCCCTGTACTTATGTTGCACCCTGCATTCATATTGCACCCTGACCTACCTCTGCCCAAAAGCCATCTATGGTAGAACCAGGCACTTTGGTCACTAGGGTCTGTGAAGAAGGCATTCTGGGCAAGCTCAAACTCTGAAAAACAAAACAGATTATATTTCAAAGGACAACAAGCCAAAGACACTGCACCAAACTGACTCAAATAAAATATACTGCACCCCTTCAGGTTAGCTGAGGATTCAATTGTCTTTAATTTTTTGATATTTTGTGAGTACCTGGCCAATTCTTGACTTTTTTAGTCAACAGAAGCAAAAATAAGAGATCAAGGAGAGTATTCAAATTTAAAAATCAAGAATTATCAAACAAAAACCACATTTCTGGTGGGGGACAGGACAAAGAAAAGCATTACCATTAAGAAGTATGTCCTCCTTGACACCAACAGGGTGTTGTTGGTCAGGATGCAGTTCGGGTAAAAGTTTACTCCGGTAGTGCCAGGATGAGTAATTTGAAAAGTTAGAACTAATTTTATTTGTTGTATAATCTAATTCATCACTCTTTGGTACACTGGATTGCTTGACGACAAATCTTCTGTAGTCCCAGCAATGAACTGAAACAATGAAAATACATTATTTATCGAAAATTGATAAATAAATTAAATAAATAATGAAAAACATGACACGTGACATCATGAATAGAATGATTGACAACCTGGAAACTGGGCATGTAAGACATGGTTGCAATGCTATATATGCAATGTTGATGTGCAAAAGCCAGTCGGCCCTATAGCTCAGTGGTAGAGCAATTGCCTTGTAAGCGAGGGATCGTGGGTTCGATCCCCAATGGGGTGGACTGACTTTTTCACACCATCCCTTAGCACAGGATTTCCTTCACTTATCATTGGACACCCTGTGGTGTTAATTAATACTTACAATTCCTTTCATCATATTCTAAAAATTTATTGCATAGAAATAATTCATGCTTCCAATCTTGTTTGGGGTGTCTCATGAGCATCCAACAGCGATGTTCCCAAGTGCCGTATGATTTTGGGTTGCCACGGAGACAGGTTTCAAGGAAGTCCAGTTCATCATCAAACAATTTAATAAGCGCATCTGAATCTCTAAAAAAAAGAAAATATTTAAGAAAAATATGTAACAAGAACAGTCCGTAATTTGCTTGATTGATTGACTTATCAAATATTATCATCAATATGGATGTGACAATCAATAGTCTACTTTTAAATTTCCATATAATAATTATGTGAGTCTGAAAATAATACATTCATTGAAGGCTATTCATAACGTGGGAACCATATCTTAAAACCTGAATAAGTCATAATAAAAACATGTCATTGTCTGCACACAAGCATTTGCACCTCATGTTTTACTCAAGCTGGATTTTTGAAACTTACTTGGTACCCCTAAAATGAGTGAAGATTTCTTTGCGTATGTTCCAAAGAGTGTAGAAATCTGAGTTCTGTGCCAGGATTTGTCCAGTCAGCATGAGAAGCTCATCATCAAATTCCTGCTTCGCACGCTGAAAAACATCAAAATTCATTTTTACCTGACATAATGTATTTTGCTATAACCATGGGTGGTAGAGCCCATGCTATAACATAAAGTGCATAAGAAAAATAAGGCCTTTATTATTTGTAAATCCCCCAAAATATCAATGTCTTCCCCATATAGAGCCAATTTTTCTTATTTCAAACTCGATTGTATAGTAGATAGCTAGTAAGCCTATCAGGAACTCCAACAATTGCAGTGGCGTAGGAACAATGTACGCCAAAACGCCAGTGCGTAGTGTTGAAAAGTGAGAATAAAAAAGAATTTTCCTATGTTCTTTAGTCATATTTTCTCATTGTTCATAAATTGTAAAAGTAATCTCGAGCCTAAAGAAATGTTTTGTGGATACCATATCATTATTGGTCTGTCTGGAAAATATCATTTAACAGATTTAATTCCCTTAGCAACATGCTTTATTTCATGAAAATCGAGCCACTATTGAATGTCTTATGAATACAATTTTGCCAAATATTCGTGAATCGCGTTCTCTTCACGAATTTGAGAGGAAAACTGTTTTTTTTTCAAAAACTACTTGATAAATACCTTTGACATTTTTTCTGCATTTTCCGTAATGCTTATTCAAACTATGGTATCATATAATTATAATGATGAACCTCTTTAAATTTAGATGTACATTTTTTTATTCTCCCCTACCCCAATTTTTCAATTTCACTATCGATTTATATTCCGTTGCTATGCAAAATCATAGACACGAAATTATAGTTAAGTCAACAATTATCTATTTTCTTACTAAATCACTAATTGTTATTGGTAGTACTTTTTGAAATATGGATGTTAAAGACAAAAACAACTTGAAAATGCTGATTATTCAATTACACGTTCCATTGATTTCAGTTCTAGAAAAGCGATTACCTATTTTTTTTCATTTGAAAAATAATAGATTCTTGTTTTATAACATTTTTGGCACCCCCTAAGTCACGTTGACCTCGATTTGACCTTTGCGGTGGGTGTATTTATTTGTTTCATTGATCACGAATGCGTTTCTTTATATCAATTGATCAAACTAGTTTCTTTAATCTGTACGTATTGTATTGCATGGTACACGATGGAATCAGACAATACTATATATCTGTATATCTTAATTCAATTATTCGAAAATGATTAAAAAATCTCTAATTGTTTTTTTGGAAATTGGTCGTCTCAATCGTTCGAGACATTAGCAAAGTGAGAATGATTTGTGTCGTGATTTAAAAGATAGGCTTTCCAAGGTGATTTTAAATGATGAAAATCATTCGAACATATTAAAGCACATTAAAAAGGTATCAGGGATTTAAAGCTTGCATATAAAATCGAAACGCCAACCTATACGTATGCCCAATCGCCCATATAAATGCATCGCTTAAGTATTTCCGTTCACATTTAGTTTGTGAAAAACATTGCAAGCTTAAAATCTCTGTTACCATAAAATGACGTTTTACAAGCATAATATAGGCGTTTTGCTATAGAATATTGACACAATTGTTTCATATTTTTTTGGCGGGATTTTTGGCGTAGTGTTGCATTTACACCTTCCTACGCCCCTGAATTGATTTTGTTATGGCAACATTTACCTTTTGAAAAATTTTCTGAGTTGCACCATTGTAAAGCTTCAATTTCTTTTCACGTTCTTTTCTTTTTGCCTCTTGTTGTTCAGCAGTGGTTTTAACTTTGAGACGTCCATGCTGAAATATGTAAAACATTGCAAATGTAGTAATGTACTCTATAAATAAGTGCATGAACATGCAGTATTAATATGATGTTATTTATTATCCCTGTTTATTTGACTTCCAAATAGGAATCAAGGGATCAAACCATATCATACATATTACAGTACATATAAACTTTATACATGAACTCAAGAAATCAGATGCTTTAGATGTCAGCAAAGTGGCCAAACATATCAATTATTTCTCACATACTTAAGAGTGATATAGAGGTCCTTTGTCTGGCCCGTAGCCATAAATTTATTGAATATTTTAAAAATCGCCAGATAAATAAATCATTGATTAAAATGGGACCGGCTCTGCTTCTTGGCGAGATATTGCATGATTTCATCAGGATTTCGTCTAAAATTAAAACAAAATGTCTCTAAGAAAAATGGCAATATTCAAAAACTGGACGAAAAGTCATTAACGTCTGACATTAGTAACTGGTTGTAAATTCTAAGTTAGCGATCCAGAAGATGTGAACTAATACATTGATCACTTCATGTGTGTTTTGGAATTTTTGGTGAGGTAATAAGACCAAAACTCGCAATTCAAATTGTGATGTGGAAAAATGGCGGACATTTGATTTCAAATTTTATGATTACGACATGACCCATTATACATGCAGGAATTTATCTTTGGACGAAGGCCACGATACAGTGGCCTTAGAAGAAGGTAAATCTAAACAATATTGGAAAGTATCATCGGCCATGAAAGTATGAAGAAGTCTCAAATCACCATGGTCTGGAAATGGTGATATAAAATCCAGGTGTCATTTATTCATGGCGAGCACTTTAGTCCCAGATCTAAACCACAAAAAAATAATGTGCCGGTTAAAAATTGCACATTTTTGAAATATGAATCTATTAACTCTCCCTGCACAAATTGAGCTTTTTACAAGCTGCTTAGTGGGTCTATATTTTCAATATATAAACGCAACATTCAAATAAGTATTTTACCTTTTAGATAGCATGTAAATATGGAAAATATGAGAAAATAACAAACATCAATTTACCATTTTCACTTCCGGTTTCTTTTTTCCTTAATTTTGAAGAGCGCTTATCATGGAAGAAGGTAACTTCACTGACGAAGAGAATCTTGCTCAAAAACACAGGAAAGAAAGGAAGGAGCTACAAGGTTGGTTGTTAGAATCATCTTTGACATACCAAGCAATACTTTATCAGATTTTGTCGATTCAAATTTGATTTTAACACGAATAAATTGTTTCCAAACTTCCCAATTTAAAAATTATGTGCTGACGCACCACAAATAATTTCTAGGAATAGGATAAGAATAATCTCTATTCTCACAAAAAGCTTGATTTACAAACAATAGCTACATTTATTATGTTGTATATCCCCATTTTATGTAACCTTCACCTACTATTTACTGTACTCCAGGAAAGATACAACAACTGAAGCGCGGTATTCCGAAAGGTGACAAGAAGAAGAAAAAAGAAGTAACAATTGAGACAGCGCAGTTAGAAGCTGATCTCGATGCCAAACATGAACAAGAACTGAAAGATTTCAAAGCACAACAGAATGATGTAATCATAAACCTTATTAACTTATCGTCAAATAATCAAATTCCGTCAGATTATCAAAATCTGTCTGTGAATAATGTGTCAGTGAATTGGTCTGTGATGAATCACAGACCAATTCAGATTTGCTATGTTATTTTCCTATACCTAGTGAAAAAATCAACTGGTCCTTATCAAAAGTAATCTGGTTATGACCAGTGGACTAGCCCTTAGGGCATAGACTGCTTGTGGTGTGTGTTTTCCTTACAGTACTTCAAGGCACACAATTAATTATATCATTTCTCTAGAAAATCTCTTGTGATATCACCATTATTTTTACTGAGTGTAAACAGTTTTTCAATAGGATGGCCAGTCAAACCAATACTCAATAGTGACATGATCAAGTGGCCTTCATATATTTATCTGAGATATTTTTTGTAGCTAAATTTTAGAGCCCTATGCTAGAAGGTTGGAGATTGATCACTTGAATTCCATTATATTTCTCTTTATTTCCTTACATTCTCTAGACTCCAGACAATGTAGCTGAAAGGGTGTCTACCATATCACTAGATAATACCAATGATGCTACATCCAATGAAACCAAAGCCAAGAAACCAAGCAAGGCACAGAAGAGAAGAGTAAGTATTTTCTGGAAATCATGTTAATCCATGTTATTGCACTTCTTGAGAATAACAAGATTTTTTATCTCCCTTTTTCAAAGTGCTGTATTGTGGTTGTATTGTGCTGGAATGTGGATCATTGGATGCCACATAAATTTTGTCATCAAAACTCCAGGAAAGCATTTCTACAAGCAAAGCAGCTGAGTGCCAAGATCTGATAATGTTTTTAGGCATGCTTGGTAAATTATCATTTTGAAAAATAATTATACATATTATATTACCATGTGTTATGTTCTCAATGGGTCCAAAATACTGATTCTACCTACTTTGATCAATATATGCTAATCTTTCATTGTTTTGGTTTATGTTCTACAGGGTGGCATCCAAACTATTTTAAGATTTATATTTACATTTACCATTTAAGATTTAACCAACATTTTGCTTTGAAATATATTTTGCTTTTGAAATATGGAATTTTACTGATGAAATAGTTACAAATTACATGATGTTTTACAATTCCAGGAGAAAAAAGAAGCAGAAAATAAAGCACGAGAGGCAAACATAGCAGAACAAGAAGTAGCTAATCTCTCTGGGGCTAGACACATTGAAGCTCAGAAAATAAAGGAAATCCTAGGCAGGAGAGGTTTAACAGTATTTTCAGTAAGTTTAGATGAGAAAGAGTTAACAATGATCTCTGTAAAATATACAGGAAAGGGTTAACAGATTTATTAAACTAAATTAAATTAAATCTTGTCCATGAATAGAAATAACAAAAATTCCATATGTAGAACATTTTGTTTAGCATACATCCCTAATTAAATTTGTTTTTGTCAGCAAGCCCAAAAACCATGCTTGTATTTTATATCTATAAGCTCTAATGTGTTTTAGGTGCCATCAGATGGTAATTGTCTGTACACAGCACTAGTGGATCAACTTTCCAGGCAAGGCATAGAGGTAAGTAGCTATTAGATGCTACCAATATCTGCTTATGCTTAACCTCTTGAATACCCAGAATTCTTTATGCTTTAATGTGTATGCAATCTGGTAATGGGTAGACTGTGAATGTTTAAAAACTGGCAAAAATGCCCTTTTTTAGAGGCGGGTATTCAAGAGGCTAAAGGAGGGCATCCTCTTCTGATTCTAATATACATACACATAAACTTAATAGCTTTGATACAAACAATCCCTCTGGTGATATTACATTTTGAAATAACGTATATTAAAGTAAATTGGGAGTACAAAAATAAATGTTGGTGTGAAAAAGAACAGTACTCCATCCTATTTCTTGTCAGTGCCAGTGCTTGTGATTTTCCACTCTATTTCATGCATTTTTCTTAAAGGCGGACATGTCTGATATGCGTAAGAAAACAGCTGCCTATATCAGAGCTAACAAGGATGACATCATGCCGTTCCTATGTGACCACAACACTGGGGAACCATACGATGATGAAGCATTTGAGAAGTATTGTTCTGACACTGAGAATACTCCAGCGTGGGGAGGTCAACTGGAGGTAGATATTACATATAACACTCCATTTTAGATTTAAACCCATCAAAGCTGATAAACCAATTGAATCAGTTTATGAAAATGCTTTTCTTATTAGACTAATGAGTGCTGTCTGCTGATGAAGACGATGCTTATGCTGAAATTTTACGACATCTATTTGATTGATGTATTTGATTTCATGATAAATATCAAATGCACAGTATATTATTTTCAGGTTATAGATTTCAAGGCCAAATTATCAAGTTATTGATGGTTTACCAAAAATGACCCTATTTCCCTGAGGATGTCAAAATTCAATTTGAATTTAATGTTTTTCAGATAAAAGCACTATCTAATGTCTTAGACCACCCAATTGAAATAGTTCAGGCAGACTCACCACCTCTTGTAATAGGAGAGGACACCAAAAATACACCACTTATTCTTTCGTAAGTATTTATAAGATTTGAAGTGAAAAATATCTCACTCTTATTGTAACTATTGTCATCTGGAGATTTCTTTACATTTTGCGCATTACTTTAGCCAAGTGTCTCTAAAAGAATTTTTATGTGATTTCTTCTGTGAAATTTTGGCTCCAAGGCTCTTTTGGTTAAGGTGTTATTGAAAAAGAAAAAAGTGTTTTTGTTCAGGGCAAAGCAGGACTATTATGTGTCAGCATCTTTCAAACACTTTGAAATATATAACATTGTGCACCTAAGCTTACCTTCCTACCTAAAGCATTAAACGTAGGGGAGTTGTTGGGTCTCTTCACCTGAAATATTCTGGATTTTCTTAAGATAGAATAAGGCATGTTTTAGCGAAAAAAAATCTGACTCTAAACCACCTGGGAGGAAAGTTACTGAGCTGGTTAGATATTGATATGCCCAAATTTTCAGTAGATTTGACTTGAAACGATAAACCCCTATGTTCTTAGAATGAATTACTTCATTATCCCACCAAACGAAGTTCAAGGGGGATATAGAAAAGCCGTCCGTCCATCCGTTCGTGTGTCCGGGCAATAACTCAAATACCGGTTGACGGATTTCATTCAAATTTTATAGGCTAATGCCTTATGGGTGTAGGACCTCTGCTCGAGAAGGAATTTTCAATATGGCCGTTTAATTCGAAATGGCGGCCATTTTTCCTAAAAAATATAATCTTTAATAACTCAAATACTAGTGGATGGATTTGGTTCAAATTTTATATGCTGTTGCCTTGGTACAAAGCAGCCTTGCCAAAGAAGACATTTTCAATATGGCCACCAAATTTCGAAATGGCGGGCATTTTTCGTAAAAAAACTGTTATCTTTGATAACTCAAAGACCATTGAATGGATTTGGTTTAAACTTTATATGCGGATGCCTAGGGACATAGGAGCTCTGCTCAAGAAAGGATTTTCAAGATGGCAGCTAAATTTCAAAATGGCGGCCATTTTTCATAAAAAAACATTATCTTTGATAGCTCAATTACCATTGAATGGATTTGGTTCAAATTTTACATGATGATGCCAAGGGACATAGGAGCTCTGCCCGAGAAGGGATTTTCAAGGTGGTAGCTAAATTTCAAAATGGCCGCCATTTTTCATAAAAGAACGTAATCTTTGATAACTCAAATACTAGTTGACGGATTTGGTTCAAATTCTATATGCTTATGCCTAGAGACAAAGAAGTTCTGCTCAAAAATAAATATTCAAGATGGCCACTGAATTTCAAAATGGCCACCATTTTTGATAAAAAACGTAATTAATGATAACTCAAATACTAGTGGATGGATTTGGTTCCAATTTTATATGCTGATGTTTAGGGAAAAAGGAGATCTGCTTCAGAAGAAATTTCAAAGGCGATAGCTGAATTTCAAAATGGCTGCCATTTTTCATTAAAAAAGTAATCCTGATAACCCAGATACCATTGGAAGGACATTCTCTGCTAAAGAAGAAATCTAAAGATGACAGCTGAATTTCAAAATGACAACCATGTTTCATAAAGACATAATCTTTGATAATTCAAATACCAGTGGATGAATTTGGCTCAATTTTTTATCAAAACATGTTTTGTTCGGTGGGATTTGCTACTCCGTTGAGTTGCTGTTTTTCTAGTTAATAATGGCTCAAGATAGTTACAAGTAAGCTCAAAATACTGGGAATTGAATAACCTTTCCAATGATACCTAATACACCATCGTTTGTTTGTTTCTGAGATAATACAGGGACAGATCTGCATCCCCCCGCTTATCGTTTGTGTAATTCTCTATAGTCTAACCCACACTACCCTACCCCTATACTGTAGCCTGTATTTCTTTGAAAGGGATACAAGCTACAGTGAAGTTTCAAATGGACCATGTTTTCTATAGGGCTTTTCTGGTAATAGTAAAATGCAAACTGCTCGATGAATCTATACATTGTATAGTAGAACATTTGGCATTTATGTAAAATATTCCTTCATTTCATTCTTCCTTCATTTGCAACTTAACTGTAGCCTGTATCCCTTTTAAAGAAATACAGGCTACAGTATGGGTTATGGTAGTGTGTAACAGTTTAAGGGTTTGAATTAACTTGCCAAACCACATTTGAGCCAAGTGCTACTCATACTTAATCCTGACTCCAGTCCACTTTTCACTCCGATTTGCATATTATTTATTTATTTGTAGGTATCACAGGCACATTTATAGTTTAGGAGAACATTACAACTCTGTCATAGAAAAGCCAGAGGAGGATGAAGAGGACACCTGACACAAGAGACTGGAGTATGATGGGATTGAACATATGCAAGGAATCGTGGGAAATGATCTGGTCTACTAGAGACAATATTCCTAGTATTTTTATGCACATGCATAACTCTTGCGGTGCCTATTGCATGGTTTTTAATGGAAAACTTGAAAAAGGACTGTATCTATGGTACTTACAAAGGTTAACCTTAATAGTAATATACCACTACGATTCACTTCTCAATTAAATACTTACAAGACATAAACAGATTTTTCTTGGTCATTTATTAGTTTATTCAACTGTTCAAATGTAAGATCACCCTTACATTACATGAAAGCATTCATATAACATACATGTTGTACATGTAACTGTGTAAAGTATTGTGTACATGTATTTATAGTTTTAGAATATTTCAATAAATTAAACCAAAACAACTGAATAATTTGTCAAGTTGTCAATTTTAAAAGAACTTCAGAATTTTAAAATGTTCAATTGGTCATATATTTATATCCCATCAATTTGTTACCAATCCAAAATTGCCAGATTTTGTGACAAAATTTTATCTTAATGATCTCTTTGTTATTCCAAGCCTCTTCCAATCTATTTTGCATATAAAACATAACCAAAAGAACATTTTTCTCACGGATCATTTTATACCCATAACCTTATACATGTACAACAATTGTTAATATCATAATATTGTTCAAATTGAAATCATCTTTGTGAAATTCCTCTCCCATTTTCCCCATGACTGGCAATAACTATTTTTGAAGATCTACAATATTTGGCAAATATTTTTAGAAGTAGCATTATCATTTTCAATTCCCTGTCCCACTTCTAGTAATAAATTAGTGAAATATTAGTGTGAAAAAGAAAAGGTTCCCATATTTCAGTTGTCACACAAAACAGGTGCATACGTATTTTGAGTCCTTTTAATTACTGAAAGACAGCTATAGGGTGTCTTCTTTGGAGTGTAAGTAATTGATAATATTAATGGACTAATATTTTTGAATAGTGCTAGAGAAGTATCATGTCAAAGTTCTGCTACTTGTAAGTTACACAGAATGAAACAGAATAATTTACATGTCCATTTTGAAAACTCTTTCACTATTTTGGGCAGCTATTTGTGCATTTTGAGCCTTGTCCTTTGATTATTGAGGGGCAGCTTCCTGTGGTTTTTCTGCCTCGTCCTTTGGACCACCATCATCTGGTTTCATCGCTGGGAAGAATAACACTTCCTGCAACACAGAAACATGAATAAAATTTGAGCTGTCTGCCTTTATATAATTTTATATGGTTCATTGTTATCCATGGTGTCTCGGTGTCTACTGTCTACAGTTGTAGAAGGGGAAGTAAAGTTGATAATTTCATAAGGTGGAGAATGGGTACATTACGATGTCTCTGTAAAGAAAGTTGATTGTTTGGGAATATTTTTTTAATATGGGGAGCTGGTGGGAGTTAAGCCATGATGAAATTGCCTTTTAATTTGAATTCCTGAAAACAAGCAAAAAAAACAAATGAATGAAACAGGCAAATTTATTGGAAATCCTAACATGGAAACAATTCCTCCAATCAACAAGTGACTTGGTTAAACAACTGGACAAAATCACCTGTTGCTATAGAAACACCTAAATGAGAATCAATCTCATGTGATGAACTGTCAGCTTCTCTATAAATTGACAGATGTAACTAAATCTGACCAATGACCACAGGACATAACCACTATACAGCATTCAATACATATTTTCTATATGTTATCTACAGTGCAAAAAATCATTACCTTGATATTGTTGGAGTCTGTAAGGAACATGGTCACTCTGTCTATTCCCATTCCCCAGCCAGCTGTTGGGGGTAGACCATACTCTAATGCTGTACAGAAGTTGTCATCCACGAACATGGCTTCATCATCTCCTGCTGCCTTGTCCTACAAATACATAGTTTATGTATATTGGATAGTAGCCCATATCCTAATGATACAGAAAACGGTTTGGGAACTAAATAAGGAGTTTACAGATAACAGATATGTTGAACAGGAACCAAAGTATAGTGTATATAAACAAATTAACCAGTGAAGCCAGACAGAATCACATTGATTAGACATGCAAAAATATATATTTTTTAAATGCAAACCCAACTGACTAAATGAGTACTACTTAAGAAATTGCTCAGGTGAGGATCTGGAAATTGATATGGGGACCCTTACTTAACTTTTGAAAATTTTGTGAATACAAAATGTACACCTATAAATTTTGTGAATTGTCACAACACAAAATAGAATTTGGACCCATTTTGAGAATTTGGGTCCATTTTATGATAAAATAAGTCCTTGAAATGTGAATAATGAAACAGATTCGATATATCCAGTCTATTGAACTTTGAAAACCTCTAATGACATCATATCTTACTTTAGCCTGTTGTTCAAATCTTTCCCTTTGGACGACTGGATCGTTCAACTCTGTGTATGCATTACAGATCTCTTTCTTCATGACAAACAGCTCAAACCTTTCAGTCAAACCCTTAATAGATCTGTGCCACTTGGCTAGTGGGCTCATGATTTGTGGATGATTGGTTATAAATGTGGGGTTGACACATTGTACTTCAAGGAAATCGCCTACTAGTTTGTCCAGCAGACGAGCGGTTGTTCTAGGATTGGTACATTCCACATCATGTTTCTTGCATAGGTCATCCAGGAACTTATTAGTTTCTGAAAAGTCATAAGTTTACATATTGCATAACAATGGTGGAGTACAATATATTTGGGTTACATTGAAGAAAGGTACACTGTGGAATAAAATGAAATATTATTTTGTTCTTAAGCATAAAGGCTAACTATAAATATTAAGCATTTTTATAACATAAGACCATGTATAGTTTAAATGACATTAGTGTTAAATCTCTTTTAATTACCTTTTGTATGTAAAGTATCTGCTGGAGGAAATTGCACATTAAGAGCCTTCTCGAGGTCTTTGATCATATCAAACCTCCTGAAAGGTGGAGTGAAGTCAATCTCTTCAGCTTTACCCTCTGGACCATCTGGGTGGTAGACCACTTTGTAGCCTCCTGTGATCCTCTTCACCATACCTATAATTGAAATACCAACCAATGGTTAAAGGGATTCAGTTTTTAATATAATTAAGAAAACAAGGCATTATTAACATGCAAAATGTCACCACCTGTCATTTGTTACAGGAACCTAAAAAGTTGGAGATTAACAATATGTCAGCATTTCTGGTGGTGACATAATTAGCTCAACAAGACAGTCTCCTTGGAAACGCCTGTGAACCACATTGCAAAATCTACAATTGAAACACCAACCAATGTTAGAATCCTCTTTCAATATACAGGGAAACGCATAAATGGACACTTAACAAAGAGGGGGAAATAACCTTCTTCATGTAAATATGAACCTCTACGTGAAAATAGCTTCACTTTGTATTTTGGGTTTTTCCTCCTCTTACTTTGCAGTAGCCCATTTCACAGAATTTTTACTCTGATATGACATTTTTCAACAACTGGTATAATTTCTTCAAAATTCATCATCATTACACCACCTTTATATGGTAATGTGTTCAATCTTTTTTGTAACTAATTTTATTAGGAAACATAAACTGAATAAAAATAATGTCCCACCCACCTGAGACCATTTCTTCAGTGATGGTCATAAGATCATTGTAGTCGGCATACGCCATGTAGAACTCGCATGTCGTGAACTCAGGGTTATGGGTCAAATCAATACCCTCGTTTCTAAACTGTCTTCCAATTTCATACACACGATCAATTCCACCAACTATGAGCATCTAGAAAAGTAAGCCTATTGATATAATGTTACCAAAAGTGGGCTACATACAGTATTGAGCAGATAAAATTGATCTCAGCAAGTTTCCTTCAAATGGAAATGTTTGGCATTTATTTTTGATATTTTTAGAATTCAATTTGGAAGAGACTGAATTTTAATTGTTGGAAAATAGTTAAGACAGTAAACTGATCAATCAAAAGGTTTGAATCTAGTGGACATACCTTATGATACAACTCTGGTGCGACCCTCATATATAGGTCCATATTCAGGTCATTGTGATGGGTGATAAATGGCTTTGCAGTGGCGCCACCTGGGATCATATTCATCATTGGAGTTTCAATCTAAACAAATTAAATAAATGAATATATTGTCAAATTAAAGAAATCCTATACAATAGAATAATTCAACCAATAGGCCTAGATTGTTTTTATTTAGTTATTTAGTTATATATTTATCAAGAGGACATTGGTCAACCAAGATGGATGTACTTATTTCTTGACATGAATTCTATACATTTACACTTGAACTGAAAATTCAATTTAGTAACTATGTTATATAATTGATTTTCATATTTCTCTTGATTTTTAGGAAATTACTCTCTTATAAATATTTACCTCTAAAAATCCTAAGCCATCTAGAAACTTTCGTATATGGTTGATTATCTGGGCTCTGACTATGAATTTCATTTTGACGTCTTCATTTATGATGAGATCAAGATAACGTTGTCTGAACCTTGTTTCCTAAAAATACAGTTAAGTAAAAATATTACAATACAGTAAGATTTCATGAATCCCAGTGGGAAAATAAAATATTCAAAACAAAACAGAGCAGATTTAGCAAGAAATAAAATTGCTAAGTAAAACGATAAAAACTCTTAAACTCACAAAGACATGTCAGATACATTACTTTATCCATTTATAAAGAAATTAAAAGGATTATGTGAGCAGAAATTCTACCAACAGCAGATGACATTCTACAAATAGCAGACAACATGCTACAAACAGCAGAGGACACACTTCAAACAGTGGACAACAATCTACAAATACCTTATCTTTGAGACCATAATGGAGATGAGGAAGCTGATGTAAACAAGGAGACAAAAGCAGTAACTGTGAGGGAATGATACTCAATTCTCCCTTCTTTGTCTTGCCTGGGTTCCCTACTGCTCCTACGATGTCTCCCCGACGTAACTTGTCATTGCATTTGTAAAATTCATCTTCTGATGGAAAATGCCTGAAATTGCATATGGAAACGGTGAATATAGTTTTTGAAAGTCATCATGATTTTTATCAAATCTTACTTTATGAATTTAGCATTATAAAGCCATATTATCTTAACGCACAGAAATTATAAATGTTTTTGAGGTCTTATATTGGGAATTGATTCGGAATGTGTATCATCTTATCAATATTTCTCCAGAAAATGAAACTTATTTAATTGATGAGTTTCATAAATTGCCTCTGGTGATATGTAATAACTACATTGTACCTTGCATTTGACATGATTTGTATTTTTACGCCCTCGCCCCTAAGGTCATAAAATATCAGTTTGGCTCCTGATTCCCTTTTGGCATGGAGGCGTCCTGAAATCATAAAAAAATATTTAATGAAATGTCCTACTATTCTTTAATTATATACAAGAAAATTAACATTATACATTTTAATGATTTTCAAAAAGAGAAAACATTAAAATATGGTTTGGATTGAGCATACTCAATGGAGTCCCAATTCATCTGGTCATCCTATAATTAACAGATTTGTGATATTTGAATTATAAAAGGCATACCTGAGAGCCTAACTTCAACATCTTTGACAATGTCCCCATCAGCAATATTATTGTATTTCTCTATGAATTCAGTGAGAGACATTGAGACATGGAATTTGTGAGGGTATGGCTCCTCCCCTGCTGTCTTTAGGTTAGCAACAGCTTGGCTCCTTAATTTAAAATACTCCTGAAAAACAATTTTCATATATTTCGAATTCTGGCTGATATTTTGATATTTCTAAAGTGACCCACACATGGGAGATTTATGAAACATAATTGAACATAGAAACCTTTATCCAATCATTCAATTTTGATTGATCAATCCTAAAAACTTTTTCATTCTACTTTATTTTACAGAACAGCTCGTTTCATTACTAATCCTTGCAAAGGCATGCTTACATTTGGGTCAATTTCCTCCTCATTCTCAGGTTTCTTTCTCTGTGTTCCCTCGCCTTCTGCAGGTTTTGGTTCATTCTTCTTAGCTTCAGCAGCCTGGGCAGCTTTCTCGGCTTTCTCCTTTGCCTTTTGTTCAGCCTTCAGCCGACGCTTCAGCTCACTGAAAAAATAAAGATTATAGACATTAAGGTCTATCTTGTTGATAACCTATCTAAAAATCTACCAAAAGAGAGAATGCAAAGCCTTATAGGGAATTTAGAATCAGGCTCGATGTTGGTGCTCATACGTTACTATTTCTTATGTTAAACCAGTAGAGAAATTGTTGCACGTACTTGTTTTCAAAGAAGGACGGAGTGGTGAGATGTAAACGCTTATAACTGATGTTTCCATTTTCTAGCAGTGACCTTTTTGAATGCTGACGTAAGCCATTCCAAACAAGATACGAGAAGTGACGTCTTATGACATTCATTTCCTGTTTTATTTCTTGTTAAGGCCCAACTTCTTATGAAATATCATCATTTACCTATCAAAAGAGAGAAGGTAAATTAGATCGAACATACTGATGCCTGGTTGCTTAAGTTTTTGAAAAAGAGGAAATAAAAAAAACATTGATTTATTCTAAAATTAGAACTACACCTCAACATTGCAAGCAAAATCTAAGGTCATATATGAAATCCAGGCAACTTGTAGATGATGTTTTAAAAAATTGGAAAATTTGAAGCAAGTTGAAATTTGACCATGAAAAATTATATTTTATATGCTTGTGTGTACACATGTATTTGAAATGTGAATAACTCATTGATACATCCAATTTATTTGAAGAAACATTTTTAAAAATGTGAGCCATGTGCCTACATTTTTCCCTAACCATAATGAAATTCAAACCACATCCACCTTATTTTCAACCACAAGATTTCAATACACAAGTAGTTGAGGGTGTGATTTGTTTGTTAGTTAGTATCCTTTTATGCCCTATGATGCCACTTTTTGGTCTCGTGTTGCTCGTTTTATCACTTGCGCTTAGATTTACAAAAATCAACCCCATTTCTTCTCATTGATCCTTTTAAATGTTTATGGGGCACTGTGGATTAGTGTTGTCGCGATTAATCAAAACATCGCGATATTCGATCGGCAAAAGTGATTTTGGCTATGCATCGATGCCTGAAACAAAACATCTATGTTTTACGAAAAAATAAATCTGCTAAAATCACCTTTTCCTATCTTGTTTTCATGCAAATGCCATACCTTTTTTCATTCTTTAGTTCATCTTCCAATATTCTCTGATATGCTTTCGCTTTGAAAATGTTTTAGCTAATTGAAATGAAGCAATAACCTCTATTTTTACATTCATTTACGCACGTAACCAACCGGAAGTACAGTGGGGATCATAAAGAATTGCAAAAGCTATGAAAATTACATGCTGTCGCACTTGAAATAAATTCTTACCTCAGTGTATTCAGTGCTCTATTTTCTCCGTCTTAGTAAGTCCAAATATAGTGGAATGTGTCCCTAATGACAAATAAGAACTTCAAAAGTTGTTGAGGTGATTTTGTTGCCCGATTGCGCCGGAACGGAGGATTGGCTCCCAGAATGCAACATGACACGTGCCAGCTTTCAAAATGCTGTTCCGCCATTTTGAAACCTGTCATGGGTAAATACGGTTAACTGATGTTGCATTCTGGGAGTCAACCGTCCTTGGATAACAAACATGGCGATTCATGAAAACATTAATTCGATTTGGTAGGGATTTATCCATTATTTGCAGGTATGAAGCTTTGGATTCATTTATTGTGCTACTTTAGTGAACGGGAATTATTTTTCTACCGCTTGGGAGAGTTTGAGACACGAAACTTGGAAATAAGCTCATTGTGACAACTTGTGAACGTTGAGTTTTATTTTTGTCCCCCACTGTATCATACGTATTATTATTTATTTGATGCATTCAGAATTTTATTTATTTAAAATGGCGGTAAATTTGATCAGACTTTTCACGATGTACATCGCCATGTGCATCAATGTTTACTATTGAAAATTGCTGATGCATCGATGTACGATTATGGCACATCGCGACAACACTTCTGTGGATAAACACACATGGGTGTAACATGAGATAAATAATGAGTTAACTTGACTTGAATCAGGATATAGAAATCAAAAATTGAGGAATCCACTTTTATTATAACATGAGACATAAATTCATAATACAACCATGCAATAATATGATGAAATGTTTTGAAAAAAATAAAAAATTGAAAGAAAAATATGTTCATAAGGAAGTCGTTAAAACTTGGCAAATATGACTTCGATTTCGACAAAACTTTGACATCAGATTGGCAATATTGGATTCTTTCGAATACAGTTACATTTGAACACATTTGTTTGTCATTACTCACTTTTTACTGAGTTTTTCTCCACTTTCTGCCATTTTCACATGTGCCGGGAATGTCAAAACGAGGCTTATGTCAAGGTCATATCAATTACGCATGCGCACTGTTTACACTTCCGTGTTTGGATGTTTTCCAACAAATTTTCAATATTTTATAATTTTATATAGATTTTCAAATTGCAAGACAAGTGTTGATAATTCAGACTGACAATACTTTGGATTACATACAATGGATTTTAAAAATTTAATAGAAGAGGCTGAAACGTGGATAAAAGACAAGACACCTGATTTCAAAGTTTTGTCCAATGATCCAGATGAGAGAAAAATTACTTTCTCTTTGACATATTCAGAGACCAAGACTTTTTATGTTGTTTGTCCTTTAAAAAAGGAGCAAGGATGGGTAAATATTCTTACCACTTTTATCGGAATTCATGGCTGTTACAGGTTTTGGCGGCTGACGCAACCCTTGTCCCATCTTGAGTTTTGCCTCGTTGATTTCATGGATTGTGGGAAGTTCCCCATTATACAACACTGTATATTGAGTATGAGAACTTCCCACTATCTGTGGTTGCTTTTCAGAAAAACTGACCCGTCGCTTTTTATTTGCCTCATAAAAGGGTTTGTAGAAAAAAACGGGTACTGGGTAGTAAATCCTCCATGCTGGGTTCAAACTTGGTACCTGGTACCCAGTCGAAAAAATCGGGTACCAAGTTTGAACCCAGCATGGAGGATTTACTACCCGGTACCCATTTTTTTCTACAAACCCCTCATAAAATGTGAACATTTTGCCTCAAACAATTTTTGACACCTTCCCCTCAGCTTTCATTCCAATTTGCATATTCGACCAGCTCAAATGTTTGCAGTTTACCATAATATCAGGGATAGTCAATATATAAAAAAAAGTATGTTAGAATCTAGATGACATGAATGTTACTTATATGCACTGTACCAAATTAGACCTGCAAATCATGTTTGCCTTATGCAGTTATATTTAAAGGTGCAACAATTAGTGCAGGGGGGCCATTCAACGATCATCGACCAGTGTCAGAATATATTAAAGTTTTGATATTTCATCAAGACTAACATATATTTTTATTATCTCCAAAGAAACCCCCTGGATAAACATTATTTCAGCTGATATCCCTCTTTTACGTGGTGAATCTTAAAAATATATAAGTGCTAAGTGGGACTCCCTTTATAGGAGCTTTGAACTGAATTTACACTTCTTAATGCTGAAATTGAGAGTTTATCCATACATTTTAAGAAAATAGGTATGTCAAAGAAGATGTCAAGCCAAATATTGACCTGATAGCTCAGAAAAAATAAAAAATTTTGTATTTTCTCTCTACAGTCCTTGTTACCCCTTTAATAAATGATTGCTTCGCCGACAATATTTGCCTCACTGATGATTTTTGCCTCATTGACAAAAATATTACCTTGTTGATAGGAAAAATTGCCTCACTGCACCCTGCCTGTGAAATCCTAGTTGTTTGCCTCATTGACAAAAACAATCTGCCTCGTTGATGGCATACATGACCTAATGATATACGGGTGTACAGGGAATTCTATATATCTGAACACCTCTTATCTGAACACCTCACAATGTGAACACATTTTTCAGTCCCATTTTCCTGATTTGACATAGACTTCCATGTTAAAAAACTATGAACACCTGCCAATCTGAATGGCCTGTAGCATTGGTGTTAATAAGACGGGTTCAACTGTACTGTTATTCTAACTCATTCGCTACGAAGGACGTGATATGACGTCATAAAGCACATACGTTGACTACTAAGGACGTGATATCACGTCCAAGCACAAACTCAATGTATTTTTTGGAATCTTGTTACCATGACAACTTATAAAATGGGACTTAAAAACCTGTTCATTCTGAAAGAGTATATCATATGCATGGTGTTTTTTACATTTCCAGCATGTATGGAGTACAAATGAAGATATCCTTTGCTCAATGCAGGACACACAGGATTATGTTCTCAGTGAGAGACAGAAGACAATCTCAGACATTCTAGCTCGAGTTCAAAAAGATGTCAAAGAGGTATGTAAATACTTATTTGGAATGTGCACTGGTACATAGACATACAGGCACACACTTCATCTTTTGTGGGTCCCTCAGTAAACTCAGTTACTCAGTTGAAAATAAATGCAATCTGTGAAAATATTTTATGCACAAGACTTAATGCATTGTGGCTGAATTATTCCACTCAGGCATTATTTCCTAAATTTCACGCTCGATGCTGCAAAGGTTAAAATAACACATTTTTGAGGAATGATTCAGTCTACATTACAGGGCTTAAATCCTTAAGCTAAAGGCTCTAACTGCTGACTAATATGGGTTGACCTATTATATAGTAACCTACAGATATTTTAATGGATGTTGTGCAAGTACAAGAAATATGCCTTGTGTGTTCAGTTTATGAAAGATGATCTGAAATGCACTTTATATTACGTTCTACAGCCTCCACCAGTTGCAGCAAAAGAAGATGAAAGTGATGACGATGGCTGTTGCCTTGACGATGATTGTGATGATGAAGATGATTTGGATGATTATTATAATGAATTAGATGTGGATGCCACAACAGAGGTTGTTAAAAAGTATGTAGTATTTCAGTTGTTATGTCACTGCCAGAGGTGGTGACATATCGTTATAGTCTCCAACTTTTTATGGATGGTGTGCAGCAGTTGGTGTTTAGTGGTTGGTGTTCATTGGATGGCATCTGTTACAAACGGAAGGTGGTGACATTTTGCATGTTAATGCCTTATATTTAAGTATGGCCCCTCTGATTTTGAATGTTCTTACCCCAGTTACAGATACTTTACCAAAGTTACCCAGATCTCTAAATAAAAAATAAATAAAGTCACAAACTTTGCAAAGTGAAAGTATGAAAAAATTCAAGACCAAAATCCTCTTTGATATTTGTCTACAGGACATCAACTATGCGACAAAACCTTGTGTTTGGAGTACTATTTATTTGGGAGTTTTTCTTCACTAGTCTTTCAGAGTGATTGAAATAACATAAATGGGATATGTCTATGTTGAAGTTTAGACCAATAGACAGAAATAACCTTAATGTGTTATGTCTATGTAAAATTTAGAAAAGGGATACATAAATGTGAAAGGTTGACCTATATTGATGTTAAAAATGAAATCAAAATAGTTTTAAATATCAAAAACATATTGATGTTTAGAAAGTAGATTTAAACGGAATAAATGTGAAAGGTTCAGGTTGAAGCTTAATTGAAATAAAAAGAATTTTAAATACAGTATAAATGTTTCAATGTTTAGAAAAGATCCTGAGGAAGATTCTGCAGATGCATACTTCATGGGATCAGGAAGTCCAGCAGCTGTACAAAGGCTCGTTAAAGGTACGTGTTAGGCCTACTTGATAAATCAAAAAGAAATAGAGGGTGTTCATAAAATATCTATACACTTTACTCAGACTTTATATTGTAATTGTAGAGACCCTGTATGTTATCGAAAAATTTGAATTCATTGGTAGAGAAAAAATAAACACAAAATAAATTGCTTAATGAATAAAAAATCAGAAATACAAATTACATTGTACACTGTATTTATTTAATTTGTGATTTTGATGTCAGTCCACGTCAACTTTCAGATTTAAAAAACTTAAAAACAACGAATGGCAAGTTTGGTGTTCGTGGAGAACCAAGGGGCAACAACTTATTTATCTGGGTAAGTAAACACTGTTGAAAATTTGGAAACTACATGTCACACTGTTGAAAATTTGGAAATTACATGTCACACTGTTGAATATTTGAAAATTACATGTCACACTGCTGAAAATATGAATTTACGTGTCACATTGTTGAAAATTTGCACAATGTTGAAAATTTGGAAATTACATGTCACACTTTTGAAAATTTTGAAACTACTTGTCATACTGTTGGGTATTTGGAAATTACATGTCAAACTGTTGACAGTTTGGAAATTAGATGTCACACTGTTGAAAATTTGGAAACTACATGTCACACTGTTGAAAATTTGGAAATTATAAGTCACACTGTTGAAAATTTGGAAATTATAAGTCACACTGTTAAAAATTTGGATATTACATGTCACACTATTGAACATTTGGAAATTACATGTTGAAAATTTTGAAATTACATGTCACACTGTTGAAAGTTTGGAAATTACATGTCACACTATTGAAAATTATATGTAAACTCTTGAAGATTTGGGAATTACATGTCACACACTTGGAAATTTGGAAATTACATGACACACTGTTGGAAATCTATTTGCACCCTACCTTGATGTGAAATAAGGATTAGCATTCTGTTGTGAAAAAATCCTGGTATGGTAATTGATAAATATTGGTTTATATGAGTGTGGTTATTCATAAAACTCAGGTATTGTAATTCATTCACTAACTAGGCAGTCTACACTGTTATGTTTTCTTCATGAGAGAATTGCTGCATTGTTGTTCCCTCCCACTTATACATTATACATGTTGATTATATAATGCGGTGCAGTTATATGAAATACTGTGTTTTGATTGGCTGGAATCAGACACACCTTGCCTAGCTATTAGTGTGAATATTGTACAATCATTTTATGAATATACATTTTAGGATGTAAAACTGAGCGAGTTTGACAAGAAATCCCTATTGTTTAAAGATCTCACAGAATATGCTCGCAAATTTAAAAGAGAGGTAAGGATATAGATGTACAGAGAAACCTGTGTGAGTGAAACAATTTTGGTACCTCAAAAAGGTATTCCATTAGGTAGATGTTCAGTTTTCATTGAATAAATGGGTCATGGGACTTTGTAAAATGTTCCACTTGTAGAAGTGTTCCACTGTAAAGGTTGAAATGTACATCCCTTTCATGTCAAAGATATGGAAAGATATTTGAAGAATTTTTATTCTTTTATTTAGGCATCAATCCACTTAGAAATGAAGTTCCCAGCCTCATATCCTATGGAACCTCCCTTCATTCGTGTTCTCAGACCAAAGTTTAAGTTCTTAACAGGTAAGAGATCCTATTCAAATGTTAAAGGCCTCATCCAGAGTTTGAAAATATGTTTTTATCATTCATTTAGGATTTTTCATGAGTTTAAACGTTGCCAAAAAAGAAGTTAATTTCAGGAAGAAAATGCGGAAAGTTTGATTTGCTGTTTACATCTCAGCAAGAGCCAAAAATTAATATTTAACGCAAAAAATTGTCATTTACCCCTATCCCTACCAAAATTGTAACATCTTTCTTTCACAACTTTCCACATATGGATATCATTCCTCAAACATTGCATGAGGAATAGTGCTGCAGCTGAGGGATTGGGAACAGCCAGAATTACATCACAGACAAGTAGCAATGTTATTTACCATTTTCCTATGAAAATTTCAGTTGGTCCCTATCAAATGCAACCTGGTAACTGATTAGTGGACTAAGTCCTTTACACAAGTTCTGATTAGAATAACAAGACAAATATTTGATTTTGTTTTCGGGGAATATTGTGTCACTTTCAAAATGCACCCCGTTTCTTTTTTATGTCTGTAGCTTTGCATGTTTATTTAGAATGAGAAGTAAGCAACTTTACATTATCTGACTTATCTCCATGATGCTGCACTGTTGACCAGTTTCTACTCACAAGGGGTGTCTCAATCTCCCATAATTCTGAGCAAGGGAAAAATTAAAAAAACACACACAATCCAACGAATCATATTACAATGACATGAATTGCAAAATGGGCTACCATATTTCTTACATTTACAATATTACAAATCTATGAACATAAAACATTTTTAATTTCCAGGCCATGTGACCATAGGTGGCAGTATATGTATGGAACTACTTACAAGATCTGGATGGATGCCAACTAATGATATAGAAGTAAGTGGTTCGCCCAAAAAATGTTGTTATATAAAGATATGGATTTGCTAATAATGTACAAAATACATTTGAAATAATTGACAAAATATATTGAAGATTTTATCCAAAATATTACGAATGATATTGTAGTACAGTGTTTGTTTGAAATATCTGTAGACCTGCCTTTGTTTTTGTGACAACTTTCCATTTTAAATTTGAATATTTCTTTATGCAGATTTATGTACATGTATAAAATAAATGTAAAATTTGTTATATAAGAGCATGTTCAGAATTATATTTTGTGTAGCATTTCCGGTTAATGTGTGTTTATGTCGCCACTGAAGTGGTGACATATAATTAGAGTCTCCAACTTTTTTTTGAAGGTGATGTTTGGTGTTCAGCTGTCAGCATCTGTAACAAATGGCAGGTTGTGACATTTTGCATGTTAACCCCTTGTAATTACAATGTTTCTGTTACTCATTAATAAGTTATTTGATTTGATTTCAGGGAATCTTAGTACAGGTGCGTTCTGAAATAATGAGTGACGCTAACACAAGACTTGAGTTATCCAATGATAAATGTTATGATGAAACTGAGGCTAGATCATCATTTGAGAGATTGGTGCAAAAATATGGTTGGAATGAACCTGAATCTGGGAAATCAAAGGGAAAGAAATCTTGATGAGATGACGTGTTGTGTACCCTACAGAATAGCTCGATGTCTCAACGTTCTTTATATTAGTGATACAAAATATATAGATGTAATTCTTTGATCTAGATATAGTCAGTGGTAAAATGTAGTCTGCAGTTTAAGATGCTTCATTCATTGCCAATGTGTACTACAGGTAGCATCCATTTGACCTTCAACTCAATGAAATACCATGAAAGCTGCATTTGAGATCATAAAGATGTTATTACCATAAAACCATCAGTGTCACAATATAGGGTAGCGATTATTGGGTTTTTATTTTGTGCTACTTTTGGACTTAGAATAAAATTTAAAATGATCAGGCATTTAAAAAACATACAGTTCAGTCCAGCCTATTGATAGATTTTCATACCTTTTTTCAAAACCAACACAAATGGCCAAAAGTAACACTTTTCCAGGAAATAAACAGAGTTCAGCCTATCGATAGATTTTTATACCTTTTTTCAAAACCAACACAAATGGCCAAAAGTAACACTTTTCCAGGAAATAAACAGAGTTCAGCCTATAATCGATAGATTTTTATACCTTTTTTCAAAACCAACACAAATGGCCAAAAGTATCACTTTTCCAGAAAATAAACAGAGTCCAGCATACGATAGATTTTCATACCTTTTTTCAAAACCAACACAAATGGCAAAAAGTAACACTTTTCAGAAAATAAACAGAGTCCAGCATACGATAGATTTTCATACCTTTTTTCAAAACCAACACAAATGGCGAAAAGTAACACTTTTCAGAAAATAAACAGAGTCCAGCATACGATAGATTTTCATACCTTTTTTCAAAACCAACACAAATGGCCAAAAGTAACACTTTTCCAGGAAATAAGCAGAGTTCAGCCTATCGATAGATTTTTATACCTTTTTTCAAAACCAACACAAATGGCCAAAAGTAACACTTTTCCAGGAAATAAACAGAGTTCAGCCTATCGATAGATTTTTATACCTTTTTTCAAAACCAACACAAATGGCCAAAAGTATCACTTTTTCCAGAAAATAAACAGAGTCCAGCATACGATAGATTTTCATACCTTTTTTCAAAACCAACACAAATGGCGAAAAGTAACACTTTTCAGAAAATAAACAGAGTCCAGCATACGATAGATTTTCATACCTTTTTTCAAAACCAACACAAATGGCGAAAAGTAACACTTTTCAGAAAATAAACAGAGTCCAGCATAGGATAGATTTTCATACCTTTTTTCAAAACCAACACAAATGGCAAAAAGTAGCACTTTCCAGAAAATAAACAGAGTCCAGCATACGATAGATTTTCATACCTTTTTTCAAAACCAACACAAATGGCGAAAAGTAACACTTTACAGAAAATAAACAGAGTCCAGCATACGATAGATTTCCATACCTTTTTTCAAAACCAACACAAATGGGGAAAAGTAGCACTTTTCCAGGAAATTAACAGAGTTCAGCCTATCGATAGATTTTTATACCTTTTTTCAAAACCATTTTTCTGAAAAGTGTTGCTTTTCTCCATTCGTGTTGGTTTTCAAAAAAGGTATGAAAATCTATCGATAGTCTGGACTCTGTTTATTTTCTGGAATAGTGTTACTTTTGACCATTTGTGTTGGTTTTGAAAAAAGGTATGAAAATCTATCGTATGCTGGACTCTGTTTATTTTCTGAAAAGTGTTACTTTTCGCTATTTGTGTTGGTTTTGAAAAAAGGTATGAAAATCTATCGTATGCTGGACTCTGTTTATTTTCTGGAAAAGTGTTACTTTTCACCATTTGTGTTGGTTTTGAAAAAAGCTACGAAAATATATCGTATGCTGGACTCTGTTTATTTTCTGGAAAAGTGTTACTTTTCGCCATTTGTGTTGGTTTTGAAAAAAGGTATGAAAATCTATCGTATGCTGGACTCTGTTTATTTTCTGGAAAAGTGTTACTTTTCGCCATTTGTGTTGGTTTTGAAAAAAGGTATGAAAATCTATCGATAGGCTGAACTCTGTTAATTTCTGAAAAGTGTTGCTTTTGGCCATTTGTGTTGGTTTTCAAAAAAGGTATGAAAATCTATCGATAGTCTGGACTCTGTTTATTTTCTGGAAAGTGCTACTTTTCACCATTTGTGTTAGTTTTGAAAATAGGTATGAAAATCTATCGTATGCTGGACTCTGTTTATTTTCTGGAAAGTGCTACTTTTCACCATTTGTGTTAGTTTTGAAAATAGGTATGAAAATCTATCGTATGCTGGACTCTGTTTATTTTCTGGAAAAGTGCTACTTTTCACCATTCGTGTTGGTTTTGAAATAGGTATGATAATCTATCGTATGTTGGACTCTGTTTATTTTCTGAAAAGTGTTACTTTTCGCCATTTGTGTTAGTTTTGAAAAACTTTGAAAAAACGGGATGAAAGCCCATGGCTGGACTCTGTTTATTTTCTGGAAAAGTGCTACTTTTCACCATTTGTGTTGGTTTTCAAAAAAGGTATGAAAATCTATCGATAGGCTGGACTCTGTTTATTTTCTGGAAAGTGCTACTTTTCCCCATTTGTGATAGTTTTGAAAAAAGCTATGAAAATCTACAGTATGCTGGACTCTGTTTATTTTCTCAAAAGTGTTACTTTTCGCCATTTGTGCTGGTTTTGAAAAAAGCTACATGTATGAAAATCTATCGTATGCTGGACTCTGTTTATTTTCTCAAAAGTGTTACTTTTCGCCATTTGACCATTTGTGTTGGTTTTGAAAAAAGGTATGAAAATCTATCGCATGCTGGACTCTGTTGATTTTCTGAAAAGTGTTGCTTTTCTCCATTTGTGTTGGTTTTCAAAAAAGGTATGAAAATCTATCGATAGTCTGGACTCTGTTTATTTTCTGGAATAGTGTTACTTTTGACCATTTGTGTTGGTTTTGAAAAAACTGAGGTATGAAAATCTATCGTATGCTGGACTCTGTTTATTTTCTGAAAAGTGTTACTTTTCGCTATTTGTGTTGGTTTTCAAAAAAGGTATGAAAATCTATCGATAGTCTGGACTCTGTTTATTTTCTGGAATAGTGTTACTTTTGACCATTTGTGTTGGTTTTGAAAAAAGGTATGAAAATCTATCGTATGCTGGACTCTGTTTATTTTCTGAAAAGTGTTACTTTTCGCTATTTGTGTTGGTTTTGAAAAAAGGTATGAAAATCTATCGTATGCTGGACTCTGTTTATTTTCTGGAAAAGTGTTACTTTTCACCATTTGTGTTGGTTTTGAAAAAAGCTACGAAAATCTATCGTATGCTGGACTCTGTTTATTTTCTGGAAAAGTGTTACTTTTCGCCATTTGTGTTGGTTTTGAAAAAAGGTATGAAAATCTATCGTATGCTGGACTCTGTTTATTTTCTGGAAAAGTGCTACTTTTCGCCATTTGTGTTGGTTTTGAAAAAAGGTATGAAAATCTATCGTATGTTGGACTCTGTTTATTTTCTGAAAAGTGTTACTTTTCGCCATTTGTGTTACTTTTGAAAAACTTTGAAAAAACGGGATGAAAGCCCATGGCTGGACTCTGTTTATTTTCTGGAAAAGTGTTCCTTTTGGCCATTTGTGTTGGTTTTGAAAAAAGGTATGAAAATCTATCGATAGGCTTGACTCTCTTTATTTTCTGTAAAGTGTTACTTTTCGCCATTTGTGTTGGTTTTGAAAAAAGGTATGAAAATCTATCGTATGCTGGACTCTTTTTATTTTCTGGAAAAGTGCTACTTTTCACCATTTGTGTTGGTTTTGAAAGATGGTCCATTTTATGCTATACGTTCGTAATCTCTTATGATCGAGTCCTGTTCTAATCCTTTTTTAAATCTGTCCCTGATGCCTGGTCATTTTAAATTTTTTTCTAAGTCCAAAAGTAGCACAAAATAAAAACCCAAAAATCTCTACCCTATATCGTGACATATATCCATAAAACGGTAAATTGTTACAGTCAGGGTGTACTGAGGAATAGATGGAGTCCGATAAAAACAATTGTTCGGTGGATTTCTAGGGATAACTCCAGAGCTTATAGGTAAAATGGGAGAGCAGTTACTGAAAACCAACTCTGAACCAGAAATTTACTCACTTAGTACAAAGATTTATTGAATCCAATCCATGAGCAATGTTTTTACCAAATTTCCTTCCATTGGGAAACCTATTTCTTTCCACCAGGAATGGAAATTGGTACATGTAAAATGGTCTCTCTTGTTTACTCTGGAATATATTATGACCAAAGTTACATCCAATGTAAGGAATGATTCAGTGTTGAACTTCAATGTTTATGGATGATTTACAATATTATCTTTATGAAAGATAATTCATATTGTCAGTGCATTTATGCTTTTTGTATATTGCCAATGTCATTGTTTAATGTTTATGTATCATTTACAATTTTACAGTGCCATCATTTGCAGTTACCATTTGTCAATATTTGCTTACATATGTTCTGATGTTTGGCGATGCCATAGTGATTATGACATTGTAATGGTATGCCACTGACTTTCTTTTTTTTAAGTCTGTGTCTATACTAGTCATTGGTAATTTATGAACAAGAATTTCACATTTGCTCAAAATTTGAAAATATGTCATCGTCATCATCATTATTCCAAGATTAAATCACAAAATGAAATTTATGATAAGTTTGACCAACCATCATAAGAGTTTGAAATTCCTGAGAAAAACTGATGTAAGAGCTGTTCAAAATAAATTGCATAAAAATACAAGGGCCGATCCAGAAGTTCTGATAAAAATGCTTAACTTACAAGTTTATCATTCGTTTTCCACAATATTTTCAGAGTAACTGGGTCATTTATTCCTTAAGAGCTATCTATAAATCATTCTGAAAATTCCCTCCTGTATAGGCATATAAATTATGTAAATTGTGTAAAAATTTCAAGTGATTTCCTTTTCTTAAGAAAAAGATATGACATTTTTATCAGAACTTCTGGATCGGCCTTTGTATAACACAACACAACACGCATTCCAGCTTTTAGCTTCTCAACCACATCATGACTGTGTCCTGATTGGCTGAAATATGATATATTACTATGCCTAGCCATGTGTAAATGTATTTTAAGATTTGTTCAGAATGTCTACCAATAAAGCAGTGCACAATGTCCGCAAAATGGTGAATTGAATCCATTAAAACAGCACAAAATCAACTATGTTAACAACTTGACTGATAGATATTAAATCTGTCTAATAGCCTTCTCTTAGAGGCCAGTGTTTATAATTCTGATCATAAATAATCCAAAATTGTTTTTTTTATTTTCAGAATGATCTGTAACCTGGCAAAAAACAAAGCTTCTTTTTTGACAATACCTAAAATCACTGAAAATATAGCGGTAGCTTATTACAAGTGCCAAAATGAATGTCACAAGCTTTCACCTTTTTGAATTTAAAACAATAATTCACTTTCTAAAAAGGCTATTTGAAGCTCCGGGGTGGGGGGTATAAAATCATTTTTCTCGCCAAAACACTTGTAGAACTTCATACAAGTGGTTCAAAATGTTTTTAAAAATGTTTTTAAATGTCTAAAAGAACCAACAGAAAAAAATTCAAGATTTGTTCCATTTAAAACCATAGGGGCCCTTTTTGTAATGAGAGCAAAGCGCTATATAAAAGAAGTTTTGTAGCAAATTCTATTAATGATGTGAAATATATATCATTATGAATTAAAAACATTTTCGGGTAATATAGAATCAGATTCCAGTAATTGCCACTTTTTATTAGAATTATTGTGATGCTATTGCTAACAATCTTTTTTGCTAACAATCTTTTTTTTATCTTTTTTGTGGATATATGATTCGTTATTGTGAAAATTGATCGTTTGGTTGGGTAGTCTTACTTCAAGTCCTCTTGAGCCTCCCCCAACACAGCTTATGTGTACCCATGGGTGTAGCGCTATTTTTCTAAGAAGTACGCCACCACTACAGGAAAAAGAGTTGATTGAATCAAAAAACGAGCATTTCAGGGGGTCTGAAAATTTTGAAATTTGGTTGTGTTTGGGGCGAATTTGCAACCATCTGGTACGCCTGTGCGTACCAAGCGTACCGGGCGCTACGCCCATGGTACCCACAAGAGTTGAGAGACTTGATACAAGACTTCTGGTATAGTAATTAAAATGTGATTATAAAAAGATTGTTGTTAATGTTTGTGTATAAAATGAATTATTCTAATTTGTCAAATGTGTCACAATTATTGTCAATACTGTACATGCGTGTTGAAATAAAAGTTGAAATTTACTGTAAAATGTGTTGTCTGTCACATATTAAGGTTGGCCTAAGTGGATAGATTTTGAATTGCCAAATTACTCTCCCCTGCCTTCCTTAATGATAGACAGGACAACATGGTAAAAAGGTGTTGTGTAATTGTCTCAAATGATTAAATGCTGATGTATTTGCTATTTTAATTGAATGTTTTTCTAATAAAAATCTAGAAAAGCCATGTATTGAATGTTATGTAAAATATTACACTGCAGGGGCGTAGCCAGCTTTCAGTCAGGGGGTGTGATCGCCAAAAAAAATTGGTTTTCAGTCAGGGGGTGCGATTGTGGCATAAACAAGCCAAAAATATGATTTATTTTGAATTTTAAAAAAATGATGCAACTTCCTTCAAAATTGAGCTAAATTGAGCTTTGAATAAAAAGCATTTAAAGCTATTTTCTTCTATCACGTGGTTCTATTTTCATTGGCTATGGGGGGAGGGGTGCGATGCCCTGAGATGATATAACTTATTGAAATATGCCAAGTGTGTCTCAGCCCATCATGATAAACCATGCCATCTCAAATCTTCTCAGCCCTGAGATGCCATGATATAATGAGCTTGATTTGGCGATCCAGGAGAGCCCAAAGTTGAGGGTTTTTGAGATCTTTCATCCCCGCTCATATTTCATCTAATTTGGGTCATTAAACTTGTGTAACTGTGCCTGTTGTAATATCTGCTGTTAAATACAATGCCTATTATGTAATGTATTGACATTAAGGTAGATGATTACATGATAACAATCACACTTATTGACAGTTATAACTTTTCCCATCTGATTTGCTCAGATCACAGAATATGCCTCATAATATCAGAGCATGTTTCGGGTAAAACAGAAAGATGCTATGAGTATCAGAATGGTCTCAGCCAGTTTGCTAAGAGTATTTCAGAACATTAATTTAATTAAAAGTATATGGTCAACTGAGCAGAACCATTATTATCCAGTGCATTATGGTTTCATAATAAACTGAGCAGTGCTATTATTGGTAAAAGATTGAAAACATCACAGTGCATTATGGTTTCATTAAGAACCAGAATGAAGGAGTGATAGTTTGAATTGCAATAACCCTGTATCATTCTTTATTGGAAATTTAAACTGTATGAGTGCTTTCATAACCTGTACACATAATGCACAAGGGTGTAGCCCGAGTGCATTATCAGGATGAGTTAGTACATAAATGAATGCATTTAAATCCAGTAAAGAACTGGGTTTAATAAAGGTTGACAAAGTTTATTGCTTTTTTGTATTTTACCTAATGTTACCGCTTGTGATTTCTGACAGATGTTGAAATAACCCTAAATATTTTATCTATATATTTATCTGCATTATCATTTACATCTTCCACATTGCTGTGGTTTTACATTATGATATCTCCAGCAACTTATTGTGTTGTATTCAGTTCAACTGCATTTATGAAAATTACAATTAATTCTATCAAGGAATGTCTAAGTGGAGTTGAGATTTGAAACGTCATGAAAAAATGAAAAATGTCATATTTTGACCAGTGGCACCCAGCTTGTTCAATTAATATGCTCTGATCTATTTGGTCTTAAATATTACGACAACATATATAACCTGTCAGTGCAAAATAAATTTAATTCTCACAGCTTATTACTTCATTATATTGCAATATACCAGATGCAAGTAAAAATAATCTTGATTTATTCATTAAAATATTCAAATTTAAGTTAAAAGGATATCATATTTGAAGTCTATGTGTAAAATTACACTTAGAAATGTGGTATTTACCATCTTTGGAAATTTGATTTTCTTTGAAAATGTGATTTCTGGGTCGGGGAGATTCCCCATAGACCCCATATATGTTACAAAACCACAAAAAGTGAAATATCTTCTTGTGTTGGGCAGATAATATTTTCTTCTACTGGACATATTTTCAGTTGTATAACGATTAGACACATAAGCATGGATTATATGAAAATTGATCCACTAAACTGACAATGTTTAAGGGGACTTCTGGGTAATTGTAAAACAGAAGTTATTGCATTGATTAGAATTGAAAGGGGGACTTCCAACATTTTCAATTTTTTATCTTAAATTTAACCCCATAATGATAATTCAAAAATGAAGTAATGGTTTTCCAGTGACCAAATGTAATAAAAAATTACTAGATCTGTGTCACAAGCCATACTTTTATACAAATTGCAAATTCTTCCTCAATGAGTATATCTGTTTACAGGCCTAAACCATTATCAACTGGCACAGATGAACAGGTTCACTATTAGTTTCATCCCAACACCCCCCCCCCACCATCATGTTACATCACCAAGTGAACCCCCTCCCCATCATCATGTTACATCACCAAGTGAAATGGTCAGTATCATTATTCCACACTTTGTAAATTACCAGCTGCCATGTGTATGCCCTTCAACATGGATATTAAATTTCTGTTTTTGATATTCTTTATATTTCTCTCTAATCACGATAATTTCTTCGATAGTAAAAAGTCAGTTGATAATGCTTTGATTAATGGAACAATCATGTGCATTGTCATTACATTTCAATTGAGCAATTTGTAGTCTGATATGACACAATACAATATTATTCATGGTTAGGGGCCCATTTTCTGTCATTTAAAATCGTGCGCATGCGTGGTAAACAATTTGTATTCTTGGGGAAAACATTTTTGAAAAGTGTAGCCAGATTCATTGGATTTTCTCCTTACATCTTGAAATATTACATAGGATAGTTTTCGGAATATTGCTGGGAGACTCCAGGAAGGTATATGGATCCAAGGATCGCTTGGTTTCCACCTGAACAATTGGGACCAGCACAAATATTGTGGACGAGAATCTGGGAGTCTGGAATAGGCGTGGAGAATATGCACCTCAATAATCACACCAACCCAAACTTGGATAAAAAAGCACAAGAATTCATTCCATTAGATTTCCAAAACAATTTCGACAAAAAACAAGGACCCTCCAATATAAACAGACAAAATCAGAATCAAAATCAGAAGAGAAAACGGGATAATAGGGCATCTACTTACGGACTAAATCACAGTTCAGCAGTTCACCTTTTAGGAGAAAATGGCGGACTTACTCCTTGGAAACCACGGGATAAAACTTATCATCGCGGTGTTATAGGGTATGTTGTGTTTATTACTTATGATATTCAAACACTATAGGATATATTTCTTAAGATTCATTAAAAATTTTAAGTATTCACTCGCATCTTCATTAAGAAATTCGCGTCTGAAATGTGGGTGTCAAAATAATGATTGCACAACGGATTTTGAATCTGACTTTCAAATAACTTTCAGTTTCAAATTTTTATCATTACTGGTCCATTAAATACATTGAGTAGAGAAAAAATATATGAACACATTGATATACATTTATTTTGTAGGATATTGCCATCCATAGAATTGACCATGAAAGTTGTTTGTTGCAGAATACAAACAAGTTCGTATCCTCGAATAACCTTTGACCTGGAAATTTTCCCATTTACAAATCAATGACCAGTATCTCCAAGTACCACCAACCACGCAATGTGACTCATTGTGGATGGCCATCTGTATATCAAATGCAATACCAAAAATAGGTTCACTGTATAATTAATGAATTTTCAATTGTATAAATTACTCTTGTCCACAACCATGCTTTATAATCAAATTCCAGGATTGATTACCATGCGTAGCTGATATATTGAAATGATCTACAGTATTTTAATGAACAAACTCCATATATTGAAAGTGTACTTGTATCGGCATTTTGTGAACATGTCTCAATATAGCTTTTATAAATGGTTAAGGGATTCAGCAGCCAGCATAGCTGTTTTTAACAGGTGTTGTCTAAAATGTATGTGGGTGGGTAGTTGATTATGGTTGGTACATAGCCCTTGCTAAAGTTTCCATTCCTTCATTTTTTGCTCTCATTTTTCTCAATGTATAAACTCAAATCATTTTTTCATTCATTCCTGTTCTCTGCTTTCAAAAGACAGATTATCCAGTATCCACGTTATCCCATTGTAAGCTCCAAGGCCTCTGCTACCTTTTGAAGAGAGTATTATAATCACGATAAATCAGAACACGTATTTCCTATTATATCATGTCTTGGTTTAGTATACATTTTGACCACTGTGTTTTGATGAGGAGTGTATATTTCTGATAAGGGTGTAGTATTTTGGCTACTGCCAGCTCCAATAAGAATAAGAACAATCTTTTCCTATTTTTGCTCATTGATTCATCAAAACATGTATGATGATTTTGAACACAGTAACAAATACAGCCTTTAAGTGTATCTTATGGACATGTGTAGCATATGTATAATTGCAAAAGCAGAGACCTGTCGAAATTAGAAAGAGTACTAAAAAATAAACTTGAAGAAAGATAAGCATGAAAGTAGTGATTTTTTGCAAGGGATAAATGTCAAATGGTGATGAACTGTACATTCCTCACTTGAATGGGGCTGGCTTTTGACCTTCTCCTATCTGCTTTAGAAGACAAGCTACCAAAGCATGCTTTCGGTTTTTGTACAAATATATATAGGATATCCTATAATTTTGAGTGATATCAATTTTATCCACAAGTTGATATCAATATCTGGACGAGTGAGCATAGCGATCAATGAGTGCAGATATTGATATCAATGAGTGGATTAAAATGATATCACAAAAATTCTTATGATGTTCTATTTATCCCATAGTTCACCTGTAAAACTAAACCAAGCATTACAAAACAACATTCATTCATTCATCCCATGACATCATGCAATCACCATATTCACCAGTGATATCTGTGGATTATTCTCCATTTTCCACAGATGTGGCTTTTTTCACACATCAGCAGAAAACCATAGATATATTTACATGTTATCATGCAGATTTGCCCTTAACTATGGGATATAATGACAATTTTCAGACATATGAAATTAAATACATGTTCACTCACATAAAATTCCCCTGTCCTATGTAGACTTGGAATTTTGCCAGATATTGGGACTTCTAGTAACTACTAGCCACTTATAATGCTACTTCTTGGAAGTTAGATAGTATTTTTACATAAAATATTGATATATCTGCGTCATATTACCCTGAAGTCCAAGAGGGATTTCTATACTCTACAGATAGATAGTTTTACAGTTTTGATGCACCAAAAAATAACTGTCATGGCCTTGTTGTTAAAAAATGAAATAAATCCCAACTAGGCATTAAACTTTGTTATTGTCGTTTTAATAAATTACATATATGTTTAGCTGGCTTTTAATCAACCTTATCTGGATCAAAGGAGTGTATCTCATTCAAAGAATGGAGATGAAGCTCTCTTTTAAGACCTGAAATCAGACACTTGAAAAAGGGCAAGATGAGACGACTTGAGACGTTTATATATTTTACACACCTCATCTATATGCAAAAATATCACTACTATTACTGTGCTAATCAAGTAAGAGTAAAGGTAGTTGAACTTTACCTGTCACTTCTATGTTAAGACTTAATAAATCTTAAAATACACGAGGAGAAAGAGAAATCATGAGTAGAAATCTCATGAATTACTTTTGTTGTATGAATATCTCATATTTGAATCAGTCTGTTTATATGAATCTGGTCATTTTTTTTATTAAGGATTCATTCTCAGAGAGTTATTCTTGAGCAATACATGTCAGATGTCTCTGTGATCTTATTACCCCCAAGTAAAATGCCTGTTAATAAAATGTTAACTGGCATTTTAGTACAAGTAATCCAAAATTGAAGAAAATGGTAAAAATGCAGATCGAATGTAAAATTACATATAAATCCTTGTGTGGCCCAAGTTGTACTTGACTAGCCGAGGTCAAATACATAAAACCTAAATCTTCATATCAAGAATATTCACCTTAAAACTCTATCCATATCTTATTTCACAAATTTTTATCAATACAATGTGAATTTTAATGATTTATGATCAAATGATGGATATTCAATAATTTTGATATTTTATTTGATTTTAAACAGAGTTATAGTAGCTTATATATTTGGATACTTGTCGATTGAGTAAACTTGACTATTTTTGGCATTCAGATCATATTTTATCTCATATAATGTTAATGTATTATAAATTCAGATACATGTACCAGTAAACACTATCTTTACATTAGTTTAGTCTACTATAGATATACTGTTCAGTTTAACTCCATGATAACTGAAAGTCTAACATTTTATAAACAATTTGCAATGAAATGCCATGATTAGTTTTGCTTCAAGACCTTGGACCCCTCTATCTTCTTTTCATCAAATGTAATGTGTTGAAGTAGCTAGGGGGAGGGGGGTCCACAGTCTTGAAGCAAGACTTTGTCATGATGGTCCATCAAATGATCAGATACAGGGTAAACAATGATGTCAGAAGAAATTACCATATATTGAAAATCATCATTTTGGGTACGACAAGGTCTGGTTGGCTTGGCTCTGTGTCGGCGAGTTCAGAGGTTTTCCGAAACTTGAAGAGTGTAGACGAAACTATCTTTCAAGAACCTGAGTAAAACAGATGCAAAAGGGACCTATTACTGATCAATTCTCCCAACGCTACATTATTCTTCAATTCTGAAGTATGTATGAACAAACTTTAACTGGCTTGTGATATTCTGAGTTTTCAGAGTTCCTCAATCTCTAACCTTAGAAAGATAGACTCTTGATAAGTCAGAATGGGGTTACGGTAACTGAAATTTTCAAATTTGCAACAAGTTCTTACTATTTCACTTCTGGCTGCTTCATTGTAGGGGAGTTGAGTTCACTTATTGCTAAGTTGGTACAGCCAGCAATTGCTCTACATATTAGTTATTCTCATACCAATCTTGAAGGTTGACATGACTTTTGGGCTACATGGATACATCTGCAATTGATATGCTATGGGGGCTTTCTGTTGATATCTAACATATTGTTTTCATTGTGTCAAGTAGAATTCACACATCAAGAGCCAGAGATTAGAAAAAAACTTGATGCTACTGTACTTGCAGTGTTTGGCAACCTACTAACATAATACTTCTTTGTCATGGTTGGGTATACCACCCCCTTTTCAGGGGTTTCATTAGCAGCAAGCCTGTTTATTTAGCCTGTTTAGAGAAATTTTAGTGAAACCCCTGCCCTTTTGTAGGATCCTTACCTGAGGTATAAACACTCCTATCCCTTTGTACAAACACCTCTACATCCCTTTCTCTGAACACCCCTTCCCTGAGGTATAAACACCCTGAATATAATATATTTTAAAATCCCCTTACCCTTTCATACTAACACCCTACCACTTGTTGAGTTTCATTACCAGATGATTTCCAGCTTGCTTTTATTGAGTCATTGTCTCTTTTTAGCATAAAACCAACAAGAGGGCTGATAATCCACAAGAATGTTTCAGATACATCTGTATATTGATACATTGAATGAGAGACCACTTCCTTACCCATGTGCTGTGAAAGTTTAACCCCCACCCACTTTGTTAATACAGTTTTGAATTTCTTTCCAGATTACATGAAGAGATTATTAGCTTTTTCAAGTATATGTCTCCACGTCCTGAAGAAGCACATATGAGACAGGATGTCGTCCACAGGATTCGTCAAGTCATTCAGGGCCTCTGGCCCGCAGCTAAGGTCAGTACAGATTTTCAGTATAGATTTTTTGACAGAGTACATTAAAACTTGTATATTCAAACACCTCTTTAATCCAATCACCTCTCAATGTGTTAGGTGAAAGAACACTTTTTCTTGGTCCAAATCTTTTATTGACTCGTATTAAGAAATACAAATTCCTGCTAATTTGAACACTTTTGGCTTGTCCCAGCGGTGTTCATATTCAACTTGTTTACTGTAATTACCTAGGTGATCAGAGTATATCATACAAAATCAAACTATCAAATTTGTCGAAGGTCAGGATGGTATTAGTAAATGTAAATAGATAAAAATGATTTATACCCTATTTTATGTAAAATGCCATATCTTAAATATCAAGGATTATATAAATATAAATATCATTTCTGGTTAGCTGAAGAAAAAAGAATTTGGCAAATACGTAAATTTTATGACAAAACCACAGCCCTTTCATACAGTAAGGTTTTATGGTAGAGTATATTTGTATTTTTGGCCTCAGAAAAATATGTTTAACAAGAACTGCTTGATCACTCCAGTTTTCCCCAACACGGAGCTAAATCTTGGTCAAAATATGTCAATAATTCTTTCTTTTTGACAGGGCGCAGACAGATTTTTTACTGTCTGGCTTGTTATTTTGAAATTACGGGGCACCCAGTTGCTCCAGATCTGGGCATGGGGATCACTAAAGGTGTATAGCCGTTCTGTCATTGTCCTCTTTATAAACTGAGTCAGTGACCTTGTAGTAATTACTTGAGTCATTTAAAACAACTGAACTTATCCTGCAGCAACAAGTTACTTATGTGTCCAGTAAATATATTAGATTCAAGTCGTTCAATCTTCTTTGTTCTTATCAAATCATTGTCAAGCATGTGCAATGTGTCCCAGAATTTTTTATGTGTTCTTGTTGACATTGACCTGACCTTTTTTCTTTTAAAAGACGTCATAAGATAATATTCACAATGTTTTGCTTTGATAAATGCTATGAATGAGGTTACAAATGTTTGTTAAAAATGTCAGATTGCCTCTATTTTATCAGCTCAATGAGTATTATAAAGCAAGATTTATAAAATGAATTGACTCTATATGACAGCTGCTATTGAAGATTATGATCACTATCTCGTATTTCCTTTCATGTTAACTTGTCATTTGTTGAAATTATTGAGTACTGCTCAATAGATGTATACCATGGTGTTTTTCTCTTTTAATTTTCAATTTTCGATACGATACAGCATACATTTCAAAGTTAAAGGCCTTGTGTTAAATTAGTTTACTCAAGACTTCTGACAATGTAGAGTCAGTGTTAGTTTTTCTGATAAAGGCTCTCCCCTAGGAGATAATAGGATTTAGTTTGTGCAGTTATCTGTGGCATCATATACCATTGTATCAGTGATACGTATGGTGTATGGCAGTCAACGTCTGCAACAAATGTTAGGTGGTGACATTTTGCATGTTTATGCCTTGTTCATATTCAGTCATGCTGTATTCGTTTCATATTTTTGTATTTTATAGTTAGTTCAATGTAGTTTTAGTTAATTTTTGTATATTATATAATCTATAATTGGGTAATGACATATAAGAGAGTCTATTAAAGATAAATATATATGCAACCCCATCTTAACCCACCAATTGCAATTTATACAAATTGTGCCTCAATCTTATCTAACTCCTCTATTACTTTGGAGATACATGCAGTTGAGTCACTGTAAAAAAGTGATGATGCCTCATTATTTGTTATGTCATGCACAGTGTAAATTTAACGAACACGCACATTTACGATGACGTAGGCTCATGCTTAAACACGTGAAATATTGATTATGAAGTCAGGGTTTTGATATTTTGAGGTTGTTAAGGCGATATGATGCATCGAGATAAATCTCTGGCATCTTTCTCCCTAGATTTAAAGACTAGAAAGATCCTCAACAAAATGATTTGATGCTTTTATATAATAGAGAATTCATATATGTATTCACAATTAGAGGCAGTAGTCTGTAGTGTTGTTTCCTTTATGGAGACACTATATGAGGTTGTTGACAACCTATGTATGTAATGGTACTAGTTACAAAATTATTAACTCAACAAGTATCTGGGGGGGGTAATATTTGTGTCACGAACACTGTCTGTTTTCTTTTTTTGTTCGTGTGTATTTCTTTTTAAGAGTTAAAACGTTTATACAATTTAAAAAATGGTTCTTACAATTCATTTACTTTTCTCAATAAAAATTTCAAGTAATGTGAATACTTAATGTGAACATTATGTTCAAGTACAAGTAGACCATTTCACAATATTTCACAAAGATGCAGTGAGTCACTTTTGCCGTTGGCTGCATAGTGACAGTTTGAAAACAATAACAAGGTAGATTAATTATCAATCAACTAGTCCCCTTGATGAAATTTCCAATGGTAATGTCTAACATACAAAATTAAGTGGAACAAGAATTGTTTATAAACTGGTATTAGGTCAAAACAACATAGTATACAGAGACACAAAAGAATTGCATTTTTAACACTGACATAATAAGAAGGATTTTTGAATAAAGAATAAATGTTATTTTTAATGGTGGTTGTCCTCATTTTACAGCCATTGCTCAAATGATTTTCAAAGTGCAACCAGATACAACTATTAACTATTTCTCTGAAATATTCGAAATCAATTTTAAAAAGAACATAGGATGTGCGCTTAACCCTTTATCAATACCTATTGACATTGCTTATTGCGTACGATCGTAGGAAAATGATAACAATTGTTTTTATGTCCCCACCACATAGTGTGGGGCCATATTGTTGGCCTAGGCGCGTCCGTCCGTACGTCCGTCCGTCTGTCCGTACGTCCGGGGGTTTTCTCCAAAACTGCTACAGATATCACCTTCAAATTTTCAGGGATAACTTATGAGTGCATACAGATGTGGATGAAAATTTTTTAACTCGATACCTACTTCCTGTCGGCCATTTTGAAGTCAAATGCTAAAATCCTTGTCTGCAAACTTTAAGAAAAACGGCTTCACAGTTGCTTTTAAAACTTTAACATCTTGTTCAGCTCACTTCATTCTAGATCTGATTAGGTTTTGGACCTGTTAGCTCAGTCATGTCAGCCATTTTGAATGTCTTAAGAAAAGTTAGCGCACGATAATACTTTGTATCATATTGAATGGTGTTTTTGAGTTTTCATACTTTAACTATTTAGTAGCTTTATAAATAATTTCAGATCTACTTTGTTGTAAAAGCCTATGTTATTGTTAACAGTAGTAATATGTGATAATTTTGTAAGAAGAAATCAGCAAAAACACATAATCACTTTTTTATTGTCAGCCATTTTGAATTTTTCCGTCCTAAAATCTTGTCTGTGAAGTCTTGTCTACATGTTTTCAGGTGAACCGTTTGGTGGATCAATTTCAAATTTTCAGGGATGATTCTTAGTATAAAAATCTAGATCTGATTTGTTTTTTGGCATTCTGGGTAAATGTCAAGGCAGCCATTTTGGATTTTCCGTCCTAAAATCTTGTCTGTAAAGTCTTGTCTACGCGTTTTCAGGTGAACCGTTTGGTAGATCAATTTAAAATTTTCAGAGATGATTCTTAGTATGAAAATGTAGAACTGATTAGTTTTTTGGCATTCTGGGCAAATGTCAAGGCAGCCATTTTGGATTTTCTGTCCTAAAATCTTGTCTGTAAAGTCTTGTCTATGCATTTCCAGGTGAACTGTTCTGTAGATCAATTTCAAATTTTTAGGGATGATTCTTAGTATGAAAATCTAGATCTGATTAGTTTTTTGGCATTCTGGATAAATGTCAAGGCAGCCATTTTGGATTTTCCGTCTTAAAATCTTGCCTGTAAAGTCTTGTCTACGCGTTTTTAGGTGAACCGTTTGGTAGATCAATTTCAAATTTTCAGGGATGATTCTTAGTGTGAAAATCTACATCTGATTTGTGTTTTTGGCATTCTGTGTAAATGTCATGGCAGCCATTTTGGATTTTCTGTCCTAAAATCTTGTCTGTAAAGTCTTGTCTACGCGTTTTCAGGTGAACCATTTGGTAGATCAATGTCATATTTTCAGGGATGATTCTTAGTATGAAAATCTAGGAACAGATTAGTTTTTTGACATTCTGGGTAAATGTCAAGGCAGCCATTTTGGATTTTCCATCCTAAAATCTTGTCTGTAAAGTCTTGTTTACATGTTTTCTAGTTAACTGTGTGACGGATCAATTAAAATTGTGTTGGTAAAGTCTTGTCTACTCATTTTCAGGATAACCATTTGATGGGATCACCCATTGGTGGGGACATTTTGTACACATTTGTGTTCTTGTTTTATTTGTCCACTGCATCTCAAATATTAAAAAGTAATACGAGGACTTTGAAGTTTAGGTCAATGGGTAATAGGTAATCAGTCTTTTGAGAAGGTTAATACTGAATTATCATTGATTGATGGTTATAGAGTATGTTATTTTTAGGATATTGCTTGCTTGGTATTTGGTAAGGCTCTGGGTAACATGGAATATAATGACTATAGAGGAGTTTCACCTTTTACCTTTGTGATAAAGAAATCTGTAACATTCCAAACGGGATTGGGGTGGACAGGTCTAGCCAGGGGGAGGATTTGGGGTTTCAAGCAAGGTTTCACCATTCTAAGCACTTTTAGGTATTTTTGGGCCAAAGTTGTCGACAGCATAGAATGCTCTGAAAATCCTTTAAAACATATCTCAAAGTTGTCTCATTCCGACCACTAATGACCACCAACACCACCTGGTGAACCACCATCGTAAAACATAATATGTAGTATAATGGTAAACACTTTTCACGATTCACCAACATATTTGTTATTCTTGGTCCGCATTTTCAAGAAAAAAACTTATTACAGTAGTTTTGAGTTCATGTATCATGTTGTAAAATGTGTTTGTACCAACCCTTTAATAAATTTTCATTTTCAAATACAAGTTGATGATTTTTCTAAATACATCATGAATATAGTGACAAATGGTGACCTTGTATGTTAAGTCTAAAAAAAAGTTAA